ACTTTTGCTGTTTTTCTTGTGATATAAGGTTAGATTTAACCTGTGGGTCTTACTATTTGCACAGCTTTGTAGTCATAAAAAGACCCAAGAGTTTCATCTGTTGCCCGAAACACTTCTGCTGTTTTTTCTGGTGATATAAGGTTAGATGCAGCCTGTGAGTGTTACTATTTACATGGCTTTGTAGTCATAAAAAGACCCAAAAGTTTCATCTGAGGCTAGCCTTTAGCACTGACTTTGCTCATCGTTTAGCCACATTAGTATACTCTGGTTATAATTGCATTGGCTGCTGTCTATGTTATGAGCCTCCATGGAGAGTCTTTTACAGATATCAGACACTCCTGAGACGCTAATCTAGCTCATACTGGCTTTTGTCACCCTTACCACGCTGCTATACACTCAAAAATACCACTTATGATATTTACCAAATCCCCAAAACATGTGTTGGCAATAGGCGAAAAGGAGGGGACATCCTGAAAAACCTGTGCTTTGTAAATACACTTGTCTATTTGTGACAGACTTTTGCACAAACTTTGAATTTCTCCAAATACAAAACTTTTTAGCTGATGCAACACACTCTTGTCAGCCACCATACTCATTACCACACCAGATTTGGTCAGTTCTGTACGCCTAATACATTTGTAAGTATATGTACAAAAACATTTAGTTGCTCTTATCCTTGTTGCAAAACAGTTCAAGCGGCTTCATTGTTCAACACCAAAGAAGTCAGCTCTTCATTTTTACTCTTATCACAAACCTCAGGAGGAAAATAAGGCAAAGATCAGGGACATATTCACAAATGTGTAGCTGCAGCCACTTGGATGGACTTGCAAGTTTATGATCTGCTCCATATTTAGTGAAACAAAAGGGAAAGCGGTTTCATGGCTTTAGCTTAGTTTTGTTCTCCATTCGTTCACTGTCGCACAGAGAGACTGTGATGTAAAGCTGGTGTAAGATGTTTTTCCTCTTTTCTTATTCATCTGTTAAGTTCCTGTTTGTTCCTGAGGGAGAAAAAAAGCTCACACTGAGGAATTTGTTTGGGATGAGGATGAGAAATGTATAACTCTGCAGAGAAAACACCCCGTCAGAGTGGAAACACACACATGCAAACATACACTTCATATTTCACTCTGGAGAAACAGCCACTTCTGACTTCCCCTAGAAAAAAAAAAAGCTGATTAACAACTTTTGGATTTGATGCCAGAAGACAAAAACAATAATTAAAGTGTTTCCCCAAATTGCTGGTTTTGGATTCCAAACTAAGAATGAAGCAAAACATTTGAATTATTGCTATCTTTATTGGAACATCTGTTTTTTGACAAAGTTTAGCCCACAGCAGAAATTCCTCCAAAACCACATCTCTGCTTTGAGAAATGAAACACGACAGTTTCCTTATTATTGATGAGCTTTGCAGAAGCACGTGTGCGAAGAGGCAATACGAGTCTGCAACCTGTCTCCTGCTCAATTGACTCTTATCACATTTGTACATTTTGTTCTGAGGCAATGTTATGTGCCTGCCAAGTTGTAACACTGTCGATTTTTCTTCCCGTAACTTTATATTTTATTACGTAAAAGAACACGCTTAGGTCAAACTAGCTTCCTTTCAAAAGTGTGTCTGCGTAAATCTTCTTCCATGGAGTACAATAATGCTTGACACATTTACTTTTATGCAATGTGAAAACATGCAAACAGAGTTCCTGGAGGGTTCACCAAGTTTTGGAGGGGTGTGGAAAAATCCAAAAGGGTGATGTTGCTTAACATGCTACAGTTTATGCATGTTCCCTCGAAAAATATAGAATATGTGATCTCAAAGGAAACAAATGATTAAATTAAACATTTTGAAACGGATTGAAACAAACATGCCAAGTTATCTCAGGCAAATCCGGACTTAGATACTCATTAGCATAACTGCAATCACGTCTAAAACCCTTAGGCCCTCCTGTGTACAATTCTCGTTCTTTCAGGTGGGTTTTTCTGCCGTCATTTTGAAAAGGAGAGCCTGAGAGCTTCTTCAAAAACAATCAAGGACTGACAAGATGCAAGCTTCTGAGATTTTAAAGTTGAAGGTGGGACATGGAGGGGCGTAAATATCGCTAATGATGGTTGGTGCCCAGAAAGCCTCAGACGGTTCTGATCTTGTCTAATAAACAACGAAACATATCAGTTTTGTTTTACTGTATGTGCACTATAAAAACACTTGGGTTATTTCTTCAACCCAATTCCTAAGTTTCACGTGTTGAGTTAAATCTCTGGGTTATTTTCAGATCCATCCCCATTTCTTGTATTATATGGATTCTATTGTGACTTAATTTGAGGGTTATTTGAATGGGTTAACGATTATAAGTTATTTTTCTGAGAGTAACCCAATAATTGGGTCAGAGCGTTGGGTTCAATTGACTCTTCTTGGTTTCTAGGCCTAATGGCAATTAAAGTGACCTGGTGACCTTGTGAACTTTGACTTTGATTATATATACTGTATATATTTATAGGTATATATAGCTACCACACTATGTATTTGGCTGGCTGGGGTAGCTCAGAAGGTACAGCATCCAGCCAGGGTTTGGGGTTCAAATCCTGCATGGGACACATCTGTAAGGATCGAACTACATCTACCCGTGTGGGTCCTTAGGCAAGACCCTTAGCGCTATGGCCTACCTCATTAACATGAGCGTGTACTATTGAAAGCCATACTGTCTCAGACGGTACAGGTTGTAAAAGCAAAGCTCCCAAAAAAAGCTCCCCAAAGGCATATATCAATTTAACCCAAGATCATGATTAGAATTAACTCGAAGATTTGGTTAACTTGACCTTAAAAAGAGTTACTGAGTCAACCCAAGTTTGGGTTAATTTGAATAACACAACATTCTGGGTCAAAATAACCCAATAAATAGCCAGTCCCTTTTCAACCCTGGTGCATCGATCCCCAGGGTATTTTAGAGTGTGTGTATATTTGTTTGCAGTTTTTATGTTGCCCACTGGTTCTAATTTTGCTTTCATTATGCTGCATCACGCCCATTCGCAACTCAAAAAAGAACACATCCGTAACAAGTCAAACCAGTAAAGTGTCATGCTCGCCAGTTTCACAAGCTTCACCCTTGTGTTGAGCTCATCTTTAACCCCTTCGGCGTAAAATCAATGTGGGAAAGTCCTGAGCTGAGCCTAAAGACCTCTGATATCAAGCACATGTTTAACTTATCGTTTCAATCTCATCTCTTAGAAACGTCTTTGAATACACTGGAATGTTTTATCCAAAAGTCACTTCAAATTAAGTCTGCAAATACTGCTCATTCCATCCCCTTTAACTTGAAATCTCTATGGACAATACTTGCATTTTTCCCCACAAATTAAATATAAAACAATGATTAGTTCCATTTTTATCAGATGAAGTGAAGTTAACTCTGACTGAACAGCTTATCTCAGAGAAAACATGTTCAAAACACAGTAATTCATTATCAGAATCACATGTTAGGATAGTTTCTGTTTTTAGGTATATCAGTACATCATGCTGCACACTTGTCAAGTCATAATGTTGTCCAAATTTGATGATAAAAGAATACAACCGTGTGAAAACAGCACTTTGAGGAAATAAAACAGTAAAGACTGCAGAGGAGGAAACTGTCTCGTATAAATGACTACTTTGTTGAAATCAGGGTCAGTCCAGTGCTCGAGAAAGGAAACACCAGACTTGAGATCACCAGATGACTGTTTGTGTTTCCCCGTCACTTCTATACGGTGACACATACAGAAAAAATTCTGACCAGTCATCATTTGGACCTGACTGGTAATGGAGCGCGTCTTAGCATATGGACTGATGTAAACCGAGAAAACAATACTTACAACATTTGGGGATTTCTCAGAGAGTTCAATGAGCCTCACATCACAGAAAACAGACGGTTAATTTTACTTTATTAGAATTATTGATCAAAATAGAGATTCATTTTATATTTTTTGCTAACATTTCATTTAAAAAAAACCTTTCTGACATCTTTTAACTTGAGGTTGTTTCAAATATATTTAGTTTTTGACTTAAAATCAACTCTCATACACTGTTGACAGTTGAGTCGTCCTCCAAAAATGTCATTTTAAAACGTATGTATTTTTTTTGGATCAGGTCAAATGTCCTTTATAGTAACATTTGTGTTTGTTTGCACATCCACAGAGCATTATAAGCGTTCAGTCCCTGATTTTCAAAGTCTGCAGTCCCTCTCGATGACTCGACACAGAATCATCCTTGTCTCTTGCATGACATATACAATTAAGGTGGAGACACTGTGTACCTGCCTCTCTAAATCGATCCATCTGGAGAGTCAGGTACTTTCCCCAGCCGCAGTGTCAACATGGGCTCCTGACCAACTTAACCACTGACTCACTCTCGCACTTCCCTCCTCATGATCCAATTACCCTCAACCCCCCCTCTCATTTTCTTCCCCTTAGTCTTCCTTTCTATCCTGGTGAATCACCTGATAAACCCCTAGATATACCAGCAGCCCAGATTCATCTCGTTTCTGCAGCAGCTATGTTGGCTCTACAAACCGGCTTTGCTTGCAGGTGTTGCTAGGTAACTGTTGAACCATGTGCCTGCTCATGTTTGGCATGTCACCATAACATGGTTAAATATTTGCTAAGTACCACTCATTTAAGGCACAGGCTGTTAAAAGTGTATCACTCAGGAGCTTTGAGTGAAACTGGGACTGAGATAGAGGGATAGAGGAAATAAAAAAAAAATAAAGTCAAGTGAAACCAATAAGATTTCATCAGTTTTCATCTTCTTCTCCTCCATCAGTTTTGTTTCCTCAAATCTCAGCAGCAGCCCGGCTTATCTATCAAACTCACCTGACTGTCATCACGAGCAGCATGAAGATGACTGTGCAAGTTACGGCCATTCAGTGTGAGTCACACTCCTGAAAAGTTCCTCTCAGTTTCCCTCTATCAGGGCGAGTAGTAATCATGTCTTTAGAAAGCTATCCCTGGGGGATAAAAATAAAACAGCTTGGTTTCTTTACAGAGTTAGGTTTTAGGCCATATGCTGAGTGGGTCAACTGTTGGTGTCATTTGACATTGTAGCTAAATATCACAGATAAACCTCTGATCTTTGTAAGAATAAGAAATTTTATACTTGGGTATTGTGAATATTTAGTGCACAGATCAGCGCCCAATTTTGCAAATTTATCAAAATGAATGTTGGTAACACTTTATTTGATGCCTATCTCTATAACACATTATAAATATATGTATAATGTGTTATAATCAGGTTATAGCACTGTATACCTATAGTTATAAACACTCAGAAATGATCATAATGCTTTATAGCTATAATCATATATTATAAAGCATTTTATCATGACTTACAAGGTCAGTTATTATAAAGTGGTATAACTGTTAACAACAGTTGCATTATCTATGTGGGCATTGTCAGTGAGTTGTTAACGGTTATAACACATTATTATACCTGACCTTGTAAGTCATGGTAAAATGCTTTATGAGTGTTTATAACTATAGTTATACAGTGCTATAATGTGATTATAACGCATTATACATGTATTCATAATGCCTTATAGAGATAGGCGTCAAGTAAAGTGTTACCTTAATGTTGAACACTTTTAATAATCTGTCAATTTTTAATACTCCAGTCTCTTTTTTCACTAAAAAAACAGTAGATTATCAGCATGATTTTCTACACTAAGCTCATTTTCGATAGGCTCAATATACGTCCTGGATTAAGGTTTCATATTGTTTGGTTTGTGATTTATTACTTTCCTTTCTATAAAGCTGTTTAACATGCCATATCACACTGAAAGTACACAGACTTAATCAAACATAACTTTGGAGGTCCAGTAAGTCTTCGGATCTGTTAGCTCTGACTGAGTAATCTGACTGGATAAGAGGTTCTCAATGTATTGTACACTGACCTAATAAAAAGTAGCAAGACTGCATGCAGGAGGCATCAGTTCAGTTTCAGTCAAGCTGTTGAACTAGTTGAGTTGGTACAATCATGGATGTAAAATCTGCCTTTGCTTTCACAGCTGTTAAAAAACAATAAGACACAGAGGAGAGTGTTGCTATACTGAACATAAACACGCTGCATCATTCACATGTACCGTTTTCTTCTTCCTGATGCTATTTATTTATTTATTTATTCATTATTTTACTCACGTCTTTTATCATCCATTATTCATTTTAAAGGTCCTATCTCGGTATTGTTTTACCTCACCTTGCTGCTTTACTCCATTTTGCTGTTTCTTCTCTTCTAATTTTAAATCATCTTACACCCCTGCTCCTTAAGGTCTAATTTCAGAGTGTTAGGTTATTGTGTTGCTTGGGCTCCTAGGGGCCCTGATAAGCTCTGGTTTATTATGTTGTTTGTGTTTGGTCCTTAATGTTTGTGTTCTTATAGGCCTGCCTATGAATACAAATTTCCATATACTGTCTGCTATCATTTTGTCCACAGGCTGCCCCTAAAACAAATCTCATCATGCTTCTTGTATCAAATGTATGAGTCACAGTGAAAATTTGCTGTGTTGGTGTGAATCATATTTTCGGACACCCATCACTGTTCACTTCAAACCTTTTTATAAACACTTTAATGTCAACACAGGGACTTTAAGAAGAGACTGCAGGTGCACTGCAAATTCATAAAGGTGGAATATCTTTATACTTCTTCACCACTGATCTGATTAGAGACATTATTCGCATCAGAATTCAGAAAAAAATTGTGTATGACATGTTTGGAAAATATAGCAGAGCAATCAAACTTACATACATCTAACAGCTTTTTAGACAGATTGATTTACTTAGTTCATTCAAATTCTATTCAGCTCTACCAACATGGTTGACAAGGTAAACAGAGGCCTGTTAGAGTTAATGATCTGTCTATACAGCTTAGTAACCATACAGTCACAGCACATAGGGGACATGTAGGCACACCTTAGGGATGTGGGGAATATTATGTATGGCCTGCAGTAGCTTTTACACCTGGTTGTTGTTCACAATTATTAGAAAAGCATAACGAATTCGATGAAAAATGGTCTGGATATGTGTTGTGTAGTGTTAGTCTTTTCATTTGCATGGTAGTATTTATGCGGTTTTGGGGATTTAATTTAAATCAGTGAATAAATCAGTATTTGTGAATGGTTGTTGTCAAAGGATTTGAATTTAGGGTTTCATTTTTTCCATAAGCTTTTAAAATGATGGAAAAAACAAACGACATTGAAGATTTTCAGACACGTGCAACAGCTTGCTTAAATTTTGGTTGGGTTAAGTTTTATTGCCTCACTCTTTTACAGTAGAGATTTCCCACATTCTGCTCGTACTTGCTGCATGGTTCGGAGCATCTCTGACGCAGCAGTGCATGCTCTAACATGTTCAAAACCTGCATGTACGCTGGTATGTCACTTCTGAAAAACCCCAGTGGAAAACTTGGCACCAAGCACTCACTCACTTAGTCACCATGCAGGAGGGGGGAAAAAAGGGAAAGAAAAAAAACACAACAACCTCGAAGCCCGTCAGCAGGAATGCTGCTGTAAGCTTGTGTGTGTGTGTGAGCATGCTGAGCATGTGTACGTGTGTGTGTGTTTGTGCCCCTCCCTGCCAGAGTTACTTTCCATGCAACCCAGGAAGGAGAGGAACAGAAACAAGTAGAGCGAGGTAACCACAACACACACACATTCACACACACACACACACACACACACACACACACACACACACACACACACACACACACACACACACACACCTGGGAACAAACACATATGACACTACCAGCTATGTACTCTCCTCACCCTTGTGCCAGATAACAGGCAGCATCTCTGTGAGAAAAAGTCTGAAGGACGTGGAGGGAATATGAAGACGATGGGGAGAACTTTTACAAACACCCCGTAAACAAGCTCAGAATATGTGTCCACAACTGTCCGGCGTTGTCAGGTTTACAGTTTGGTTAGTTATTTATAAGTAGCCGCGGTTATTAATAACTGAACATGAGAGGCCTGTTTGGCTTCTGTCAATCTGTGAGACTGTCTGCCTGATGCTGGAACAGAAGGATGGTTTTAAATTTCCTTATCACAGGGAGAAGTATTCACCAATTATTTTGGCTCATCATTCAAACAAAAAAATCAATGAAGTCCAATAAAAAACTTGTTGAAAAATAAACTTTTTAAATCAACGTTAGTTTATCTTGGTCAAGACATTACACTAAGGATGGGGAAAAAATTTCCGTCCTCTGGCAGTAAGAAGCAATAAAACTATGATTTGATGTTTCTTGAAGCAGAAGAAGGAAAAGTATCAAGGAAAATTTGGTTGCTGCTGCAGTAGATGTTTTTATTTTCTCGTTATTAGTGATTTATGCTTTATTTTTACCTTTTAATGTCTTGAAATCAAATGTATTTCTGTATTTGTCACAAATAAAGGTATGGTGAGATCATATGAGTTTGACAGATATGTACAGATACTTGTACCTAAGCTCAGGCTTAAATTCTTGTATTAAACCATATGTGGTTTATGTTGCCGATAATGATGATCAGAGAGTGGACAGAGTCGGAAACTGGGAAGAGAAAGTGGGAAATAACATGTGGTGAAGAGTGATGGGTTTGAATCAAACTAATCTGATCTGCTTTAAGAACAATAGCCTCTGTATATGGACACACAGTTTCACTGCAAAGCTACACCTTATTATTTTGAAAGAAAATTGACCTGTCTTTAGATTTTCACATGTATTCTGGAGTACGCTATAACACCTAATGCGAGTTTTAATTAATATTTAGTTTCAATAACTTTTACAGAGTTTCACCCACTGATTTTTAACACTCTGTACTTCCTGTTACTTTAATTTAGCCATTTTTAATCTATTCTGGTCAGAGTTGAACTGCACAGCTTTACAAATGAAGCTATGTGTGATTCAACTGCACATGATGTTCAAAGAAACAAACGATTCTACAAACTTTTTATTGACGGCAGTTCGAAGAGGGCTTTAAAATACCTACACTTCCTGAAAACACTCACTGATAAAGTGAATATTTGAGGAAATATGCTGAAATCTCCTAAACTGAAGTAGAAGTTCTGCCTACACTGTTACTGATTATTGATCCGTGAACATGTATTTTCATAGATGTCATTTCCGTGTTTCTTGTGTCACAAACTCAACCGAATCATGAGTTTCCAAGAAGCAAACGTCATATTAATCTTTCATCATGGCCTTTAGTGTTACACTGAATGGGTCCCACTTCAGACCTGAGGTTCAATGTAAAATACTGTTGAAAATATGAATGAATATATTTGTGAATCCTCATAATCTCTTTTATCTTTAATGTTTAAGCCTCAAATTAGTTGGCACTCTCTTTACTCATTCTGTTTACCACAATCACGTTATCTTCCCAGTAATCAATATTGCGCTGACTTTTCTACACTTGCACAATACTTATTTGAACGTGTACACCATCATTGCCAGGACTGGTTATGACTCATGAGAGTGGGTGACACATGCAGCAACAGCAGAAGTGCAGAAAATAGTGCAGTATCTTAATTAGCTGAAATCAGCACGAAATAGAAACTTAGATACATCCGGTTGTTTTGGTAAAAGGGTCGTTTAATGAATTTCTTTGAACGTGCTTGAATGTTACCGCAGAGCTACGAAAGTAGGAAAAAAAGTCTTTCTGCTATCATAGTCAAACTATTGATCTAAAAATGAGTCATGTAAAACACTCAGAAATTCAGAAGTGCTTCAACTTTAAGTCAGTGGCACTAAAGTTACAGAGATATTACAAGCTCCACAGTTGATACACCGCTACTGAGTGTGTTTGAAGCATGTGTCAGTTTAATCAAACTTGAAAGTCAGTCAGTCAGGGAGCAAATCTTTTTAGATGTACTCTGCAAAGTCACACGAGATCACATTACACACAATCCAAACACACACAGACACGCACAGTTCCCATAATGCGTTCTTGGTGCTCCAGGAAAACAAAAAATCCAGCTGCTCCTATGCTCACCATAGTAACCAGATGAAAAAAAAAAAAAAAACATCAACCCCTAAAATTATCTTCTGGTTCATTTTGAAACTGAACTGAAGGTTTATTGCTAAGATAGGCCTTCAAAATAAAAGTAGGATGACGGAGTGTATCTTGAATTAAACATCCTGAAAGAGGAGCTAATTCTGAGAAATGTAAAAAGTAAATTGTCATTGTGGTCAAAAAGACTTCAAAATAAAAGCAAAAAATAAATACGAAACATAAAATTTGAGGTTATTTTAATACTATCTCATCTTGTTTAGGTTGTTTAGATTTTCTGGGTGTGCTTATCACTTCTCATGTCGGTTTTTGTTTTGATACTCCTTTGATGGAACATTAACGCTTTGTTATTTTCAGAACAGAAACCAGAGGAAACTTGGGGAAACGCAGCTGTACCTAATTCTGGTAAACACAGACATACATTTCTCTGTAGGTCAAATCTGTCAGAAACTCTTCAGTATGTGCGACAAGGGACAAATGATCGAGCACTTTCTGAAACCCCCTCAATTAGTCAGAGGAATGTATATACTGTAAATACATGATGTTGTGTTTAGCTGTTTCTTCCTACAGAAAATCTCTGTTTAAGTAGTCAGTGTGGGATGAAAAGGATCTGTGTTACATTCGAAACAAACAGCCGTCTTTGTCACTTCACATCTGGGTGCTTTGGATACTGAAAATTTTCACAGTGCTGGAATGATTTATCACTCTGTGCAGAAAACCACACATCATTCACAGTGCTGAACATGTACTGAAGAAGAATAAACACATAAAAAAACACAAGTGTAGACTACTCTAGGCCTGAAAAGAGCTTTCATGAGAGCTATGTAAATAAGCCACTTTGCCTTCACATGCCTACAAAACTGAAACATTTCACACAGCAAGCTAAAAATATAGTTTTCTTTCTTTTCTCCCCTTTTTTTTTTGTTGTTGTTGTTTTACTACCCACCCTCTTCTGAGCTCACCATGAAACCTGAGGTGGAGAGAGGGTCATCCAGTAACAGGGCGAGTGGAAACTCCTCCCACACCCGGGAGGGGTTTACAAGGCACACAAGCGCTATAAATATGAGACAAGAGTAGAGAGAGGCAACTTGACACAAGTCTGGACACAGGTTTTAAAGAGTACACCGTGGATCAGAGCTAAATCTTCTCCTTCTCTCGGCCAAAGGGGGTACAGCATGTCCGAAATGCTTGACGACATCTTAACAAAGGTGAGTCAGAGTGTATGAAGTTTACTTTGTTTTGGAAAAGAGCGGCTTTAGAAATGGAGACTTTGGGAACTCATAGACTCATCTCTTAAAGTGTTTGTTTTTTGTTTATCCCAGCATTGGTGAATCCTCCATGAATCACTGATTTGACAGTTTATCCTGTTTGAACTTAGTGTATTCACAGAGGACTGCTTTACTCTTTAGAGATAATGAGATAAGGGAGATAGTCGGCACCGTGTTGTTTGTGTCTTGAATTCCTATCTTTCACCAGCAGGATATTCATGAGGGACAGAAAAGTAGTCATAAACTGCAATTATCTGTCTTTAGATGTTTAGTATATTCGGAGCTGAGATAAAACTTGTGTAACCGAAGAAGTTGCACACTTCTTTTAAGATTGCCATGTTAATCACAGTCATTTTGTCAACTTTTATCCTTTATGGGAGATCTGAAGTCTGACCCTGCAGTGGAATTTTTAAACTATTCATTGCTTTGATAAAACTCCAGCCTACAGAAATGTTCCCATTAAAACTAGGATTCATTAGGAAACTTAAGGAGAAATGTTTAATCAACATTAAATTGCTTTGAAATCGTAGACAGGACACCGTCAGGATTTTAACCATGTCATTTATCTGTTACAGAACTTTCTGAACCTGGCCCTGGACGACGCCTTTCTCCAGCAACAACCTCAACTCAAAGCACCAGGGCAGAGTCGGCTGAACCGCTCAGCCTCCTTCTTCTCTCCACCCTCCCCTCCTGCCAACTCGAGCCTGAGTTTCAGCACAGAGCATGTCAACAGTGCCGACAACAGCAGCTCTCCCTGGTCAACCAACATCTGGAGCCAGGGCCCTGTGTCTAAACCGAAGCAGCAGCTCCCCTTCAGGCCCGACCGCTCTATGAGCCTGACAGAGTCCAGCAGCCTGCTCGCCTCGTTCGGTCAGCTGAAGAACCTGGAGGGTTTTTCCTCAGGCCCAGCCACCACTACTGTGGCTCCGCCACCAGGTTTCCCTCCCTCATCTGCTCTCCCTGCCCAGATCCCACCAATGGTTTCCCCTAATCGTTACAAGACTGAGCTGTGCCGTGGTTTCCAAGAGACCGGCAGCTGCAAGTATGGCAGTAAGTGCCAGTTTGCTCATGGTGAAGCCGAGCTGCGAGGACTCTACCGCCACCCCAAGTACAAGACAGAGCCGTGCAGAACCTTCTACAACTTTGGCTACTGCCCCTATGGCTCTCGGTGCCACTTCATTCATGAAGGATCTGTCAACGGAGGTCCGTTACCATCCACCAAATTCCAGAACCAGCAGCAACCTCCCATAGCAACCAATGGGCGCCACCAGCTACGCCAGAGTGTCAGCTTTGCTGGTTTTCTTGGTTCCTCACGCAGCTCTCCTCCTCCATCATTCCCTTCATCCTTCAATGATCCCAACATGGGGTTCAGTCGTGCTCCCTCTGTCTCTCCACCTCCTGCTGATCTCCTCTCTCCTGTCTTTGGAGAAACCCTTCAGCGGGACACTGCAGCATTCCACTTCGGCAAGCATCCAACCCGTGCCAGCACTGGAGACATCCACAACATTCCCTTTATCCTTGAGCCCAAGGCCTCACGCTGTGTGTGTGGTCATGGGAATAACTTTAACAGCAACAACAGCAAAGCCTTTGCCAGCATGGATGATGAGCACCTCCATCAGGAGAATAGTAAGCTGTTTCCAGCTCCTGGAGGATTCATGAAGCCTGCTGGACTCCAGCGCTTCTCCTCCGAGGACTCCCTGGAGGACAGCTACAGCAGCAGCAGTGGAGGTTCCAGTGGAACCGAGTCTCCAACATTTGACGCATCCACCAAGAGGCTCACTGTGTTTGAACGTCTGTCCCTGTCTGACTAAGAGGGTCCAAAGGAACAGAACTGAAGAGAACTGACACTTAGTTAAGCATATCTATCGATCTGGATTTTCTTCAGAACCAGAACTGATCAGGACAAGTCAAATTCTGATGACAAAATGACACTTACAGTTCTTAATTTATATTCATAAAAATGAAACTCATGGTAAAATGACATATACTAAGATAATTTTAAAACCAAATCCTTATCAGACTCTATTTTTATACTTAAGAATAATATGTAGCCTATTAGACCTTTGTATGTGGTCTTCCAGTCAAATTTACTCCTCTGCAGGCCCTGCCAGTACCAGTCAAAAGCATGTACTTAAATCTGCAGTGATCAAAACAGCTTTATCTTTAGTGAAAATAATGAATTCCTGTGCCTTTAAATGTTCCCATGCCTCATGGAAAATTTACTCTTGGTGCCACAAACAGTATGTTTGATTCAGTAGCCTAAATCAGTGAGACCTGACATGTGTCATTGATGCCATTTTATCTGTGATATGCACTTTACAGCTAATTGAAAAGGGAGAAACTGTCAAGTCTCCCAGTAGCATTCAACCAAAGCTTCATACTTCACTCTGCCCTGTGTGTGTCTGTACGAGTGAGTGTGCGTTTGTGTGTGAGTGCATGTGTGTCTGAATATATCTGGGTGTATGTGTCATTGTTAAGGACCCCTCCCTTTTTTTGTTCGACAACCTGGTTCAGGGACTTAAACACCGCAGTATTCCTTTCGGTTATTGGTTGCCTTGTGATGTTTAACTTAAACTTGTATATTTATTATGATATTTATTTGTGTTTAAAGGAAAAACAAATGTATTTTGTACTTTATTTATGGAGGAATATTTCAAGGTCTGTGAATGCCAATGTAAGAAAAAGCAGCAGAAAAGAGAATCTTATATTTTTAATTGCCTGAAAGGGAAAAATAAATTTCTGAATAAATGAAAGAAATGAATGTATGCTGTGTTTGTTCTCACTTTACTTTACCGTCAGAATTGCACACGCTATTATATCTTAGCTGACATACTATGTAGCTACTCACATGAACTAAAGACACACATCAATTATAACTTCCTGAAGTGAAGTAGCTTAAAGTTTTCCTTGTACTCCAAGATTGAGGTTACAGCTATATGTCTTTGAATGTGGAATATTATTATCACAAAATACAGTTGAGATTATCAGCCAATCCAGTTCATTCATACAACAAAAAATATGACACTAAACACATAAAACATGTTTAGAGCGTACTCTTTATAAGGTCATTTCTAAATAAGGCTAACACTAAACCACAATGAACAGGCACTTAGCCACAGCAGCAAAGAAAAAGTACCTATAAAAAGGTAGAAACCCTGGGTAGATCCAGACTCACTGGTTAATAGCTGTTTGCTGAAGACAGCTGACAGATTAATATACATAGCTGACAATATTTTCGTATTCAGACAGCATCAAGTCTAACCACATAGTTGTTAGATTTTAAACTAAACCGATTTTGCCTAACTGTGCTGAACAAATCAAGAATCAATACTTTTTATAACCCCCATGCATATATTACTCCCTTAAAGCTCCATTTTATGGGTTTAGAGTGTTTTTACAATTCAGATTCATATATTTCAATTTTACCACTTTATCTCGTGTCTCCTGGCTATTAACAGCTTAGATGTTGTGCACAGGAACTGAGAAAGAATAGACTTTTCCATGGGGAACTAAGGGCCTCTGCCCTCTGTTTCTTGTGCGTGTTTTGTAGCATACAGTGTCTTTGTTATGTATACAGCAGGGCACAGACGACAGCATTTAGCTCACCTCACGAATGGCACGTACGCACATTATCGCACAGCTTCACAATCTGTTCCGGTTTACAGCTACTATTCAAACCCTGAACAATGATACTGGTGCAATGAAACATCTTTAGATTAGGTGGTACATTTTAAATCGTGTGATCGAGCCATCTTTAACATCATGGAAACTCCAGACACTTCTTTATCTTTCTCATTGATTCTAAACCAATAACCAATGATTCTCATGGCTGCTGACCTGTCATTCCGGCACATGTCTGGGAATGTTCCAGAAACTGGTTTTGGTTAAATATTAAACCAATACTCATGTAGCAGAGTGAGAGACTTCTACCTAAGTACCACTCATCCAAATATTAGTTCCATGATCCATGACAACATTTTGGGTAAGTCACTACCAGAGCACAGAATTGACTTCGCAGATCATTAAAGCCTTAAAAAAACTGCCCATCTGTGTTACACACTCTAGCTAACTTTACTCTATTGACAGCCTTTTCCTTTTCCAGCACATCCGCCTGGTTTGAGGAAATCATGGGAAGACCAAGGGAAAAACCCCAAAATCTGGATGCATCATGTCTCAGTATTAACATTATGGGAATAATGAGAGCCAGAATTTCCTTTTCAAAACACTGGCTGACGCTCAGCAGTTTTAAAAGCACATTAAATGTGTTTTTTTCCATCATTGTGGTTACATTTGTGTACAGTAAGCTGTAGAGAATGAAGTATTGAGATAACATATGTGCCTTTGACAGATTTGACTGATCACCTCTGCTTTCTTTTCTTTCTCTCTAGTCTCAACGTTCACAGCCTTGAAGATATGAACTCTTGGACATTTGATTGTGTAAGGCCCATCTACAAGTCAAGCAGAAGTTCATGAAAACACCCTTTTGCAATTTCCCCTCTATACTCCCAGTGTGATCAAGTGTTGAGCAACACAAACCTCCACGACAGCCTCCACCCCATGCTGTTAAAGCACTGGTTTCTGTAGCAAGGCTGCAATCTGGAAAAAGAGAGAAAAAGAAAAAAAAACTTTACAGTATGGTCTCGTAACATCTAAAAAACAGACAAACTTTTGTAATCTTAAAAGATGACCTGTCTCTTATGTCAGAAATCAGAAAATATTGTAAAACCGTCTCTTTGCTTTCTTTAGTCTTTGTCACAAAACCGCTGCTTTACACTTTAGTGAACTATTTTGATGAAACATTTAAACATGATAAATGCAAGTTTGTTTTATTTAACAAGGTCATGGTTTGGGTAAGATCCAAATGACTCAGACACATCAGATCTCTGAGATACGAGTGTGGATTTTAGAGAACTTCAGAGTTAAAGGAGTAGATATGGAAACCTTTTTCGTTTCAACCATGCGCTGCTTCCAAGGAACTTGCACAACTGTCCCTGGATCTGTGTCACTACTAACACACGGTATTTTGAGATCTGTTTTTCTAACCCTACTCTTAAGGTCAATTCATAAACTGTTGTATTGTTCCTGTTGGGTCTGTTTAATTTGGACTGGTTTTAACACTGACACTGGTCTGGATCCACCTTCGCTCAAACTCTGGTGTGGTTCGCCTGTGGTAAGGACAGACGGTGGCGTAACCGCAGGACTGTTTAAAAGTGGATATGTGACACTTTGACTGACTGAAAAGCTAAAATAAACAAGCTCAAACAATGGATATGCTGCAGCACACTGCACACATATCACTGAGGGGTCAGAGCAAGTGAATAAACCAAGTAAGTTTGTACATCGTTAAAATTTTCCATTTCATATTCTTGCCGCAGAATTTGTAACACTTCCTAGATTGAATAAATGAAACATAACCCTAGATTACCACAACAATTAAAGACACTGTGAAGAACTCTCATGCTGTGTTGAGTGTGGCGGCCCCTTTGGTGGAAATCAGTAGTGTTCTTTCAGGAATTAAGCCAACATGTCACACGAGAACCATCATCCACTGTTGTAAATATGTGTGGCCTGTAGCTCTTGCAAAGGTATTTGTTGTGGAAGCCAATGAATAGAATACAGATCTTATTTTCAATACCACTTTCTTTTACATCGACTTGTAAGATAATTTTATGGAATTTCATGGACTATCCAACCCAAACACGTGTTAAAATTTTAATTTAATGCCTGCCTCTGTACTGAAAAGCCTACTATTTACCTCTCTACAGTACATCTGATTTTTACCACCCAATCTGAATTCACCTCTCCACACTGTCACTGTATATCACTATATTTCCTCTTTCCCCACCTGTTAATGATTGCTAATCACAGGTGAGAGTCAGCAATAGTCTGATAAAACTCACGGTGCTTTTATTCGCTTTGTCTCTAACCATCAAAATAAATGAAAACCACAAGTACAGACTAAAAATAACACTGGGTTCTTGTACGACATCTCCTTCCTCTGTTATGAGTCACAGTGAACACCAACTAAAGCAGTAACTCTGCATGTAGATTTGTATTTTTTTGTCCTCAAACAAAAGAAGCAGGTGTAGTACTTGTAGCAAGTCTTACGTGTACATTTTTTGTTTTCTTTTGGTCTAAGCCTCTATATCACTGTAAGGCCTGAAGCTTATACTCGTACTGTATATGTACATGTCCAGTAAAAACTATATAGAATCTACAACATAAACTCTGACATAACACACCAATATACAAGAGCAACACAGCTGTACAGGCTCAACTCTTGACACTCAATAAACCGAAGCTGTGGCCAGAACTACGACTGTTCATTGTGTCTTAAGCTCCTGTTCCTCTTTGGACCAATGGCAGGATGTGTTGCTATGGCAATGGACAATGACCACAAAGAGTAAACAGCAAAGACAAAACCAAGGGCTCAGTGTGTGTTTGTGTGTTCACAAATATTAACTTCCCAGCCGGTTCTATAAGACCAGGCTGGTTAAAGTTCAACAAACTGTGCAGCTCACACAACACACAACAGTCTGGTTATTGTACCTCTTTAAACTGACTTCATGAGAACCAGTGTGTCAATTTTAGTTGAATTTAATGCACAGGCAAGAAAGAAACTCAGAGTTCAAATATGAGGTAATGATTCAGCTTTTCCAGTCCTGGTATCAATCTTTAAATTAGTACTTATAGCTAACTTGTGATATTCTTGCTTCATATCAGCTCAACCCGCTGATCTCAGCTCTACAACAGGTCCTTTTTAATACAGACTAAACATTACCACCGCTTTCTGTAGAGCTGTTAATGATCAACCACAAAGCTGCTGCTGTCAAAACTCTCTTTACCCAAGTCACCTGATCCTGGCCACTGAGCACACAACATGTGAACAGAAACACACACGTACACAGAAGCACACACACACACACACACACACACACACACACACCTAAGAGCTAAAGTTCAAACCTGGGTGGGGATCCATTAAAGCTATTACATATTATGTAGTGTAAAGGTGAGAAAGAGACTGATGGATACGAACTTAGGTAACTGTTTCAAAGAATAAAAGAAACATTCACGCATATTCATTCAGCAGGAGTACAGAGAAAACACCAGAGGGATGAAAAGCTCTAGATTAAGAGGGCTTTTAAGATCAAGAAGAAAAGCATAAAGGGTGAAACTTCAGCGATTTGTCTTAAGCAATAAAGTTGTTTTTGTTCCTAAATTGTGCAAATTTGTCTAAATCTTCAGGAAAGGTGGAGTCACTAATCTGTTTTCAACTTTGCGTCTGGTTATGCCTGTTCTGTTGGAACCTCTCGACCTGAAGCAATCAGCGGCAGAGATTGCGAAGATCATCCAGAAGCAACACACACAGCCACATTCCTACCTGCAAAATGTGGCTCTATGCGTGTTTGTGTGTGCTACTTTGTGTGTACTCAGCATAGCTAGACTTCAGCCTGGATTTCTAGCGGCTCCCAAACTCCCCTTTGCCTCCCCTTTCCTTTCTCCCTTCTTCCCTGTTATAACCTGCAGATTAAGCATTACGGTTGAGTAAGCGTTCAACCCCAAACGTTCGTCAGGCATTCAGAGAATGACGGAGTCCCTTATGTAACTTCTCCTTTATTAACCAGGTCATTGGAAAGCACCACCTTCTTTTTTTCTTGGAAAAGACAAACACTAGAGGAGTGAATGCACCCTAAATTTCATCCAAATATGTTAGTGGAGTTTTTATCTTTTAAACCTCAATAACCCCCCGTGCTATCTCAAAGTTTTCTGCTGTTGAAACTCTACAGCACAGTCGAACTGAACTAAAACCAGACAAAGGGCAGCGTAGAGTTTACACTGGTGTTCAAACATGCTGGGAGGAATAAGAATAGTAAAAAGTGATACTAGAAGCTCTAATATGAAGTTGAAAGTCAATTAAACGTTAAGATATGTTTGAAAATATATGCAATATGACTTTTATTAGTCATCAGAACTGTGGAAAATTTTGGAGTAACACATTTGGCTTTTCTGCTTGTGGTCTTAAGTAGCAGTAAACATTCAATACAGCCCTCTACTGTTTAATATGTTACAGCTGTCCTATTGTGAAGGCTAACATCAACAATAGTAGTTTCTTGAGTCACCACACTATCACTCAATGTTATGTAGAAAACCTTATTTAGGTCCCTGTATTGGCTTGTTTTGATGAGTTACCTCTGACTAACAGAGGAGTCAAGCTTTGGGGAGTCACCCTTAAATTAATGGAAATCAACTTATCAAAACCGTTGTGTAAAAAGTACAGCTGGTAAGTTTTATCTCTTCTGTGCGGGAACTGATGGGTGTAGGATGTTTCTGCTTAAGTTTGTTGATGGAAAAGAAAATCTTTATTTTACTTTATTGAAATATAATTCTATATTTGTTGTTTGTGTCACATTCAAAACACCTACATCCTCTGTTTTACCAAGCTCTTCTTTATTTACCATATTCAAACTGCAGCCTTTCTCCTCTGACGTCAAGGCTGGAGAGCAAGAAAAACTGGAACGCTGCTGTGATATTGTTTAGCTAGTACCATCTAACTAAGACACATATAGTATAAGCTGATGTAACTTTTCACCCCTTTACAGATAGTAACTGAACAGCATACCTAACAGCAACAGTCAAAATTCCTCCTGGCATACAAATCAGCTTCTTTGTGACCATTTACGTCTTTCCTGGATTGTAAGTAAAGGCTTTTTTTAGCTATAAGAGACTGATGATACCTATGCAACAAAGGTTCCAGACACTGCGTTTGTTTAGCTAATCAGTTGCTTGTTGTGCTAATCCTTGTTTTGTCATTTTCTCCCCCAGCATGTTTAGCTAGCTAACATTCTTTGTATGCATCTAGTTTTTACCTGAAGCAAATGGGTTAGCAAATATTTTGTTACGACTTAAGTTGCTGTATCTTTTCCACAGTTCCTTGTCCTTCGCTTGCATATCAATGACACACTGGAATGATAATAACTTGTTAGATACCCTGCATGATTTATTACCTAGAACACTTTTATTACCTGTCGTGCTTTGTGTGACATAAGAGTATTCGAGTCTCCAATCCTGCATGACTCTAGAGGTGAGGTTGCCTTGTGGACATGGTCAACAACATACAAGAAGACAAAGCTTTTTTGACACATATTTGCATTTTAGATGCTAAAGTAATGAGCCCAAGGGAGCAGGATGCATATTTTTCTTTAACACTTCTCTAAAGCTGCAAAGCAGGGTGTACAGAAGGTTAAGAGGCTACCGTGGTTTACAGACATGGCCTGCCTCAAACACGGATTAAACTGTATTTCGATAGAAAACACAAACATTACTGCAAACTCGAGCATTACAAACTTATTTGGCCAGAAAGGAGGAGGAGAAATGTGAAGAAATTATAGAGAAAAATAGCAGCGTCAGTAAGTCAGACTTTGGAAGAGGAAGGAAGAGAGAAATATTTGGGTAGTGACATCACAGCAACGGACTGGAAGTGCGATCCTTTTATAGCCATGTTCTCTCTCTCTGCCACATTCCTCAGCCACAGAGCTCAATCCACCCCTCCTCCTCCTCCTTCTTCCTTCTATTTCAGCGACTTCACTTCTGCGCCAACCCCGAGTGCTGTGACGCAAACACAGGGAACGAGGGGGGAGGAGACACGGGAAAGGAAGGGAGAGAAAAGTGGGTAAACTGTGAGGGAGAAGGCAAAGAGAAAATTCCCCGAACTCCCCCCTCCTTACCTCTCCTGACCACTTCTCTTTTCCTTTCACTCCACTCTTCCTCTCTCCTCTTTTACTTTCACTGGCTGCTGTGATTTGGCACCAACGGTAGACCTGGAGGAATTCATAGCTAAGTGCTCCATTTCCGATCTACAGGAGCACCTTTCATGAAGTTTGAAATACATCTTATATGCCCAAAAAGGCCTAAGAGGAGACAGATGTCTCGGTTTTAGCATATTCCTTTGCGTATAAGTCAGAAATATTGAAAAGTTTATGAGCCGTGCTTTGAAGCTTTGTACGAAGAGATTTGTGTGCTCCCAGAAAACAGAATATGGACAAACATTCTTGATATTAATTTTAAAGTGGCATGACAACCATATGATGTGGGTATCATTAGAAAAGCTACGCTAATCCATCAGCTCTGATGTTCCCTTTTTTAGAAAACAAGAAGTGAATCTAGATGAGCATGTACAAACTGTTCTGAAAAGCAGAAACAGAACCAATGGGCTGTGGCGCACATGTGGAAACAAGAACAGAATAAGATTTACAACTAAGATGACAGCCTTCTATTAAGCTATGAATTACTCAGACGGAGCCACAGTCCTTGTACTTTACTGACACAAATCAATCCAGAAGTCATTAGAAAAGAGCTTTGTAGACGCTGTAACATTTCTCAGGGGTTTGTGCTTTTAAAAACAATGCCCCTGCCTCACGTTTCAATAATAAAGCTAGAGGAAAAACACACGCAAATCAGAATCACATCCTGAAGAAAACAAGAAGTGTATTTCTATTCACTCTAGCATGACTTTGTGTTGTGCAATTAAAAAATGCAACTTAGATCACACCCTGGCAGCTGCACTTAAAAGACCTTCATCTAGAGTACGTTGTGTTTCTTCATTCTTTAATGTACATCTCTTAAAAACCTGCTTATGTTTGGTTTTACATTTTACAGTCTGACTTGATTTTTCAGATAAAATATATCAAGGTACAGCAGTCACTCTTGAATGCTCATACACTATTAAAACTCGTTCATTCCCTCATTCCTCATATTCCTAAAGCCCTTGGTAAATCTGTGTAAAAGTAGTTGATCTTTTTAGATGTTAGTTTTATGGCTAATCGACTGTATTGTTATACTTTAGTAAACCTGAGCCTCAAATGGATCAGTTGCATCAGGGTGTTGGGCAGAAGAAGAAAGTCCCTTAAGTCAGTTTCACATCTGTTTGTGTTATTAAAGCAGACCTTTCACAACAGGCTGGCCCATGCATGTTCCCTTCATGCTTCCTGTTCATGCTCACACTCAGTATATGCTTCTCTTTTTAGACTTCACACTTCCTGTTTTTTATGTCCTTTCCTTAATATGGTATGAACATAAATTAGCACTGCGTCAGTGTGTTGATTAACAGCAGATGTGTGACCTGCTCACGAGAATAAAAACAGCTTTCTGTGTTAAAGGCCGTTGATACTTTCATTTTAACCATCCATCGGCTGAGGACAGTTTAATGTTGTACTTGAAAGAACATTTTTAAAGTCAACTATTAAAATCTGGTGTAATATTTGTGTTTGCAAAGAACTTAAACCCGGTGGTCCTATTAAAAAAGCAAGAACTAGAGGTAGGAGACTAGATCTGATACTGTTTTGTGAGAGTACTTTTTGTTCTCCCCCTCTCATCACTTCTGTTCCCAGACGTAAGTGGCAGCTGTTTTCAATGAAAAGATAAACCAGCATTGCGCTATGTACACTGCCAAAACTCAGATTTTTGGAAGTGTTTTTGCCTCAATTTTGTAAGAATGTTATATCACACTAAATACAAGCCACTCTGACCTAACAAGTCTAGTAACCCATCTTATTTTATGATGTTACAAGCCAAAAACAGGACCTACAGTTTGTCATAGGTGGAATAATATCTTTGGGGTTAAACATCATTCTTATCCCAACTTAGCTCTTGTTTCAAGAATCTTGGAAAGTGTATTTTTCTTACCCCTCTGACAAATTTTTTACCAATTAAAAGCAAATTAGGTGGTATTTTTGGTCTCTAGTATGTTCAAATGGATTATTATTGGATGTTTCAGGTGAATGTGGCTCATATTGAGATATCTTGCCGAAATATTGGATTTCCCCTTAAGGATGGAAAAAAATCCTCTTAATTTAACTGAAATAAAACAAACACATTGTTTTTGCTCTACAAAAAAAGCATATAAAAAAGTCCAACAACAACTTGTGTATATCATGAAGTACTTACCAGCTAGAGAACCTCATTTTTCTTCCTGATTGCTTGGTGGTGGTGGTGAAGATCAGAACAAAGGTGAAATGAGAGTAAATAATGAACTTAAACTTGACCAAAACTGTTCATCTGAGCTTCAAGTGTAAATAATAAACAGTTTGTTTCCTCTTTCTGCCGTCCTCAGCCGGTCAAAGAATTAGTGCTTATTAAGGAAATTAGAAAAAATTAACCAAAAAAACACAAAAGACAGTAAATTAATCAAACATTAAAACTGGACTCATTTCATTGGCTCTTTATTCTTGTGTCCAACTTATACAACATCCTCATTTTACGACCCATAATAATGACTCCTCTCTGTCACAACTATCAGGACATTTTGACTCATGTCGTGACTGTTCATACTCCCAAGTCTAAATGCTGAGGTGTACAGTATCACAGGTCAGCTGCTCTTGTCAGAGGACATGTTATTTTAGGTTCAGTGTTTTAGTTTTACGCTAAAACCAGCAGTGGGCTTGTGGCTGCCGAGCCAATTCATGACACAGCACACACATCTCAGCTTGGAGGACAATGGGCCTCTCTGTGATGAAGCGCTCACACATGTGCACATATACACACGGCTGTGTTTATACAGGTGGGCAGAAAATGAAGTGGTTAGAGAGATGTGTGTGTACGTGTGTATGTGTGTATGGTGAGTTTGGTTATTGAAAGGAAAGGAATGGATATGGCGTATGTGTGTTTAGCCTTGGCTTCCCTCCTAGGAATACATACCACAGTGACACTAGCAGTGCAGAGAGCAGCAGAATTCCTTCTTACAAAAATAAGCAAATGAAAATGTAGAGGAGGAAAAGGAAAGGAAAGGAAAGGAAAGGAAAGGAAAGGAAAGGAAGAAATCCATCACATTTTTCTATAACTTGTCTAAAGCATTTGATTCTTTTGTTCACGATATTCTGATTGCTAAACTACTATACTATGGTTTTCAAAGTGACTGTTCAGTTAGAGTGGTGTACCACAAGGATCTGTATTAGGACCTTTACTATTTCTAATTTAAATTATATTTCCCTTTTTATTTATATTATACTATGACTGACTACATGAGAGTCTCTTGATGGTTTAGACTTAATGAGCTCTCATGAAGTATTAAAAGTCAAATTTCATAATGTTTGCGGTCAGACAGATCATACAAAAGAGTCAATATAGGGAAATGAAATATCTCAAGTCTCGGCGTATTAGTAAATGAGGATTTAAATGAGAAAAGGCAATTTTCTTCATTTTCTTCAATGATCTGGGATCATCAGCAAACATTATGATACGTTTTTTTATGATATTAAGTCTATTAACTTTTTATTGTTTTATGATCTATCCTTTTTTGATTCATGGTAATATTGCTTTGACAGATACGAAGACTGCATGTGTTGTAAAAATGTTAAGTGAGATTCTGTCTCAAACTCAACAGAGGCATCCACCCCATCTTCAAAAAACTGGACAGTCTTTCACTATGTGTCACAATTATCATTGGACATGTGTAGCTGTATATTTACAAATTTATGCTCTTTCCCTTTTTAACCATCACAGTTTCTTGAATTTGTTCATATACGAGCAAACAGGCTGATCATCTCCATCTTCCTTTCCATAAACCCAAACACGGTTGATGTTAGCATTAAAAGCGATTACGTTTGAACACTATCAAAGGTGAGGAATTATCAGAATTCTTCTTCTATGTACTTTTATTAAACACAACTATTTGCATTCAGTCACGTACAAGCTTACAGTAGGAAGTGGTCAAATGCTTACTTTAGCAATGGTTTGGGTTGATCAGACACTGAAACAGTAACGCAGGAATTGAAAGGAGCATCTGTCCCACAGAAACACACTTGGCGAGACTTGACCACAGTTGACATCAGCATCAAACCATCGTAACAACATTACTGTAAGCCTGAAATTTACACCTTCCCAACTGCTTTGTTTTTAACTAAACAACTACACTATATGAATTCATTTCCAAGCTTAATTGTGGGCTATTAGCTAGCAATCAAATGACATGAGCCAAACATTCACTTGGTGTAAACCTGAGCATTTACCTGATAGTAATATATTAACAAATATTGCTTTGTGTCTTGTAAAACAGAGGATATCACTTTATTTCATCCACTTTCTATTGTTTTCATGTCATCATTGAATCAGGTAGCATTGACATGCTATATTTGTTGATTTCCTACTCTAAGGGCAAACCTCCTTCCGCAAAGAGCGGTTATTTTAGTACATCATTAATGCATTTGAGTTTAAAAACACAATTTGTAGGCTTCACTGAATACTGAGCAATGGCAACGCACACATTTCTGACAACACCAACACCAAAAATCGGATCCCACGGTCATCCCAGGAAGTGAAACTCACTCAGAAATCATCATGGTGTATTAAATGAGATCATGGGAATTTTCTCAATAGATATCTCTACTAATTTTCTGATGATGACGATGAGATGTATTCAAGAATTTAGAAAAGTAGGTCAGTGGTACTCCTTGAAGCAGGAGTATTTTGTTTTATGCACTTGTTCTAACATAGAAAATTTGCAGTCATTTTTGACTCTACATTACATTACCCTTTAATACAATACAAGAACTTGATGTGAAGAAGAAGAAGAACTTTATTGGTCCCAGATAGCCCTAAGACCCCCCTTGAGTTCAACCTATTGCAAAATAAATTCACTTGAGCTGCTACGTTTTTCCTATTTCTGTGTAATGCTGTCAAAAGCAGGATAAAACTTACTATAGTCCCACTTGCATTAGCTAACTTCTGCTGGGGTTTCTGTTACCACAGTTCTGTAAAATGATTACAAAGTGGCTGTAAAGATGCCAAGAAATTACTTTGACGCACTAACAAAACATGCTGGCACAGCAGTCTACCACATATGATGAAAGAAACTCTGCAAACTCATTCTGGGAAGTCACAGTCTATGAGGTATATCTTCACATGCACCCTGAAAGTTTTGGGAAGTAACATGCTCTTTCGGAGGTATTGGAGGAAATTCAGTAAATTCAAGTACAGTCTCTGTAATCTGCTTAGTCAGACTAAAATCATCAGTTAAAATTCAAAGCTGGCTTTTTGTGATGACAAACATTGAGTGTAGAATGATACACTATTAAGAACCATAAGGCTATAATGACTACTTCGTTGAGATATTTAGGGATACTAGCAAAAAAGCTGACTAAGATATGTCTGCAAGCAAACTCTACAACAAGAAGACAGAAATTCAGTCTTAATTGACCAATTTAAGCTTATTCCGTGGCTGTTTTAAATGCTTCATTCTGATTGGTCAATAATCCATAGTAACAGTCTGATATTCTTTAACAGTACACTGTTGCTATAGCTGTGACCCCTGACTCTAGCAGACAGACTGTAATTATATCACTGCACAGAAAGGGCTTAAGTTAATTTGTGCTTAATTTGTTTACGCTGAGGAAAAAGACACTGGGGGTGAAGCAGGACGGGTTGAACTGTGAGAAATCTATTGAACTGATGATGGCCCACGAAGTAAGCACTTCAAGATGGCAGCGTTCACGAACTCCATGACCGATAACACTTTAAACTGTAACACTTTCTGTGAGTAAGAGCATATCTATCATGTTTTAAGTTAGCTACAGGGTTAACCATTGCTATGGATCCATGTAAAACTGTGAATGTAACAGACCATTTTGCAGTCAGTTATCCACAGGAGAAGTCAGTCAGCTCAGCCTCTTATTCAAACACTGGCTAGTGAACATCCACCCAAGCTAGGGAGGGCCAACTTAACCTTACAGTCTAGGTGATTTTAAGAAACTCCAACCGAAACACCAGTATTGGTGTAAGAGTAAGCTACATCTAGGTATATTCCAACATTTTGCTGTACCACCAGAAGGCCACCTTGGTTTTGCACTATCAGACATAACACATCTTTGCTTGAACAGATACATAATGGGCTACATTACAAAAATATACATACAGGGACACAGAACAGAGAGGTCTTATCGTTTCCTGAAGAAGTTCCCCTGCTATAATAACCTGCTCGGTAAACATTACCTCATGGACACTTCCTTACATGGTGCTTTTTTGTCTTTGTTGACCTCATAAGACCTGAGCTTTTGCTTTTTTTTTGTTTTTTTTGCTACACATTTTTGATTTCCCCTACCTATTTGGGATCAGTGTGATCTCATAAGTGTACAAGCTGAATACAATCTTTAAATATGAAGTAGTTTTGACAAATGAGAAAAAATGGTTTTAGTTTCTGTACAACAAAATTGAGTCACCATTGGTGGTGACTCGATTTTGTTTTAATACCAAAAGATGACTGTTATAAATTACCTGAAAATAAACCATAAAAATTATCCACTTAGTGTCCTTTTTTGTTGCAGAAGTAGTCGGTAACCAGGTAGATTATCAGTAAATCAGTCGATTAATATATTAGTCAGTCAGGTGTGGTTAGTTAGTCAGAGAGTTAGTTACTGAATCAGTCAACAGGTCAGGTACAGTACCTGTCAGTAGGTCAGGTATGGTGTCTCCTGGTGAGTCAGGTAAGCTGTCACTTTGTTAGTAAGGTATGGTAACAGTCAGTAAGTCAGGTACAAAGTCAGGACGAGGCTTTTTACCTGAGAAGGAGTTCCAATGTTCTCCTACGGGTACTCTGTGTAAAGTAAATATCTTGTGTCTGTTGAAAGAATTAGTCAAATTTGTATGCCATATCAAACTAGAAACTGTAAAAAGCAAAAAATAAAGAAAGTTTTAGTTGTAAAATCTGAAGAGTTTTATGCTGAGGATGGCTGTTCAAGATTTTGGTCGAATTTGCCGCCATCTTGAATGAACACTGATCTGTGTATTTTGTATTTGTGGCCACAGGGTGGCAGACCAGGTGTCCATGAGTGAGGTCAAAAGATCTTAGTTTATCGGAATTTATTATTAGAACTTATCATTATGGCATATAAAGGCCAGAATGTGATGTCCGTATTTGAGGACAAAAGGTACTTATCATTCCTAGTTGTACGACCTATAGGGGATCCTGGTCAGCTCAACTCCTTTGTTAAGAAATGACATGAAAATCCATGATAAATCATCACTGAAAAAACAAACAAACAAACAAAAATAACTTTGGTCTATGTCCTCAGAGAAAAAGAGGACATAGACCTTAAAACCGCACAGCACCCATGTGAATTTTCCAACCAAACATTTGATATCCACTCCCATTTCAGTGACATCATTAGGACTTTCATAAGGACACTATCATGATTGAACAACTGGCAGCGTTGTTGCCATGAATCACAGACGGTTAGCAGACACACAGTCTGCTGCAAAACATGGAAACTACTGTGGGGGAAGTTAGCACAGGAAACAGTGTGGCAATGACACTTCCCATCACATACACATTTTTTTGGATGACACAAACACATCAAATGGCCTCTAATCATTTGCTTTACCATTTTTGTGGTGTCTTTGTTAAATCAGGGACATGTGTTGCTACTCAGTCCACACAGAGAAATATCTGTCACAGTTCTCTTACACCAATAACCCGCAGAAAGAATAGATGGAAAATTTTATAAAAAGACACGCAGGCAAAACTGTTTTGATTAGAAGTGTCATGGATACCAATATATAAATAAAGATGCATGGCAGACGTCATGCAATATCAAGCACCATATCCATCAATATCTCGCTGATCAAGAACATGGATCAATATTTGGAGCTGTTGCCTGGATACAGTCGGATGAGCACAGAGTGAGAATGTACAGACCAGGAATCATCCGTTGGATTACGTTCATGGTGAAACACAAACACGCTGACGCCACTAACATCCCCACACCAGGTTTAGCATTACTCTTGTATAATGTGAGTGTGACTGATGAAACACTTTCTCAGGTTTTTACGACAAAGAGGATGTGATATCGAGATCATAGAATTATAATATTGTACTTTTAATTATTCATCTGTTGTATCATTTCACAAAAGATTTCCCTCACCTGCTGTTTCACTTCCATCTACAGAGAAAGAATCAAAGATTTAAAGCCCAAAAGCAGATAACATAAACACACTGATGAGGTACACATGGGAGAGTTTAATGACAATAAGCTTTATGCAGGCAAAACAGCCCTAACACACTCAAATCTTTCCTCTGAAAAAGCAGAAATGAACACAGACAGACACACTTTTAATGCACTTTGAATACAATGTGGTGTCTTACACAACAGTGAATTTGCCTTACCTACTTTGCGACAAAGCGCTTAGATGTGTGACAGTAAATGCATGTTATAACGGTTCTGTATGATTTTGCTATTTACTGCCGAGATTGTTTGAAAAGAGCAGAAATGAAGAAGCATTGTTTGGGCTGAAAAAAGAGAGCTCATTATCTGCAAAAATAGCTCTGTGCGGCTAAACAATTTCCTGAGAGGAAATGTTTGAGCTTCTTTTTTAATGTACCGTTCATTATAAGACTGAGTAATTTGTTTGCTATGAAAGATCATCAGTCTGTATTTCCTGAAGGTTTTGAGAAATCCGCAGACATTGATGGTCATTACATGTGATCCAAAAAAGGAACATGCACACCCCTCCTTACATCATCAAATGAGTCTCATCTCCTCAAAATTACCAAGGGATCTGCCGGGAACCCGAATGAAACATGACATTAATCATCAGCTCACACATGCAGGGTTTCTGTCAGAAAACAGAAATCACACGGCTTGGCTTTATGTCATAAATATGTGTTTTCCTCATCTTCAGCAGCCCTGAGACAAAACCAGTTAACCAATTACAAAATATCTCGGGGAGTTTTACACAGAAAAAAAGCCTGGTTCTGCAGTGTGGCAGGCTCAATTTATCTTCCGTGTTCCTCTTTAACAAGCTTCAATAAATAAATATATTGCAACATAGCCCTGTGTGACGCCAGTTCCACATTTGGCTTTGGTTGGTATCAAAACTCCTGACATCACTCTGCAATGTTTTAACCTTCACGCTGTGGTTCATCTCTAAGCCTGAAAAATGAACCAAAAAAAATCCCTGAAATATCTCAGAGATGTACAGAGGTAGATTAAACTCAATGAGTTCAGGTATTTCTCGACACCTCAGTGGAGGTGAGACTCTTTTGGCCAAGGGATTTTTTCCACTCCAACCCCAACTCTATGCTCACATCTTCTCGTGTTAACATTGAAGTAGGCTGCAATTTTAGAGCGCTCTTGATTTACTCCCTGTGTTTTTCATAAGTGGATGCAAACACACAACTGCTTTTAACTCACTTCACTGTTTAACATCAACAGACTATAAAACAACTTAAATTGTAGAGCTTTTTAGAGGCCTTCTCATTTTTGACTCCCTATCTTTGTACGCTCCCTTCCCCTCTCTTATGCCTGTTTCCAACTCTCCCCTTCACCTAAAATCCCTTTTAGCAGCTTTGCAACGAAATTATAAAACCTTATGAATCCAATTTTACAATATTGTTTAATTTATCTGATACATTCCTTGAACAAAGTACAACATCTTTTCTGTTTCCTGACTAAGTTGTGCTGTTCCTCCTGGTTACGTATGAGACCCACAGACACACAAAGTGATAAACAAAGTTTGTGTTATTGGTACAAAGATTTGTCTGTTTGTTTTCTCGTGAGTTCAGGAGGATCTCCAGGAACTGTTGCTTAACACACACACAAATGAACACAGCTGTGTGTCTAACTTCCAGGGATGAGGGTTGTGTAAGTTTCCCTTTGTACCAGTTTCAGTGTTTTCTGCCGCTTTGGCTCAATGCCTTGATTTCTACCTTTGAAAAAATACACACTAGTTTGTTTTCACTGTGGTGTACACAGCCTAAGGTTACATGCAGGAGGGGGCTTTTACACTTTTATACGCAGACATGCACCTAACTCAGCAAAGTCCACTGACACTGTCACTGTAATAGTGCAACAGCTCCACTTGCTGGTGTATCAGTGTTATTAATATTACAGCGGTGTGTTAAATGCTGTCAGAAGTTTGACTTAATGTAATCATTTTAATTTCAATCTTCAAGAAGTTATATTTGTCTCTGCAATACCTGTAAACATCCTGGAAGACTTTTTTTTTTCCTTCTTTCCTTTATTTTTCTTTTGAAATGAGCATTAAATACATTGCAACACTAACAGAGAGCATTGTGTTAACAAGGGTCGACACAGTAAGCGCCTTGTGATTACAATAAATCAAAAGTAACCCCATGACCTCTGACCTGTGAGATAAATTAGAGGTGAAAGTGCTGGGTTGTAATTATGTTGTAACCCAGCAGAGGGCAGCAGATTACAGAAAATCCTGGCCCAAGTATATAGGATGAAACTGTTTTTTTTTTATTTGCCTTCCTTTGAGCTGCTCTGATCATACTGAGTAATGAAATTATAGGACAGCACAGTGTTCATCAAAGGAAAGTGTATAAAAAATTTTTATTTTAGGACTTAAACCTTGATTATATGCTTTTTTCAACAGCCATCACCATCTTGGATTGATCTTTTCTTTAGTTTATCATTCAAATGCTGCTGCAAGGACATAACTTTAAACAACTGGTTAAGTTTTTCAACAGCACAATGAGATGACATGAAAACAGTTCTTTGTTTAACTTACTTTGTGTTTAGAGATATTTAGTTGGGAAAAACAAAAAGTGCTAGATCATGCAAGGCCGAAAAAACTATTTGTATACCAATAAGGCATCATTAAGCTAAGGCACTAAAGAGAAAAAATGCAGGCAATACAAGAAGTCATAGATCTTTTGGTTTAAAAATGAATTTAAAAAAGCTTGAGATTTCACGTGTCCTTGTGCAGCAACAGTGCGGTGTATGACATGAATACTGATCACAAATCATGTTATGCATAATTGTTTTTACATTTAAAAACCTAAAATAGTCCTTCTTATTAAACTTTGTGTTCCCTCCAATAATAATACACTGCTTTGTCGCAAAATCACGACAACTTGAATCCTCTCCAGCTGATTTTTTTTCTCCCTCTCTTCCCCAAACTAAAGGATTTAAAAGAACAAATGTCTTTGCCCTCCTCGTCACTCTCTTACTCTCCCTCCACTCAGAATCATTGTCTCTCCCAGACCTTACGCAGACATTTGTCACTGTTATCTTGTTTTGAAAACCTCCTACGCCCTTCTCCATTGCCCTCCTTCTCTCTGGCTTTCTAATTGAATCCACAGGAGTGAATTCCACGAGGCTGGAGAGGAGGAGAGGCTGATGTCAGAGGTCAAAGGTTGGGTTGTGGCCTTTGCCCCGTGAGTAGAACCCTACTGTGGTGCTTCTAGGAGTGTGCATGTGCGTGCAAAAACAGAAACAAGAGAGAGTCATAGTTGTTATGTATTTATGCATAAATAGGCATTCCCGGGCAGTCACTTTGGTAATCATGTCTATTCATAAGGAAGTTGTTATGCCTGTAAGCTAATGCTTTGATGTAGTGTGCTTTACTTCATTTGACAGTTCATTTAACAATTTAAGTGCTACTATATGCAGTTTTCCCTTTACTTTCATGAAAACATCCGTTTTAGAAGATAAAAATGCTTTACAGTATGAATTTCAATTTGTTTTTATCATTTTCCAGCACTTTATTTACAGTTTTATTTAAATTCAAAGGCTAAAATATAATAAAAAATTGTGTTAGTTTGTTATCTAAATACATTACACGGTATTTTTCTGCAGGTAACAGCTGCAAAGTCTAAAATCTGAATGGGATTAAAACCCAATGCTCTTTATTACAACACACTCAGGCACAAAAACACACGTAAGTGAATGGGACCGGGGTACAATGTGTAAGAATGAAGCTGATGAGGGAGGGGTGGTAGGGGAAGGGAAAGGAAAAGAGGAGCAGATGTTCATCAGGCCTACAGACCCCTCCTCCCTCTCTTTAATATGTCACTAATAGCAGCCTCTTATCTGAAGAAGCCTGTGGAAGAATGACTTTCCCCAATCGCAAGAGTTCCAATAGGCTGCGTTTGTGGGAGTCTTAACTCTGCCCCTCCCAAACAAGCACTTACACACATGCACACACACACACACACACTCACTACACAACAATCGGTGAGAAAGATGCTAACTGTAACTTTTGTTTCACTTGTAGCTCATATTGTTTAGCTTAACATATGGCTGCAAGTCCCCACGGAGTTAGATAATGGTATTTGGTTTAGTAAGCGGTAACTTTTCAAACTCTTTACAACATGCCAACCTGTAAAACAGCGTTACCCTGTTTAAATATGGTAAATGGATTATCATTATGGATTATTTGAATGGATTATTACTCCACTCCATCACAGCCTGTCTTCACATGCGCCCCGTAGTGCAATGTCACCTCTGTAAATCTCTCTTAACATCAACCAGATGTTGAATCACCAAATGCTTTCCATGGTGACTCAGCTAATTATTTCACTGCAGGGAGATTATGTGACACAGCGAGGGGAATGGCAGCCTGTGGTACGTAATGGGTATCCAGTTAAAAATAAAAATCTGTGTATAAATCTTTTTAAAGATTGAGTGTTGGGAAACCATCTATTACTCCTGAGTTTCTACTTCGTAAACGCAGAGTACTCTCTCTCTCTCATTCCCCCTGATTTCTTTAAACAGCCCCCAATCCTGCCCCTTCATCCCTCTCCTCCTCCTCCTCCTCCTTTTTCTAACAAGCCCTTCTATCTTAGCCATTCACCACCCTCTGTTAGTTTCGCCGTGTGTATTTGTGTCTGTGTATGTGTGTGTGTGTGTGTAGTCTCAGAGGGCGGGCCGTGAGTTTGTTAGTTGGTTGTGCAGCTCATTGAGCTCATTGTGCTCCAAAGGCCCTCTAGCCCAGCTGGACTCAACAAGAAGCAAGAAATCTCTTTCAAATCTCTCCTCTCCTTTCTCCTCCCCCCTTCCCTCTCCCTTTTTCTCCAGAAACCACCCCCCATCCCTCACCCAGTCCTTACTTCCAGTAATCCCCAACTCACCCAAGAGGGATTTGTTTATAGAAGTAAACTCGACTTGCGGACCAAATAGCTTGTTTATAGATAACACTTGTTTACTTAAGCAAATTAACAGCTTTCCTCAAGGCAGCCATGTTGTTGACATCTCACTAATGGCTTGTTGTTCACAGTGGTAGTCTTCATCTCAGGGTAGAAAACAAACACGCAGAGCCAACCCCTTAAGACTATGAACTAATTAGGGCAGTGTCTCATGTCTGAGTTAACACCCAAAGGTCAATCGTAATATAATTACGCCTTGTTTGCAATTGGCATCAGATTCAACTTGGGTCATATGATAAGAAGTGAGTAGTTTTTTTTTTTCTTACAAGAATGAACAGCTGTGTTGCAAACCAGAATCAACAGACTAAAGCCCTTTCCACTGAGTTTCTACAAATCTGTGCGATCACCAAATCACTATTATCCTTTCACTTAGATCTCAACCAATGATGTAATACTGCTGTTCCAGCGTGCGTGATATTACACAGGGGCTAAAGGGATGACATGCAAACAAACAAAACAACTTAAACACTGAGCAGCCTGTATGGTTACATGCTTGTTAAATCAGGCTAAGGTTGTTGCTCAGTTAGGCGATTTAACTTGACTACTGTCCCAGTTTGCAAGCGCCAGACATGAATTGAGTTATTGACAGAAGCATGCCTGCCTCTGCTATAGGTGGCTTCAACTGGGTTATGTCCTGTTTGACCTAATACTTCCCAAAACAGTTGACAAAGTGTGTTATCAAGTGGCTGATGCAGTGTATGTCATGTGATGAAAACACCGTCACTTTTACAGTTTCGTGTTTTTATGGCCTTTCTTTGTCTGTTGCAGTTTCGTTAAGGCTCGTTCCCCACTTACTAGCAACACATCTACGCTTTTCAACTTGCCAATACTCAAAATGGCGGCCAAACATACTTTCTTGTAACCTTAAGCGCTCACATTGGAAGACAAGCACCCCCCAGAATCTGACAGCGTAGTGGAATGAAGAAGTACAGACTACTTTATTTCATCCCAAACACCCTCCTTCACCACTACCAACTTGGTTTACTGTTGAAGAGGAGTTTTTAAGCAAGAGGATGAAAGTAGCCACTGCAACACTTAAATGAGCCATCTGTATATGCCTCGTGAAATCTAAATACAGATGGTTGCTCGAGGTACATTTAGGGTACCTTCAGATGCAAGGTGAGAACTTTTTCCTGTTTCTCAACAAATCTGGTTTTAGACCCATAGCATTACGTCATGGGGGGTGTAACACCCTGTGCTAAACAAACAGAAAGAAGTACACACACAAACACACTTAATGGTGACCACTTGGCTAGACCAAAACAAAGCTTTTCGGCAGGCTTTGTTCTCAGCCGAACTCATTTTTCTATGGTAGCTCAAAGCTGTGAGCTGCTTTCAAGAACTCTCAGACTCAAAGTGGGGGCTCAGCATTTTGATACTTTCATCAATCTGCACTATTATGGTCTCTCCCTTTTTATGGGGTCTTGAAGAGACTGTACCTTTTTTAACCAACTTATCAAGTTGGTGCATTTATTCTTAACACATGTAGGTATAGCTGGACCCAAACAACATCAAATCGGGCAATTAGAGGCGCTGAATTGTACAAACTGAATTCATCTGCCAACTTGTTAAGTAGACAGATGCAATCCTCTTTACAATCCCAGAAGTGTAACACCTTCACTCCTCGCAGACCTGGGTGGGTGTGTGACAACTCAAAATCCTATCTTTGTGAGTACCTATTTCTTGGCATGTAAAAAAAGCTCTTATTCATATAAAAATAAAAATAAAAAAGACAATTCATGCACGCTGATCCACAAAGTTAACTAAAAAAGCTCACATATGCCAGGCTAGAAGTTGGTGGTAAAACTTTGCCATGGGAAGCTACTGAGGAATAACATGTGCCTGTGCATATTGGTGTTCTTAAAAAGAGCTGAGAATACAGACAAACAAGAAGAGGGTGGCAAATGTGGGATCTACACTTTAACTGAGTCGCGCTTTTGAGCTCAGCAGAGCCAGAGCAACTCAAACAAAGCTTGATATTCCAACGTTGTTGCTGCATTGGCTTTTGATTGGGATTAATACCTATGTGCAAATGGGGCATCACTGTGTTCAGATATTCTGTTATTAAATATCTTCAGGAAAAAAAGGTGAACGATTTCTTATCAGGGATAAATAAAATCTATGAGTGCATCATGTACGTGTAGGGCCTCCATAAGTCTTTTCTATCTGTGCAAAAAAAGGGAAAATTTGGCTGACATATAGCCTACATGTCTATGTGTTTTATTTATTTATTTAAATTTTTGTATCAGTTAAAAAGACAAATGCACGTTATGATATCTTGGTGTCATTGTGAGACTGTCTGTAAGTAGGGGAGAGTGGGGTAAGTTGAGCCAAAGGGTAAGTTGAGCCACCCCCTGTTGCTTGGAAATGGTAAAAGAAATTGATCATGTGACCAAATATTTAGGCGATGGTCATCAATTCATGGAGTCTGTGAAGGTTAGAGGCACATGGGTGAAAGGGTTAGACATTTATTAAAAAAAAAAAAAACATTTGTCACTCTTGAAAGTGAATTTAGTCTGTAATAAGTTTTAGTAGAATGGTGTTCATATAAAAAAAAGCTCATTTTAAATTTGTTTTATTCATCAATTGTGGTATCTATTAGTGACAATATGAGGTCAAAAACCTAGCATAAAAGTCCACCACTTTAGCTCAGAGGACTAATAAAGTCATCATAGTAGTTCTGGGGTAAGTTGAGCCAGTGATGAGAGGATCAGAGTTTCAGTTCAGATTGTTGAAATGTGTTACTTTGCCTTTTCAAAAATACAGCTGTGAATGTTCTGAATCACTTAAAGACATTCTAATGTTAAAATAGCTTTTTACAAAACAGCTTTTTAGCAGTTATTTGCAATAATAATAATAAAAAGAATTATTGTACATGTTGAATAGTGTACAATAAATAAAAATACACATTAATGTGAAGAAGTGACTGTTATTTAGGGAGAGAGAAGGTGAGGGAGGGCTGGGGTGGAGAGTGGGGGGGTTGTAGGGATACGGCTCAACTTGCCCCACTCCTATGGTCAACTTACCCCATACACAGGGTAAGACCATAGGAGACCACTTTTTTGTCATGCTATATTATCAAGACAGTTATGTTTACACTCATTCTATTGGTTTGCAGGGATGAACAACATCATAAAATATATGCAGATTCACTAGTTAGAGACGAAACTAAGATTGTCTTGATGTAGTGATCCAAAATATGAAAAATGGTTCATCTTACCCCACTCTCCCCTATTCTAAACAGGCATCAAACACAGAAAAACACTTACTTCCGTTATAGAAATTTAATAAACTTAAAATTTGGTTGATTTGACTTATTTTACTTCACTGCTAACCATCAAGTCCTTCCCGTAGTGCAGACTGGTGAAAACATGCTCACCCGTGGACTCACAGAGACGTGGGAGGGGCCAGCAGCGATACTGTTAGGTTTTAAATTCACACGTGGTGTGGATCTTGGGCTTGTTAGGCACCAACACACACAACTAGAAACTTCTGACCAACTCATGCCGAGTGTCCCCACGTCTATCACTGCGGGGGCAGACGGGAATCCAACGAGGCTTTCGATAACCCAGCAAAAATGCCATCCTACCCCATGAGCCAGTTTTGCGACCTGGAAGAAATGATGTGCAAGGTAAAAAGAAAAGGAAAAGCGCGGAGAAAGTTGAGCGAAGAGTGGAGCAAAAGTTAGCTAGCTGGCTAGCTGCGCTGCTAACTGTACGCTGTTTGCTTCCCTCGTTGTAGGCGGATGTCTTTGTTTACCACTTTTATACATGCAATGTGCGCGGAAATGTGCTTTTATCGAAAATGCATACTCTTGTTGGGCTTGAAATGCGCGTAAAGCTAACTTTTGTCAAACTTCAACTCTTGTTAAGGTTGGTATTACGTTTATAGCAACATGGCCTCACTAAACTTTCTACCAATTCAGCAAACTGAGTGGTGCTTTTAGCTCGATATAGCCGATTTTTCGCTGTTTAGTTTGTGCTGACTACCTTTAAAAATAAACAAGATATAACTCATAATTCAACGGCTTATGTCTGGTAGATAACGGCAAGAAAATTCAACCCTAATATCATCGTAAACAACTTTCTCCATGGCTAACTTCCAAATGCACGACTGAAAGAGGCTATATAAAGTTTCTAAGCTGTGTTTTTGCTCATGAAAGTGTTTACCAGATGCGAAAAAAGTGCAGGAGAGTTTAATATGACTTTGTTTTACAGCAGCCTTAAGTTTGACTGTTGTGCATGTGCTGCTCAACAGCTTAGCCCAACTGAAAACACAAGTGTGGTGTGTCAGATAAAACAATGCGTGGTCATTTAGGAGTAGATTTCTGCTCTTTTATTTTATGTTTTTGTGATTAAAATGCAGTAATGATTTCAAGGAGGGTAGAAATAACAAAAATATCCAGCAGTGTCAATGAAAATCATCACTTATGCCAGGACACAATGCCTATTTCAAAGGTTTTCCTTTTCTCTACTCTTGACTCATAACCTAATCTAACTGGGAGGTCATAGGGGGGAAGAGCATGGTCAAAAATGAAAGTGTTTGGACAATGCCTTTCTTATTCAGCAGCATTGTTTTTGCATTAGTGACGGGCACAGCAGTTATTTTAGATGGACTGAATCACTAGAATGAGTTCACCAAAAGGATTTGTTCAAAAGATTCGTTCATTAGCGGGAGAAGCCTGCGACTCTGACCTCCTGAACTGATACACAGCTGAACAGTTCAGGATTCAGTTAAATTCAAAGCTTCTGGGACCAGGAGACGAGAGTGTTTGGCTGTGTTGCTTTGACAAACTTGTTTGTAAGTCATGATGTTTTAAGTGTACTGTCCTATGGTATGCTATTTACCAGATCTGCTCGGTAAATTTGGGTCAGAATTTACCTTATTGAACCTGCACCTATCCCTCGCAAACAGCTGCAATGATAGGATGCTGCGGGTTTAATGCACTACTTGTTACATGCTGTGTCCTATTGCATGCAAGTTGTTGTGGTAGTAATTTAGCAGTGGAAAAAAGGTGGTTTTGTCCAACAAAAATGATTCCAGAGAGTGTAGTTGAATGCATGATTCGTTCACCAAGTGATTCAGGCGTCGGTACATGCAGTCCTTCGTTCGCCGGCTGCTCACCTGGTAATGCTGTTTCTCACTTAGGCCCAACTGAAGTGAGAAATGAACAAATCACTCGGAAGTGATTCTGTTCAGTACGTTCATTTAAAAGATTTGGTTCTTTTGAATGAATCGTTCGTGAGCGACACAACACTATCTTGCATTTGTTGAATATAACTGTGTCAGTGCTTCTCAAGGGAGCCTGAATTCTGCTGCACCTTTTTACCTCTGTAGGCGCTCTGCAAACAGACATCTAATAATTTTCTTAAAATGAAAAAATAAAATTATTTATTCTTTATTTCGTTATTCATGACTAACTTTGTGTTGTTTCTTTCTCTTTCTCAGCATCTGTTTAATCTGGACATGAGGGAACAGGGCAGACAGCTACCACCCCTCAATCTGGCAATGAGAACACCAGGTTATATTGGTCAGTCCAGCAGCAACACTTCACTTTCCCTCTCGTCTCTCTCCTGCCTCCCCTCTGATCCTCCAGACAGCACGCTTTTGACTCCCAATCCTTGGGGGCAGCAGTCAGAAAGCTGTCTGCCCTCCCAGCTTACAAATTCCAACCAGTGGGTGAAACCAGGTTTCTTCGCCCAGCGCTCCATCAGCATGGTGGAAACTAGCAGCACCACAGCAGCAAGTCTAGGCTGGCCCGGGACTGACATGAAGCACACCCAAAGTGACATCAGCCCCACTGCACTGAACACTAACTCCTCCTCCTCCTCTTCATCTTCTCGATATAAGACTGAACTGTGTCGATCTTTCACAGAGAGTGGTCTGTGCAAGTATGGTGGGAAATGCCAGTTTGCCCATGGGCCAGAGGAGCTGCGGGATCTCAGCAGGCATCCAAAATACAAAACAGAGCCATGTCGCACGTTTCACACCATCGGCTTCTGTCCCTACGGGATCCGCTGCCACTTTGTCCACAACAATGAGGAAGAAAGGAGACACTCCTTTTCACGATCCTCCTCAACCTTCTCCAACTCTTCCTCAAGCATTCCTCCACAGCAACCTTCCTCGTCCTCTTCCCGCCCAAACAGACCACCTTTAGTCCGACAGAGCTTCAGCTTTGCTGGGTTTCCATCTGCTCCCCAGCAGTGTCTCCAGCAGGCCCTTACCCCTTCACCTGGAACTGCTTCTCTCACACGAGCTCCTTCAGCCTCTCCTCCCTCCTGTGCTGATGTCACTGACCTCCTCTCTCATGCCTTTCTGGAGATGGACTCTGCCTTCAAGGCCTCCTCAGGCCTTATGTACCAGCCTCCAATAGGGCAGGCCGCAGCAATAGATCCTCGCTCTCCATTCCTGCCATCCCCGGACTCAGGCTGCTATCCATGCGGGCTGTCTCCAACCACATCGCCCTCCCTGAGGCAGAGTCCTGGCGCTGCCAGCGTCTTTTCAGGGCCCCTGGGTACCAGATCCTTATCCTACACCTCTCTGTCTGATCAGGACCAAGATGGAAGCAGCTCCACTAGCTCACTGAGTGGCTCTGAGTCCTGTGGTGGCGTTAACGAAGCGAATGGCAGACGTCTGGCAGTATTCAGTCAGCTCTCTGTGCCTGAGGACCCAGCAGGGTTGAGCCTTTAGGCTACAGGGTTGTGTTTGAACACAAACACACACTTACATTTTTCACATTGGGACACAGAAATCCATACCCTGCTTACACAATATATTCGGTATCTGCATATCAATATTTATCAATATCAAGTAAACTCATCTCATCCCGGCACAGGCAGCAGCTGAACTGACCTGCAGACTTTCTGCTCACCTGTGTGGTGTCAGAAGACTCAGACTTGATAACTGTCTCACAACCCCCATAGAGATTCATCTGTTAGATTTATGTGGTCGAAATGTCGCTGTCACACACATAAGGGAAGCTGTGATGCTGAAACTCAAATGTGTTTTGCCACCAAAACGTATCAGTGTAGGAAGCATTTGAAAGCTTTATCAGAATAGTGTTCTGAGAGAGCAAATCGCTATGGAGATGTAATCACAGTGTGATCACCTGTTGTCACACTATTTATTTTTGCATTTTATGTGTGATCTTAAGAATGTGACAAAGCCAAAGACATGTTTGTAGCTCAAACTGTTTGATTATGGTGGTACAAACACACAAAGTGGTCTGTGTTTAGGACTTTTTCCTTTTTCAACTGTACACAATATTGTGTTTATAAGCTAGTGAGATTTTTTTTCCCTCATAACTGTACAGTCTGGGGATCCATTTTAGATCACTGGCCTCCAACCTGAATGTTAAGTTTTAAAGCAACTGAAGTGCCTGTAGCGTTAGCAAACAGGTCGTGTTATAGCGTTGAAATAGTGTTTGGTGGTTTTGTATCGAAGAGAGGTGACAAGGAGTAGTAGAGTCAGTTCATCTGAGTTTAGGTCCTCTGTTTGTAGGATTACTTCAAGTGCTATTTTTTTGTTGTTTTTTTTGTGCGTTATTGACAAACTGCCACCGGTAAAGTGCCAAATGACCAAATACAACCTGTCCCACAGAAAGGGGAACAAAAACATAGCGAGCCTATTCATAGTGTTTCCCGTGTGAAGGACTCGTCTTGAAGTATATCATATCTTTAATTTTATACGCTTTAAAATGCTTCATGTGCGAGTCAGCACAAACAGCAGCCATTGTCATTCAAATCTATCATTACTGAAAGTCAAGGGTAAAAAAAAAGAGAGAAAAAGTAAAAACAGATGTTGACATAATTCTGCACCTTGTTTGGCATACACTGTTTTCACCTGTTTAAGGATTTGGCTTGGCAGTATGTTTCTCCATTGTGGTGCCAACGTGTATTTAAGCTTATCAGGAAACATCCTAAAGAAGAAGAACGACTTCCTTACCCTTGTCCACAAGCAGCACTGGTGTTATTTATTTTTTACTTTTTGATAGAAATCCGTGTTTTTGTGGCATTCACTCCACCATCTCTCCTTCTCATTAAGTATTACTTCTTCCTGTTACGGCTGCATACTGTTATGAATGTCTAGCGTCCTGGTTGCAGCACCCAGATCTGTTGTGTAACTAAGCTAGAGTAGGGTTGTTTGTTTGTTTAGAGTTGTAGACATTTTACTTGTTTACCTGTTTTTTTTTTTCATGTTCCTGACATAGTTGGTTAGAAGAACAAACGCTGTGCTGTTTTTGGTCTATTTAAGATTGCCTTTTCATCAACATGTTTCAGGCCTGTTTAGTGTTAAAGGTGATAATCTTTAGTAAATTAATTTCTTTAATTTATTATAACGTATTTATAGAGGACTTTCGAGTGGTTAATGCTTGTATCAAGTTTAATATATTTACTTTTTCTTGCTTTTTTTTTTGTACTGGAAATAAAGTTGTTTTTTTACTTACCGTTAGTGTGTTGTGGTTTATCACCTTACTGTGGTTTCACGTGCGATCGATGAAATTATGTTTTCTCCGAAACTGATGCTTAGAAACAGTACAACCCCCGTAAGTTTCCTTGCACTCTTCGCCAAGGTGTAAATCATGCAAACTTTAATTTATTTGCAGCAAGGGTGACACACTTGACATTACCCATGCAAGGTGCAAAAAGGAAGGAAGCCAGCAGGAAACCAGCGAAGCTGTCTTTTATGGTTTTCATTGTAAATCACATTCCGGTAGGGGCCTGTACTGCTGACGGTAACTATCTGCAGAGATCAGTGAAGATAACTGATTTCACCTCACTCTAAAATTTGGTGATTTATAACCTTTAAACTCACTTCCAAATTCCCTCGAACATTTTTTGAACATATTTCACTTGACAGTTTGAAAAAGTTTCTAATACAACATGAAACTTTCAGTAACTTCTTACTGGGTTCATTCGGTCAACAGGTTTCAGAGTAGATGGACAATGCTGTTGTAATTTATCAGTTTTCATCCAGAAGTCACACTATACTGGACCTTAATACAGCAAGTCTTTCATATTTCCACGTAAAATTGCACAATGTAGCAGGAAATGAATCATAAGATTGCTCTGTGGTGCAGCCTCAGCTCCAAGAATGTGCTTACAGACCAGATTCGCTGAGTGATTCATAACTAAAGACGTTTCTTAGTGTTGTGGTGAAACTCGAGGACTCCCAACAGGTTATTTCCCTGCTCTGAAATCACAGTCAAAGTGAATATTACACTGTCTCTGATCATGTGTTCCCAAAAATCACAGTCACAGGGGTAAGACTCTAAATAAGAGCTGCAAATAAAAAGGTCAGTAGTTATTTTATGTCTCTGTGCACATTAAATGTTTGCAGAAACTGATAGAAATAAGTACTGATTATTGCTGCCACAACAAGTCTAGTGTAGGAGAGTAAGACACTGGTGTGAGTGTGTAGTCATGCAATTGAGATTTCATGTGGAGATAAGAAGTCTTTTGTTTGGGGTTTAATCCGACCAATGCTCAGCCTCCCACCCATTTCCCTTCTCCCTCACTGCCTTCACTCATTACATCCTACTTTCCTCACAGTTCTCCCCTTTCCTTCCTTAATTTACACCCCCCTCCTAAGTCTCCACCTCTGATGCTCAGGGTAATGTAACTGTCTCTTCTTTTAGGTTAAAATGCAATTACAGGACCGGTATTAACAACAAACTTGTGGTCTGAACTCCAGAGGTGCATTTGAAAAGTAGAAAATATTTACATTAAAAAGAAACAGGAGATATTTATTATTACTTCAAAAGAAGTCATAACAATGGTAGATCAGGAAAAAACAGGGCCAAAGATGCAGCCTCATGGTTGACCCTCCTGGAATCCTTTTTTCATACACACACACAGGCACAAGGGCCATTATCTTGTCAGTGTTAACATAAGATGGGCTGCCTGGGAGTGATTAGTGGCCATGAGGGGGTTAAAGGCATGTGTGTGCTCGCATGGTTTTTGTGTGTGCTGTTTTGTGTCTGATAGACATTCTCCCACACTCTTGCCCTGTGGGACATAGGAAAGGCAGGCAGATGGCTGTATTCAGGTCCACCACAGGTCAACATATGGCCCCAAGAGACACAGTTTGCTTTTGCGTGTCTGTGTGTGTGTGTGTGTGACAGCAAATCACTCTCTTACTATGCATGAGTGGAGGAAGTTGAATAAGTGGGCAATGAGGAAAAAAAGGTAAGAATTGTGTGAGATAGAGGAGCAATGGGACTGTAGGGGGATAAAAGTAAGTGGGTGTGACCATGGGAGATCATATAGGGGTTTGAATGAACTAACATGGTCTCGGGAAAACTGGTTTGATCCACCTTTTTAGAAAGAAAGACCTCTTGAGTTAGTTCCACTTTAGCTATTGTATTTAATTCCATATAAGGACTTGGTGTAAGAAGTTTTCTCACATTTGTTTAATAGACAGAAATTCATATTGATGCATTTTCATGATATCAGAACGCAACAGAGACAACTTTTATACCATTATTTTTAGTTTCTTGAAACCAGTGGGAGGGGGTAGGTTTTTAGTTGAACGGGTACGAAACATCCCTGTCTTTTCATAAAAAGTGATTACAAAGAATTTTAAATTTGTCTGACTGATGAGATTTTTGTCAAACGATAACATTAAAGCACGTATTAGACGTAACGCTTTAAGACTGGTCTGTCCACAAGGGGCGCCAAAATAGACACAAACTTACAGTTCCTCACAGGGGCTTTAAGTAAATTAAGAAAAGTCATATATCAACATCTTACCCAAGGTTCTTCTCATTTTTGAGTAAAATGTTGACAGATATCTGAGAATGGTAACCAGTCAGCAGCTATAAGTAACAGTTAGCTCAATGTAGCTAACTATGGCTGTGTCCGAAATGGATCCCTAACCCATATCTAGGTGACGATAGGGATTGAGTGATTCATTTCGGACACAGCCTAAATGATTAACCCCTTACCGCTAGCTAATGAAGCTTACCGCTTCCTTACTTCTGAAAACATAAGACATTGGATGGCTTCTTTGATAACAGCAACACGATATTGACAGGTTGTTGCATGTGAACAGTTCGTTAGCATTATTTTAGTGTTTGACTTTAAATCTACGGGAACAGCCAAACCAGCCAACAATGATTTCTGTGAAATAAAGTGAGCCGCCTGACTGGGATCAATAATCAGTCACCTTCCCACATTATGTGTGGACAGTGTTACGGAATTCAGCGAGTCATCTGTTGAAGAATGAATGCAGGATTTAGTTACACACCCCCCAACCACTCCTCTTCCCTTCCAGGCCCCTTTTCTCTCCCTCTCCTCCCCCCTCCATTCACTGTTCCCCTTTGTGAGTGTATTGGTGATATTGTGATGCATGAGTAAAGCAGGAGGGGGGGGGGGGGGGGGGTGAAGCTGTGCTGAGCAGCAAAAAGCAGCTGTTGCTGAAATTTAGTCATCATTCCTCATTTCAACTAGTTCCCTCCCTCTACTTGTTTTTTTTTGTAGACAATTTGGGGAAAGTAAAAGCAAATTGTCACACCCTCACCCTTTCCTGTCTCACCATCACACCTTCACTGACATTGCTGTACACATACAACTCCCCCTCCATGCCCCCCAGAGGCTTTTCTTTCACCCAGTCTAATTTTTCTCCTGCCCACACTCTATCTCACCATCTCCTCCTCCACCCACATTTACAATTCTGCCCCTCCTAAGCTTTCCTTCTAATCCCTCCTTCTGCTTTTTTCCTCTTTCCAGAAAGGATTTGGGCAAAGTGTTTAATGAGTTGCAACAAACGGGCACAACAGTGGGCTGTAGTCAGGTGCTACAGATGTATGCAACTTAATTTCCCCGGCTGTTTTCTCTTCATCCCAGAATTCTTTTGGTTTTGCAGCAAGTTCTAAAATAAAAACCCACGTCCCTCTGTCACCTATGACGCACGGTGCAGATCAGCAGACAAGAGTGTTTCTTCAACTCTTAAGCTCTTCAAAGGACTCTTGTCTTGAGGGCCTCCATACTGTAGCAAGGGCATATTTTTAAAAGAGCGAAGACTTGTATTTAAGAGGTACTCCAGCAAACAAGTACTGCACTTAAATGAAGATGAGGGGATTGGAAAAGTTGGATATTTTACATTGATAATCAAGAGAAATGCAGAGAAAGCCAGACTTTTATTCCCTAACACAGTTGGAGCTCCAAAACACTCGATCCTGTGCTTCCCATTACAACAACAGTATGGTTCTTTCACTCCAAAAAGTTCCCTTGAGAGCAACAGACAACCTCTAACAGCTGTTTGCAGAGACAGATTGAAACACTCCATAATAAGGAAGTTCTTTGTGTGAAATATTTAAGTGCTTTCCTGAGATGCAATCCACATGTTCGAGCGTGGAAGCGTGTTTTTACTCATGGTGGAATTCCTGATTTAACTTCAGTTTGTCCGTGATTACCATATTGTTGAAAAACAGAGCTTGACTCTTTGGCACAGCTATCACACAACTGTAGAATGATCCAGTTTAGAAATATTTTATTTACAAGAACTTTTTCCAAACTTAATGACTGAAAAATATTGAATAACCAGTGATGAAGATAAATTTTAAATGTTAAGACAGAGTTATGCACGGATGAAGTGACGAATAGGTGGGTTCTTTGGTTATTTTTTGTTAGGGACCTTTTGGACAAACCTCTTGTCTGTGTCCAAAATCACTGAAAGTTAGGCTGAGTCAGCATTCTTAATATATTAACCACCATCATTGGACTTCAAAACCCTCTTCAGGAGCAGAAAAAAAGGATATCACTGAGACTGTACCCTGGATTTGTACAGCCCATGATCCACACAAATGTTTTTCAAACCACATCCTATAAGAGAATGAAAAACTGAATGCACACTCAACGAATAAAGCCACATTTGACAACTTTTATTCTGTAAAACTATCACACTCTGGCGGTGGAATACTGGAGTAAAGACAAGGGTGAATCAGAAAAAAAAGGAATGGCAGATTGAGCACCATGATCCATCTACTGCAGTACTTTCAATGCGGTGTTGTACTAAAATATAAAAATAACAAAATCCACAGTATTCAAATGTTGAGCCAAATCTTACATCTGAACAATAAAAACAAGGACTCGGCCTTCTTTCACAACTTTCTCATAGAACTGGTGTTGCAGATTAGCCCACTTGGATATAACTTTGATACTTCATATACAGGAAGTGAAGTACACTCACATACAATGGTAACCTCTTAATACCAAGCTCATGATATGGATCAAAAAACATGAAAGAAATATTAATAACTTAAGAGGGGATGATGGGAAAGGGGCCTATAGTTACAGTCAAGTCAAATGTGTTATAATGAGGAGGAAAAAAACTGCATAAAGAATCATTTCAGTCTTCTTTTTCTGAGTGTGTTTGACTTTCTTTGTTATGCCATCTAAAGTCGTGGACAAGTCTAGAGACTTTGTTGTGTAAAACAGCAAAGTCATGATTCTGCTTTTGATTCAATTTCTGCAAAATTACTTCATTGTTATTGTCACAACCGAACATAAACAGGCTTTGTAAACTAGCTGCTGCATGTAAGGTTTGTCGTGTCAGTAGCAAATATCGGAATATCTGAAGTTATCTTATTTTAAGATAATTTTGTTGCATTGACACAAATACAAGAATTATATGGTGCTGTTTTCATTGTTCTTAAGATTTTTCATACAGCTCAGCTTATGCTCAAGTATGGGCACTGGCTGATGAACACTGGAAGGTTATCAAAGAGAGAGGCCAGTTGTTTGATAGAAAACAATTCACTGTCAAAAAAAAAAAAAAACAAAAGACCTGAAAGTTTCCTTGTAACAGACATGGAGATGGTGGTAGTTTCAGTGATAGCTTAATGTGTCCCTCTAGTGGCACCAAGATGCAACAGTATCTACACAAGAGGTAGACCTTTGTCCTTTCTTTTTCAACAGGCCTGATTACTGGGAAAATATTATGTATAATGAATAAAACAATAAGCAAACACACATGTGAAACAGCCCAACAGTCTCACACTAGGATGAGATCAATGTACAGCCATGTAGGGGAACTCTAAAAACCACCACAAAGAACAAAAGTTCACTGCTTAGTACACAAAATATAACCTACATGCTCAGCTTCAATTGTCAGCTGTGAAATGTGATGACTCGAGAGAAAGAAGTAGAAAAATAACTAAGAAGATGTACCGCAAAATTACTGCACCAATTATTCCTTCTAGATTCAGATTCTGCCTCATAACAAAGCACCAGCCCATAAAGGCAATCTGCTTCAAGGCAGGGACAGCACCAGTAGCTGGGTATTCAGAGTCCACACGTGTTGAATTATATCGCTGGTATTTCAGGTGCAATACTTGTCAGAGGTTTCTGGCTTTTATTTTTAGGTGTTTCCATGAGGAGATGTTTTGGCAGTTTATCGTCCTGAATTATCATCCAATGTAACATTGGACTAACTCTGAATATCTTAAGTTAGCACACAGTCCTCTCATTTTCAGGAATCAACATTGCAACACTATACAAAGGATATTAAGTTAACTAGTGATTTACTATACATTCACATTTATGTATTCACAGCCACAGGTAGTCAAAACCCAACCAAGTGGGGTCCACTTAATTTGGGAAAACAAAGAGAGGAACATTATAAATTAATTTACTTTTTTGAACAATAGTATAAAAGAAGAGTCAAGTAACTTTCTGAGAGTCTGATCTAAACCTTTTTTCTGTTGTGTGTACCTAGCTGTTAGCAGTACCTTGCAAGTCCTGTTTGACATATTTGTAGAAATCAGGGTTGTGTTTGAGTCCCTCTGGTTAGACAGGAACAACTATCCTCTTCTTAAGATAAACAACCTTGCATGAAACCAATCCTCGTCACAATGGAAGCAGAGAGGAACAGATCACAATTTCTGGATCACTACCTGGAACTTACCTGGTGAAACACAACAAAAAATAAAAAAGGTTAAACATTTGATTGACACTAATTCGCAAGTTCTGTCCCTTCATGCTTTACCCAGAATAAACTAAACAATGACAGGACTTCTGACTGTACTTACATGACGGCATAACAGAGACCTCAGCAGTCACCACACTGTCCAGACCGAGGTTAGACAAAGCTCCTCTTACCACACCACATGAAAAGGCAAGGTACTGTAAAAACATACAAACACACACGCATGCAAATTAGTCACACCCACGATGAGATTGACTTAAAGATGAGAGGAAGAAAAAGTGTACACAAACCTTAGGAGCCTGATCTAGGTACTGTTTTCCACTTGAGAGCTGAGTCAGCAGGGAAAACTTGTTGTCTTGCAATACATATGTACCCTATGAAAAAGAGAAATCATGGCGTGATTTTGTTTCAAGGATTGATGTATTCAAGGGGATTTTGAGAGTTGTATCTAAGAGAGGACACAAATCTCAAGTCCGCATACAAAAAAAATCCATTTGCATACTTTATTCTTAATTTACCTGATGGTTCGTTCGGAGATTGTCAATCTGCCTCCGGAAAACCTTAGTCCAAAAGTCTTTACAGATGAATTTCATTACATCCAACTCATCCTTGAAGCTGGGAGAATCTCTGGTCAACCTAGAAAAAAGGGCAAAACTTCTTAAAAAACGTTATTTGAAATAACATTGCTTGAAAATGGTAAAAGAAATTGATCATGTGACGAAATATTTAGGAGATGGGCATCAATTCATGGAGTCTGTGAAGGTTAGAAGCACATGGGTGAAGGAGTTGGACATTTAAATCCCCCAAAAAATAAAATAAAGTGAATTTAGTCTGTCATAAGTTTTATTAGAATTGTGTTCAGACCAAAAAAGATCATTTTAAATTTGTTTTACACATCAATTGTGGTATCTATGAGCTACAACATGAGGTCAAAAACCTAATATAAAAGTCCACCATTTTAGCTTAGAGGACTAATAAAGTCATAATAGTAGTTCAGGGGTAAGTTGAGTGGCTCAACTGAAAAAGTAAAGAAGTCTGATGAGAGGATCAGAGTTTCAGTTCAGATTTTAGAAATGTGTTACTTTGTCTTGTCAAAAATACAGCTGTGAATGTTCCGAATCACTTAAAGTTATTCTCATGTTAAAATGTCTTTTTACAAAAAAGCTTTTTAACAGTTATATGAATTACATGTGTGTATATGAGTTACATGAATGTGAAGAAGTGACTGTTCTTTAAGGAGAGAGATGGTGAGGGAGGGCTGGGGGTAGTGTGGATACAGCTCAACTTACCCCGCTACTATGGTCAACTTACCCCATACACGGGGTAAGTCGACCATATGAGACCACTTTTTTTGGCATGCTATATTATCAAGACAATTATGTTTACACTCGTGCTGTTGGTTTGCAGGGATGCACAATATCTTCAAATATATGCAGATACGCTAGTTAGAGACAAAACTATGATTGACTTGATGTCGTGATCCGAAATATGAAAAATGTCTTGTCTTACCCCACTCTCCCCTATCTGTGTGCCGCTTGCTTACCTCTCTATGAGCCCTTGGCCCACCCTGAAGCCCATGCTTTCCAGGACAGAAACGCACGCAGCTCTGTCCTAAGGAGAAGACAACAAAGGAGATGTCACATAGTATATTGTGGACAGTTCTAGGATAAGTCCTTGTGGTTCGTTCATGTTCATTCAACATACCTTGTTGTCCAGTTCTCCTTTACTGGACTGCTGCTCCTTGTAAACATGTGACACGATCTCCATGTGGAGGAAATCAAACAGAGCCTCGTCTGCCATACCTAAAAAATCCAAAGAACCGGTTGTGAAGTGCAAAACAATGCTTAAGTATCACACAGCTCACGTTGGTTTGCATAAAGCGGTAAATTCTCAGCTGATCTGGACTCGGTAACAGCAGCTGTGCCTCAGCTGGGCAGCTTTAGGGAGCTAGCTCACTGTCATTTGCTTTCAATTTTTTTAATGACAGAAAAAATACTTGACCCACTCTCGACTAATGGATATTTATCACAATACAGCTATACACACGGTCACAAAACTTGGATTTAATATCAACAGATTACACAAAGTGAGCAGTTAAATCTACTGTACCTGCTAGTATAGCGTTAGCTTGTAGACGTAAACACAAGCCCGCTTCAAAAGGAGCACTCGATATTAACGCCTGCGCACACCGTTGATTTTATTTTCTCCTATTTTTGGTATTGACAACAACTATTGCGTTTCCTCGAATAATACTTTGGAAGATAGTATTTTTTCAAGTTCTGTTAAAGGAGATTAGTCGTTTGCTCTCTATATTGATCAAAAATGACTATACGATGCATCATTACCGCCTGCTATTGGAGTTCCTGCATACGCAAGGATGCAGTACAAACTAACAGGGTTGAGACATAGACATAATATACATAGACGCCTCAAAGCCTGACGCTGCCTACTGGAGCTCACGTATCAGTGTGCCCGCCATCTTGGCTGGGTCACCTATGCGCCTCCAGTGCATTAAGGTAGGTAGGAATGCCCAACCATATTGATAATAATTCTACAAATCTCTGCCCGATTTTCACACTGTTTGGTTTGTTACAACGGCAGGGATGTAGCCATAATACAAGACAAAATCATACATTAAAAATAAATTAAATTATTTTTCAATCTTATATATGGAATATAATCCTACGTGATCTGGTTTCAATACTGCGTCGGGTTTTTCAACCATAGAGTGCAAAAACACGGGCATAGTTGCTCGTTCTCCATTGACCCCGTTTGGCTCTCGAGAAAACCTGGAGTGGGGAGACCCATCCAATATGGCGGTGACGCTGGATGACGCTCCAACACGTAATGAGGCGTCTAACGTGTATGGTTTGAGCACGCAAACGCAAGCGTCACGAATCACATGATCACGTAGTCAAGACTGGATTGGTTCCTAGAAAACAATCCACTTCCGTGTTGCTCATGTGACTTCTGTTAGGCGCACACAGAAAAGGTTTGACAGTTTGGTTTTCTGATTGTCTGTACCTTAAATGAACCACTATCCTAACATTTCATGGTATTTTATCGCTTAGTTAATTTGATTTAAAAGACAAATACGCCCCTGTTGTGTCAATCACCGTTGATCAGCTGCACTTTGCCTCAATTATTCTAAAGTTTTAATAATATTCCGTTGTGTGTGTGTTTTTGTGTTACCAGTCATGTCTAGTCGGTACCAGATTGTGGTGCAGGGCGAGGCCTCTGAGACGGACTCAGATGATGAGGTCTACATCACCTCTATGGCTGCTCCCCAGACAGCAACAATGGGAGCCAAGGTTGATATGCAAATGTGTGTGTGTGTGTGTGTGTGTGTGTGTGTGTGTGTGTGTGTGTGTGTGTGCGTGCGTGCGTGCGTGCGTGCGTGCGTGCGTGCGTGCGTGCGTGTGCGTGCGCGTTTGATGGACTGAGAGATAAAGTGTGTTTACATGCATCAAGCCCTCCTCTCCTAAACCTTCAAGCTACTTTGTCTCTGATCTCTGATGCGGCCAGGTTCCCGGGGAAGCCTCAGAAACTGACAGCGAGAATGAGGAGGAACAGTCGGGTCGGATCTCTGCTCTGAGCCAGGAGAGTGCTCAGATACTCAGGAGAGACCTCCCCCCTCTCATAGTTGTACGAGACCACCCTGATATACAGTCTATAGTTGAAGACAGGCCGAGCCCCACACATAGGCCACATGGTGAGGAATCCTGGTCTGAATTCGATTGTTATGGTGTGATGGATGCCAACATTTAGCATTTCAATGTCCTTTCATCGCAACTGGAAAATCTTTATGAATAAATAAAAGTATGCATGGAAGACATTTCATTTTAGCCTTTAGTATTAAAATTTCAGGGTAAATAAGTTTCTGTGTCTGTTTCCAGGTGACACACTTTTACAACAGAAACTGCAGGAGTCTAACAGCCGGCTGTATTCTGACGTTGGACAGACACTACGGCACGTTTATGGCAGTGCCAGTCGAGAGGTATGAGGTTATTGTAAACTCCAGCTTTCAGAGATATGCACTTTAACTTACCCTATCTCAGCAGTCCACTCCAATGAGGTAATTTTGAGAATATTCAAGCCGTAAACTATTACTGTTTTCACATATTCTACGAAAGCCTGGACAGGAGTCAGTGTTTTCTGTGACATCAATTATGATCCCATGGTTAATCTCTGATTTGAGCTCAATGGGAGTATTTGAATGTCTTCATAAAAATACTGCAATAGTTTTGACATGATGTTTTCTTTTAAAGGTGCACAATGCAACAGCCCAGCTGACTACCTCACAGAGCGCCATCATCAACGCTTCTCACAGCATCCGCTTAATCCTGGATGACCTGAAGGCGGTTTCTGAGAAGATTGACATCATCACTAGCTGTCAAATACTGCCTGATATCAACATCAATAATCTCAATAATTCTACTGCCCCTGCACCTTAAAAAAAACCAAGGCATATATATTCTAAGCATTAATATCACCTGGATGTCTCACATCATAAAATAATTGCGTTCAGTAAATCAGTTAGGACTCAAGCTGGTATATCAAAGCAAGTGAGATTTACTTCAGTGTTTACAAGTTTCCCTATGCACATGAACAGGTATGTTATTTGAAGTCACACCGTGAGCTGTATGTATTTATCTGTGAGTTTTTTTTACTGTTTGTGTGCCTGAAGCATTGAAATGTCTTAGTAAAAAGTTAAATAAACAAACCATATCAACTAATATTTCTTGAAACTTTTACAAAGGTAATTATTTAAAACATCTCCAAATATAATTACAAAGCTACATAATCTCTTAAAACACTGCATTAATTATACTTATGTGAGGAGGATTACATGTTATTCTCAAAGATTTTCTAGCATGTGATTTATTGATCATGAATATGCATCTATGCAAAATTGCTAAAAACAGAACATAAAATGCAACGTTACAAAAATTACTTGCCTGAGCTAGTGCAGGTTTTGCAGTTTGCAAGAAAGGGAGGGTTTCACTTTGGTGAGTCCTTCATTATCTTAATAAATAAAGGGTTTAGAAAAGAAGCCCTCTTTAGTTCTTTTATTCATCATTTGGTGAAGCCAGCCTGTCAACGAGAAGTATCAATAACTTCAGATACATCAGTTGATTGTGTGAAGATTTGTCAGATGGGTGAGAAGATATACACAAACACCAACTGCAGCAGGTTGAGAACTGTGCCTACAATACCAACAATTCCAGACTGAGTGATTAACTATGAGCAGCCAGCATGCAAATCTGTCATTCTCTTCAAGCAGGAAGTGTTTTTATTTTTAGTGCATTAGCATAACGACCACCAGAGGGCGCCTTTGGAACAGATATTCATTTTCCTCCTGCTGCTCTCTGCTTAACCATTTGTTTTCCCTCCCACCAATGAAGGCTGAATTACAATGTTGACGTCTTGTCCCACACATATAAGAAATAGGACTTCTTTGTAGGACTTAAAATAGGACTTAATTGATTGCTGAGGGGAAATTCAATTGTCATGTCTCAAGTCATCTACTATTTACAGAAGAATTATAAAGTCTGATGGCTGTGGGTACAAAAGATTTTCCAAAACTTTCTGTCCTTCAGCAAAGAGAGAGGAGCCGTCCACCACCATTTGCCCTGTGGTTGATCAAGGTGTTATGAATATATGTGCAACAGTTGTTTTTTACCCAATACAGCAATACAGCAATGAAATGGGGGTGTGATTTTTCACAGAAGGAAAATTTGCAGTAAAGACAAGGAAATATTCAGTTCCAATGGTCAAATATTTCAAATCAAGGTAGTAAAGGATGAACACATAGTACTTGCATCAATTAAGTTAATCTATTTTTGCATGTTTTGCAAATAAGTCAGGTGGAGCAACATATGTAATTGAATCTTTGTTGATGAGTTCATCCATACACGACTGAAGCATTGTGGCAAGAGTGATGCTTGTTTTGACGTAATACAAGCTTGTGAATCAATAATGTTGGCACTCTTGGATCTTGGATCAATAATTTTTCCAGCCTTGTATTTTAATTTAATCACAAAATTACATTTTAATGAACAGAACATATATTCTTTGATATTTTGATTTATTGTGCTATTGTGTTTAAAGATACTATAAGGAGTTTTCTAGTTCTATCTGATACTGGTGCCTCTGTATGACTTTCATTAGGAAATGAGACCATCAGCAACAGGTCAAAAAATTTCTTTGTTATGATTTTAATCCATGAAATCATGGTGAGGGGTTAAGTTTACGCCTGATGGTTGACAGCACACTCAAGAAAATGCTTTTTCAAAATTTTTATACAACAAATACTCACAGTAAGTTATCCTTTTTACTGTAAAACGACAACAAAATGAGTTTTTTGTCTGACAAAATACTTTCACTTTATAAGAGGTGTCACTTCAGGTTGCAGAAAGAGCCAGCCAATAGGGAGCACCAGGGCACCACCCCACCCCACAAGGAGAATTATTGAGTATTTGAAAGATAAGTCAGATTCAGGAAATTCAGGTTTTTTCAAAAAATTCAGTAAATATTTTTAACAACTGGATACAATAGATAAACTACAGTTCAGAGGCAGATTATGATGTTTTCTCTCTTTTGTGTCAGGTCATGTGTGGTGAGCTTATAGAGGCTTGTGCGTGTCCAATTGAGAAATGGTAGAGAGAGACCGAGAAGGCCCTTGAATACTTTGTGGTGACATCATTTTGATTAATGCTGCTTATGTGTGATGGATAGGATTTGCCGCCGTGCATCCTTAAGTGTTCATGTTCTGTGTGAACGTGCATGGACACAATTAGAGACTGAGAAAACCCCAGTGGAGAAATGTGTCACGGTGCTTAAAATTACAAGCCAATGTCACCACCAAAATACTCCATTTTACTAATTTCCTTTTTTAGCCATTGTTCAGTCACCTCTTGAAAATAATTAAACTGTAGAAGGAAGAGATACACACACCCAAACCTACACACACACACTAATAGTGCAATGATGATGCTCATCGATCATGCTTAAAGCAGACAGAGCGTTTGCCTTTGAAGAACCTTGATAACGGCGATCCACTGAGGCATCATTACAGGCAAGGGTGAGGGGCAGAGGTGAGGTGTTAATGTGGGTGGCCATTTTTCTTTTTAGGTCATTTGTCACCCACTACCATGAGTCCATGCAAACGATAATTCACCTAATGGGCCTGTAAGTCATTAAACTTACAGCTAGATAGTTAATGTTTACTCTTTAAGCTAGTTCATGCACAATTAATTAATTCAGTGTCATAATGATTGAATGTTTGAATTTATTTAAGGATGATTATTGTGGATTTCTTAAAGCCTAGACTTTTTACATGTATTTATTTAGTTCAAAAATAATGCGAAGAATTAATTGTGCCTCTGTTGGACATTTTGGGGCATCAGTTTAAAGCACCACTATAGTGCTGATGCTGATCCAGTTGTATGCATTAGCCGTGTGTCTGTCAACTAATCATCTCTTCTCTTTAATGCGTTAAAATAAAATAAAAAAGGATTTTCAGAGGCTATGCAGATCTTTGCCCTTCTTTCCTTACCAGGACTGGCAAAGCAACCACAGAAGGAGTGTAAGAACCGATTGATTCATTGAGCAGGGACTTTTGTTAGATGAGGATGAATCCTAACGAGTCCTTGGAGACTTGAAAATCTGCAGTCTTTGTGCAGTGAACCAGCTTTCTTAGCAAAAGACTAATTTCAATCAATACATCCTGGTATAACCAAAACCCACCTTTGTTTGTGAGCTTCCATTTTTAAACCCCATGTTAGGTGCTGTTGCTATCTTGTTTTATGATGATATTTGGATGATGTAAGTAAGCAAGGCATAAGTTAGTAAGACGTTGGAAACTACGTCACTTATTCGTCACTTGTGAGTGATAGTAACATACTGAGAGCATAAAGACCATATCTTCTTCTCCCTCCTCTAATAAAAAATAACAACAATCTGGACTCATGTAAAGGCATTATTTGTGGCTATAGAGTGGCGTTTTGGTTGAGGTTTGTTTATGGCTCCTCAGATCGCTGTATATTACTATCGTACGGTCATTACTAAAGTTGGTATAACTGGAGAAGCAAGGGGTCGGCAACATTCATCTCTCGAGGGGGTGTTGAACTTGGCGGAATATCCCTTTAATATTCGCCAGTCAGTACTCATTAGCTCTTGCACACACAGAAAAAAACAACAACAACAGGTGAAAATACACATTGGATTGACCCAAGAAGTGCTGTTAATCTGATTGTTCAATTACCCCGATCCTGGTATGTTTGACATAATCCTGTTATTTATTATACATACTGTATTAAACATTGAAAATGTAAAAAATTGCTGATGCACTCACAAATAAAAGGCCTGTGTTAATCTTTGACAGAATAATGTTATTCGGAAAACAATGCATTGTCAAACATGTTGTTATCAGTGCCCCTGTTACACAGTTAGTTGTAAAAATCTGGATAATACTCTCGATCTAACCTGATGTATTTAATGTGGCTACATTCCCTGCAGCCCCCTGTGGGCATATGATTCAGTTTACAAAGTGAGCAGTGATGTCAATGACTTAGATTCCTCCTGACACACAGTAGTTTGTTCCTTAAACAGTGTGGTGTATCTGAAGTTGCACAGAATAAATAATCAAAAGGGGACAAAAGAAACGCAGGTTTCCTTCAAGGCTGGGTGAACTTCTGAGAAAACTGTTTCACTCAACAGGAAAGTGGGACATTATATTACAGTTTGCATAAAACATCTTTCCTTGTGCCTGTGACAGTGGCCCGTGGCTCGGAGCTATGGATGGGGTTCATGCTTGAGCTGGCAAACTAACTAAAGACTAAAATAGGAGCACAGAAACAATGGACCAAGGCAGCGAGGAGAGATAATAAATGTTTGTGGTACAGGGAGTGCAGAGGGTAAGGGAGAACTGGAAGAGAGGGACAGAGGCTCTAGATTATTAAATCACACTGGATAATACATTTGAGTTGAAGTCAGATCATTGCTGGAGATGGTGTGTGAGTGTTAGTGTGTGTGCAGGGGGCAGCCACCCAGATTAGCTAGGTCATTCAATGTCCCATGGGGTGCCTGAGGACGCACTTAAGTTTATCTGACTTGCTGAACATGTCCGGGTACAAAAGCACAGGTCTGCCAAAGAGCTTAAACAGTGCTTGATAAGAAGTCTGCTCCATGAGTGATAAGCCTTGTTTTCATACTTACAGTGTTCAAAACAGGACAGAATTAGAAAGCATCCCACTGGAGGAGCCAGAAGGATAAACAAGTGTCAAAATTTCAAGAGGAGCTAAAATGAGCAGCGGCATCAAGTACTCGAGTTGAGTCTGGCTGATGTGAAAGTGTAAATAAACAACCAGACATAGCCTGAGTTTAATTATTCCAAGGTCTATTAAACATCCCCCCCTGTGTGGATAAATCTCTGCTTGATTATCTGGTCAGCTGAAAGGACTTTCTGTCTGTCGTTCATAACTATTAAAAGGCAAAGTGTTAAAAGCATGAAAGACAACTTCAATATGTTCATACTCTTCTGTATAGCCCATGATTAAAACAGAAGTGTGGTCATCAGATACAAGAATGTGCAAATTAAAGCTTCTATGTGAGTTATAAAAGATACTAAAAATTGACATTCATGCTTTTTTATGAGCTATAAATTCAATCAAGAAAACAAGACCACCAACATAAGTTTTTTTTTTTTTTTTTTTTTTTTGAAAGAGAGGAATGTAGATGTAGATATTGATTTCTGGTCAAATTTTTACTTAATATCCTCAACAATCTTGGACCAAATTTATTCTCTGCATATTTCTCCAGTGCTGACTCGGCAGACTCTGAAACATAAGTTCAAGTTTACAGTATGTGGGAGTAAAACCCTGCCATCAAACCAACAAAACAAAAATGATTTGCTCTTTTTTTTTCATTTTTATCGACAATACTTTATTCTGTATATTATATATGTAAACAATACATAAAAGTACACCAGATCCGACAGTACTATTTCAATGATAATTCTCAAAGGTCATAACAAATCATTTCTGTAGCAGCTCCATCAAAAATGGACACTGTTCGTACGCAGTTCCTTCTTTTGACAGAAAAATATTCACCTGCTTATTGAAGCAAATGTTCTCTGCAGATATCTCTCATTTTGACATCCACAGTTTGTTCTGTAACAGCTGCTGTGTATGAATCAGTGTCACTTCAGTCAGCATGTCACACACATCTTTGATGCGGGGATCATGTCCTAGGCCCGCTGGCAGGTCATTGAATCATTGGACCCTGCATTTTCAGGAAGTTATTGGCAGAAAAAGTCAAGTGAGATGGGAAATAAATAACATTTTTCATGCATTTTCCCTCATAGGAAATTGTGCTGCAACTGTAAAAACAAGACAAATTCTGTAAACCTGAAATCTGCACTGACTAAACTGGGTGGTGACATTGCAGTCATCCCATGCAAGGGATTTCTCAACAACTATTATACTAATATTCCTCTGCTTTGTTGAAGAGAAATAACACATACTTTCAGGGATCCACCTGATATTTTCTTTAGTCTAGTTTTAGACAGGAAGATGGCTTCCAGCGTCCCCTCCTAGGTAGAAATATAATTCAGTTTGTACACAGGGGTGAAAGTAGGATAAGGTTCTTGCAGGTACTGTACCAGTAGGCAGTGTACAAGAGGAGCACACCCAAGTTTATGCCACAGTATCATCATCTGCTGCATCCCCCTTTCTCTTGAACATACCCACTGAGCATTTTTTGGTCTATAAGAGGTCTAATAGACGTCTAGATGTAGTCTAGATGACTGGTTTAAAATCAGGCTACCACAGGTCTAAAAATGAACGTTTTTTAGACGTCTAAATTCAGACCAAGTTTAGACTAGCCGGCTAAAAGAGCTATATCTATACTACACTGTATATCGCGTAACGGTTATCATAATTATTTTTGGCTAAGTACTTGGAGATCAGTTATGCAACTCACAGTTGCTTTTTGAAATAAATTGTTATCGAATAATGGGTTAAAGTGCAACGTCTGAATTCTGCCTAAAAATATGCAGAAACTAGACGTCTAATAGCCGTCTATTGCTCAGTGGGTAAAATTAAATATTCTCTGCATTTTGTTTAATTTCTGCTTTAACATTGAAGCAGCTGTCTCTTTAAAAGTTCCCTTCTTCCGGAAAAGCCGGAAGGCGGGCCTCAGCGCCTAGGCAACCAGCGCCCAATCAAAAGTGCGCACTGAGCGCTCTCACTTGTGGAAGTTGTTAGCGGAAGAAAATACGACTCACTCACAAGCAACATGGTCCTATTGGAATATTACGGTTACAATGCAGAGAACAGACTGACGTGCGGCAACACGGTAAGCAAATATAGCCTACATACATTGCAGGGGTGAAAGTTTGTGTACCGCTGTGTACCGGCTGTAAACTGCTGTTTATGTCTTCCCGGTATGGCATACCGCTGCGTAGGCTACCGGCTCACTCTCACCCCTGCTTGTACATCATGAAAACACATGAAAAGCTGCTGGCTGACTCAAAGTCTCAGAGTGAATATTGTCTTGTTTTAAAGTGTTTTTTGTCAACATTTAATGCCTGGGGCGGAGGCAAGGAAGCTCAGGTTTACTCTGATATACCTATAGTGTATATTTCATGTGGCATTGAAGGCAATTTCCATAACATAATGTTAATGCATTAGTGACTCATCAAAGGATTTAAAAACTACCACAAGGACACACTCTGAGTTTAACCCCACAGTTTGAACATACCTGCAGATTAACACACTTTTGGCTTTACAATTGTAGGGTATAGCATAGGGTATAAAAACATCTCAACTTTACCAGTCAAAATATAGTCCTAAACTTGGTTCCTCTTTTAAAACCAGCATTTTTTTATATAGTTATGGCTTAATAAGGAGCTAAAGTTGGTTTGAATTCTTCCTGTTTGGTTATAATACAAGTTTAAAGTTATAGATAACTCCATTAACGCTGACGGGTGTCTATTCTCAGATATTAGATTCCTTATAAAAGTGTGCTTTATTACAGTGAATAAATACCACCCACAGGGCAACACAAAATTATTTTCATTTCCATCAGCAAAATAGTCATTATTAAGGTACGTTTTATAAACACTTTTTCAGGGGGCTTTTATAAAGTGGTACCTGAAAGCCTTTCCTATTATCCCCATGAACCTGAGCTTAATAGTGACTTGTTCAGTGTGTACCATCATTACAAGACCCTCCACAAGCAGCATATGAAAACCAATATAGGTGTATGGTGTGCTGGCGGGCACAGATCTTCCTATCATGAGGTCTTGTTGTCAGGGTCAAAGAAAGTACTTTCATGAGCATATATTGTAAGCAAAGGAGGAAGAGCAGCATACTAGTGGCTCACATCAAACCCAAGCTGAGGTGCACCAGCAGTCCTAAAGGTGCACTTCTTACACCGCTAATGATGCATCATGCTTTTATAATTATGTTCAACCTGTTGTGTCGTTCAGTTTGAGGATGTGTTGTCAGCCACTGGTACAATCATGCTCCTGTGGGTCTAGCAGAGAGATGGGGATAAACCAATGTGGTGTTCTGGTTCAGGGACTTGATGTTTTGAGTCATACTTGCCACCACATGAACTGAACGTGAAGATGAATGTGAATTAGTGACTGTGGCAATTCCTCAGTGCATGCAAAAGTATAACTACAGCAAATAGTGTCATTCAGAGTTGGATACATTTTGTGTAAGTTTTTGAGAGTTTGGAAGGATTTCCAGAGTTAAATCCAGTTTAAGGCTACTTAGAATCCAGCAAGCTGTTTGTAATTCAGGGTACAGGTTTAGTTGAAAGTGGCGAATGCAGTTTGTCATTAAAAGTCCTGAAGTTAACACTTGTGTATGATTATGTCTGTGTAAGTGAGAGAAATAGTGTGATGTGTTCCTAAGCATTACATGTAACTGAAGTATTTTCCATTTTTATTTTCCCTTTTGGAGTTTTGTACAGAGCCCCTGAAGTCCCATTAGGTGATCATTTTCATCTTGTGCATTTAGAATAAGTACATTGTGGAAGCATATTGTTATTTTGTGTACACACCTTGTGCATCAGTGGCAATGATTCATCTTGTCATGACTTGTCACTGTTATTTATTTGTATTTTGCTGCTTTGACTGTGTGAATTTTCATTATGCTGTCATTATAGCTTCACATTGGTGGTTTGCGCTTAATTACTCTCCCTCTGCTCCAGACTTAAAGAGTGCACCTCATGCTGTCTTGAAGCAGTTTTTTGATAATATTGACTATTGATTGTTGTATTGACTGTATTTTGGGCACATATTGTGGTGCTTTGCTAGTTACATTATGCCATCAGTAATATCCATGTGCTTTAAATAATTACCCTGTATGTTCTATTATTAACTAGAACTTATATTACAAAGTTGATTCTCTTATTTTAAGAATAAATAGCATGTTGGAGCCAACAGTGAAAGTACATGCCTTGTTTAGCACCCAATGTAAGAGTGAATCAACTATTACAACACCTACAATTTTATTTTTTGCATGCACAAGTTATATTTTTCGCACAAGATACCTCATTTCTATAATAAAAATTAATATATCAAGATTTTTTCCCCCCACAGGGTGGTTATCTTGTCCTCACAAGAAAAGAAAAGAAACACAAGATGATAGTTTCTGCACAGGGCAATATTTTGATCCCACAAGATTATTTTTGTGTGCCACATGAATATTTAGAAGATAGCAGCTTGTTACTGTAGGATTATTATCTATTGTGCACAAGATAAAAACTTTTTCCAATATGATCTTATGTGACCTCAGAGGCTCTTTAATTTTGAAACCCAGCCAAATAACCAAAAGCGGATTATTTCTGTAGATAAATTGTTTTCATTCTGCCCAGAGATCTGCAGACATGAATTTGGAAAAACTTCTGTAAACCATCAACTCTTTACAAAAAACACACTGTAATCACCATAACTGCAAAATCATCGGTTTCACAATGAAGTCATACTGACTCTCAGATTCGCTTCCAAACCTGTCCGAACAAAACACTCGGACTAAACTGATGCTAAACTAAGAGCGTACATACACAATGTCACAAGAATCTTTACATTATTACAAAATGTCATTTCTCACTCAGAGGTTTTACTGACAGTGTATGAAAAAAGTCTGTGGTGTACATGAGTGTGTATATATAAAAGTACTGTGCTGTGCGGTATGATGGCAGTGGCTTATGCCAGTCCTCTCAGTACTATGTCTTTTCAGGCGTTAGCTTGTTAGTGGAGAAGAGAATGATGAGGAAGAAGTGTAGATTCAGACCAGTCCTCTCTGCCTGCATGACAGCTGCATTTAGGTTCACAGGATCAAATCCACAGTGACATGAAACATCAGTGGAAAGGTTGTACTTTCTTCCCAGGGAGTTTTTTATGTCTGTATAAGTGTCCAAACAGATGGTGAAGCCTTGTGCAGAGGTTTCACACCCGTTATTGTCAGACAGCCCATCCTGCTTCACCCTGAGTCTTGTGTTACACTCCTTTGTGCAGCGCGTCATTAGAACAATGTCTTTATTTGTGTTACTTTTTCTCCGCTCTGCGAGTTGTCGTCTCTGATGCTGCTCCAGGCTGGGATTATAGACACATAACACCGGAAAAAAGTACATTATTCTCAAGTATCGATCTTCTGTGGGGAGATCTGCGCCAACAAATAGATCAGTGCTTTCCAACTCCATGTCTCTGTTTTCAACATCAAAAAGAGTGCAGAACAAAGAGATATACTTAAGAAAAGGGCAGTCTACATCTGGTACATTGGTCAAAGTGTGATAAAGATTATAGTAAGATAAACTCAAGTAAACATCTCATCATGCACATATGCCCAATAGCAGTGGACCTATGAATTAAACCCACAATATGTGGGACATATTTTACAAAAAGTACATTTTGTAATGTGTAGTTGGATGATCTATAAGTTTATAAGCTAATCTCTGCTCCGTAGATATTTAGCATCACTGCTTTTGCCTGTAAATGTTCTCCTGAGCTTCTGTTCACGATGTGTCGCTTCGTTGTTTGGCGCAGAAACCCTTCAAATTTTACAAAACTCCTTTATCATCCATTAGCGCCGTTGTGCTTTAGAGCTGTTGGAAACAGGTGTTGGAAAACATACTTTGTGGTCTCGAACTGCTACTTTCATTGACCCCTCACTGATTGTACCTTGATGAATAAACATTAAGTTGAGGTGTATATATAGACAAACACAAGCAGCAGGAGGTTGAGTGCGATGCCGATGACTCCCAGCACAGCCAGGAATCGCTCCTCTGGTGTGCTCAAATATGGACACGTCAGGTCCATGAAAAACTTTTCAAGGAACTTTACTAATACAGAAAGTAATATTCAGCAGCGGGTAAGAGTTATCTACACATTGTATTCAGGTCAAGTCAGGCATAAATTGGCCACAACATTAATACTCAAATGGCAAAGTTTGGTCCCGTATTATTGTTTGTGTGGAGAGTGTTCCCTCTCTTCATTTTACTTGAAGGGAGCCTGTTTTTGAAAATGGATCACACGAGTCCAAGACGCTAACAAAGGCTCTACATGCCCCAGTCAGTAATCAGTGTGAGACACGTCACCATTTCCAGGCTGTGGCTCCTTCTTCTGACATGAAGACGTGTGAAATTCACTCAGTAAATTCCGAGATTAAGCATAAAATTGGCGTGAAAGCGCACGTTAATCCACTGCTCCTCTGCGGTTGGCAGCAGTCTTTAGTTTACAGAGCAGAGCTGTCTTAAGGGATAAGCAGCGATGCAGGTGTAGATAATATGGCTGCCATCCAGCTCAACACACCAAGAATGATCCTCAAATCTTCTCACAACCCCTTCAAGCATATGAATTCTGAAAGAGGAAGTTGGCAGTGTGGGGGAAAGTTGGACACCAGCGTGTCTCTGTACAAGTCTCACAGATTATGTAACAGAGGTGTAGATGTAGACAAATATGACCACTAAAAGATTGAGGATGGTTCCGATGATGCCCAGCACGGCTAGAATCCGCTCCTCCCGATCATTTGTGTTGTCCTCCTCTCTTGCATGAGAGCTGCAGACATAGCGACTGCCGGGGACCATGGTTACCATCACAGAACCCCACCCCCACAGGGCGCGACGCCTGGATACAGAGACAGCGGTGAAGAGAGGAAGAAAAGAGAGAGGAAGAGGAAATTTTAAGATTAAAGAGAAGGGAAAGGTTAAAAGTAAAGAGGAGGGAGGTACACGGGAAAAGGAGAAAAAGGTTAATTATTTCTGGCATAAAGTAGCTGAAAATTGTGAGTCTGGCATACTGCACAGCTTTTTAGCTACTAGATACCTCCTGCATGCACTTGAACATTTGATATTTAAAAGTCAAGTCAATGGAAAATAAAGTAAATGTTGGTAATGTGAGTAAAATTTCAGACAAAAATACTTTATAACGATAATAAATCTTTATAAATATATAGTTTTTTTTCTTTTGCCTGAGGGTATAATTCATAATAAGCCATACCTTTTACAAGGCAATACGCTCACTGCTGATAACACTTAAAAACATTGCTTTAAGTTATATGCTTATTATCACTCACACATGTTGTTATAAAGCACTATCATCTCTGTTCTGCCTGCAGACCACTGCAGTCAGACACCTGATTGATTCCAGGAAGATGGATCATATTAATCTTCCTCTCTCTTCACCTCCTGTCAATGCACTGTTTCGTTTGTGCCCCCTTCTGCATGACAGATGACCTGAAGCCTCACACAATCACCAGACACACCAATGTCACACAGGAGTCCTGGCAGTTGTTCTCTCACACTTTATACTTCAAGGTCACCACACTTCACAGTCTAGGCCCCTGATCTGTAACGTCCTTCTCTCTGATTACATCTGCCTTTCAGCTGACTTTCGAGTCTTACTTTAAACATACTTTTGTATTGCCTCTTTCAACATGAATGCCTCCAACATCTTCAGGATGATTGCAGGATGTTGGGAGTTGGCAGGAAAAATGCTGCATAAAGTTAACATGAACAAATCTGGTTATTGTGTTTGCTTATGCTTCTCATCCGAACAATGTTGAGGAGTCCTAAAAAGTGCAATGCATGTTTGAAAAGGGCTTATGTTTGTCACAGGTAGCAAATACATATTTCGGTTTTATTGGTTTTGGTTTTTATTTGTGGCTTGCGCAGGACCTCAGTTGGCTGTTTCATTCATTTATTTCTTATTTTTGTGAATTATTTTGATTGAGTTATAATGTCATATTTGACTTCTTTAAAATCTACATTAGACTTTTTAGTCCTCAGTCCCCCTCTGCCGGTTCTGTATCCTCTCTCCTTTGTCACCAAGCATTAGTGCCTTTGTGGGATCAATGGTGTCCATTAAAAATGAACGAGGCTGGACACTGATGAGGGAATAATCTGTGGTCCTCTGAGACAGTTTGGGAGCACAGAGAGTGAGGAAGGTTAAGATGAGGACACTGCCAGTGTGAGTTTATAACTGTGTGTGTCCGTGTGTGCTGAAAAGAGAATGCCTTTTGGGCTTTGCACTTGATTTGAGATTTCCACCACACTAGACTGTCCACCATTATGTCCACTGGTCAGTTATGTGGTCTAATATTGCTGTATCATTTTTACCATAACTTCACAGTTAATTCTAAAAGAATTAACTACTTGTTGGGATAAAACCTCCAAAGTTTCTTGTCGCCCTCCTCCTGTTTGACATTTACTCTACTCTACTTGCTGTTCTGGCTTTTACATTGTTGGTGCGGTGGGTAAACACCTTGACATCCAGCAGCTGCTCTGGCAGCCCAGGGGTGTGTGTGTGTGTTTGTGTGTTTGTATGTGCATACGTGTGAGGAGTAAGGACAGGGACATAGCACTATCTTTGATGCAGCTTAGCCATTCAACAGTGTAACCTGATTATTTCCAACCCAATTAAAGGGAATGCATGGCACACCTCAAAACTCAGAGCCTTAAAGCGTACAAAAGGAGTAACCAAGAGTTTAAGAGAGTATAATCAGAGAGAGAGAGAGAGAGAATAGAAAGCAGGTCATATGTTTCTGTAATTCTACCTGAATAAAAATGGTTTTCAGGAAACTAATCCCCCTGGTTTTGGGGAGTGCTTAAATTATCTAACCTTAAAGCTCCTCTAAGGAACTTTTGGTTTGTGTTAATTTTGGTTCCTTCTGAGGACAAAGCCATCTTTGCTTATATTGTCCTCCTCCTGCTTGAGTAATTATTTTTCACAAAGAAAAAAAACTCATCCTGCTGACTAATGACAGTGAAATCTGTCATTCATCGTAAATTATTTTATGAAACAGGGCTGTTTCTTTTGCTGTAAACCTTGCACCCACCCCCTTACTGTGGTTTCAGGCTTAAAAAACTACAGAATATAAAACCAGAAATCTTAACAATAATTGTCTTCTTTGCTTTTGGATATTATGAACAGGCATCAGTGTTAACATCAACATCAAAAACTCATAGGAGCCCTACAAGACCACACATTTGATAAATCTGCAGCTAAAGTTACTCACCTTGAGCTATGATAGTTGTGCAAACTTTAAAGTTCCTTTTGGGCAATTTTGCTGACCCCTGTGGGCAAAGTGGGACCTTTTATCTCAGAAATTGTCCCATATATGTCAATTTTTTTTAAAAATCTCTTTCTTTTTCATCAAAATGCCTCACATAATGTAAAGAGGCTGCTTCTGTAACCGACTAAATACTTTGTCCACCACTTACAGTAGAAGTGTTATAAAATCACTATAGAGAAATAATCATACTTCTTGTGTAGGGTCTTTTTTCTGCTTTTGTAGCTCCCAAAATAGCACTATTAGGAATTCTTGTTCATTTTCATAACCAGTCTAAAGAGACACTACCAACTGTTCCATAGTGCAGCTGGAATTGTGCCTTTAAATGCAAGTGGATGTTGCTCCCCCTAGACACCAATAATATATAAGGTATGTCTCTCGTAAACTAGCATGATACAGTGTGAATCCTTAGTTTATATTTTGAACTTTCAAGTATTATAACTGTACATTTTGCAGGTTAAAACAGTTCTGTCTGTTTCTGTGTGAAAAAAGGAGGCATTTAAATCAGACAGCAACCTGAGAGTAAAAGTTGTTTGAACATCTATACACCTCTGTTTTCTTGTTCAGTTCTTGCATGTGATTCAAATCATCCGACTGCCTCTGGCTCTATACACATAAATCAAAATATGTTTGTTTCCATCCATGCCCATGTGTGCATTATGAATGCGTTGGAGAGAATGAGTCAATGCCTTGCTTGCAGCCCCCACTGCTAATACATAACAAGCATGATTTATCACACATATGCAAGTTGCTGCACATTATTCACACATGCACAGCATAATGGTATACAACTGTGACCTTACAAGAAATCCCAAGATTACAATCTCGTATTTAATAACAGCAGCTCAATCATTAATTTGTTCAAATTATAATTGACAACACCTATCTACATATCAATCATTTCACCATCATTCTGCATTAAACAAGCACAAGGATGCCTGTTGTGTGATGGTAAACATTGTTTTTGACCCTTATCAGAGACCATCTTACATCCTTGGTAACACTTTATAATAACTATCCGTTATAACTATGAGCAAATTGTTAATTAATTAGTTATTAGTTACTTGTGAAGTGTTTATTAACAGTGGAGTTATGATGATGCGTATAGATAGTTAATATATAATTGATAATTGTCAGTTAATAAGTTATAAATGACTTGTTATATATATATCATGAACAAGCTATTAGTAAATTACTTACTAATGACTTGTTAAATATCGGTTAATAGTTTATGTATTTTATTGGGACGTTATGCTAAAGTTGCAACTATTCAATATTTACTAACGGTTAGGAATAGTTGCAACTTTAGAATAACAACGGTACTACTATCTATGAGCATCATTATAAATCCAAACTGTTAACAAACACTTAAAAGTCATTAATAACTCATTTATCCACAGTTTAGTAATGATCTATTAACTAGTTATAACGGATAGTTATTATAAAGTGTTACAGCATCTTATGTATGCAAACAGGGAATAACTTCAAGAAAATGATTTAATGAAGTTATGCCAGAATATGAGGCTGTTTGTTGAAAAATCTGCATATGCTAAATATTCATTTGTTTTGAATTTTACATTAAAGACTGGGGACTATGCAGTGCAGAGATGCACAGGGGAATTCACCAACGGCTTCCCTGCTCACTGAGCAAAGCAAGCCAGTCTACCCCCTGAAACTCATGCATAATATTCATCATAATTGGTGCAGATAGCCGCTCTGCTTATTTTGCTGTCAAATTAATTTATGTAGGGTGTGATATGAATTCCCTACGGACAGTCCATCTGCAGCGCAGTGTGCATTACTGGATAAGTTTAAGAGGTTCCACTGATTCACTACCAAGGTAATCTTGCAGAAATATCTGGGATGAAAATAAAAACCACTGAACTGCACATTTGAAATTACACTACCAACAAAAACCTGATCCAAGGAAATGTGTCAATAACTCAGATTTTTCCAGTGGTTGTAAGCAGGTTTTTTCTGTATTTCTAGTCAGCATAAATCCATGAAGTTATGTCCGGGAGGTCAGAATTCACTGAAGGATTGTGTTACACACAGGTAAAGCAGACCTTTTTGAATGTGTACAGTTTACATCTAGAAATTGCAGTTGTAATCATTAACGTTGGGCTGGCCTGGAAGCCCCAGACACACCTGAGCCCAATGTTAAAATCCCTCATAGCACATAACCTGGTTCTCATTCTCAATAACATCACACACTGGTTTCTGATGAGGTTTCATGAGGTCAAAAGACAGTGGCCATTATTTGAAATTATATTCCAGATAACAACTAGCTAGAGATCAGTGCACAGATGAAGTCAAAGCAATAGCCTAGCCTATGTGCGAACAGCCACAAAACACAAGGATTAACTATTATAAACTAATTATTAACTTTTAAACAGTTAAACTCCTAAAAATTAAACACTGATGATCATAGAGACCAAACCAGTGGTGGCTGATACATTTTTGTCCCGGGAAAGCTGTAAAAAAATCAAAAATATGCCATAAAAGGTGTGGAAGTGTAGCAAAAACACTAAATTAAAAGGAATAAATATGTATTTGCTATGCGTAACAAATATCACAAAATCCATATGGACCCTTGTTTATGTTTTTAAACCTTTCTGAAAAGTGCCTTAATCTGACCTATCTGAATTCATGCCTGATCTGATCCCGATGTTTGAGAAAGAGAAAAGGCATTGCATCATGTTTAACTTTTATGACAGCCATGGAGGTCTGAGGGTGCAAATGTTTGCACCCTGAACCCATTAGACACTAAAAACATATTCCATCAACATTACAGCATTTTTTCCAACTGAATTGAACCATTTTTTGTACCAGGTCATGAACATGTTTGATTCTGCTGTTAAGAAGAATTTTCCTCAAGTATAGGTCCTTGCAGAAGTGCACAATTTTTTTAAACTATTCCTCACTAGCTTCATTCATTGTCACCATAGGTTGCTACTTGCATGTTTTAAATTTACCTACCCTAACATTGTGCATACAAAAGTAAGTCCAGGGCTGGTTCTGTTTGCTGTTCTGTTCTGTTCCTGACTAAATTCGTGCTGTTGGTAATTTTTTGGTGATAATCCAATGCAAATATCTGCCTAGCGATGTGTGTGGTTGATTGCATAGTCTAAAATTTAAGAGGTCTCAGTGAGTCAGAATTTTTGTATTATTGTAGGACACTTTTACCCAGTTTGTTAGCTTGTTCAGTTTCTTGTCAAACATCTATTTGTTCAGAAAGTCTAAAGAGGGATTGTTAAGAGATTACAGCAGATTTGTTTTGATCCCCAAACAACCAAAACCAACATGGTGGCACACAAATGCTGAACTTGAGACTTCTTTTCTTTCGTGGAGAAAACTAATAAGTGACATCCAAATGATTACATCCTTCATCAGAGTTGAATGGTCAAAATGACTTTAAATTTAGATACTTTTAAAGCTTCATGAAACGACAAGGTTTAATTCAAAGAAATGAGAAACTAAAAACAGTTATGGTATTACTGCTGCTCTAATTCCTCCCTCATGAGGACGCAGTCTGTTAATGATAAGGTTTGATTTTATCTGACATGGCTCATCACCAGGGATCTGAATTACATTACCTTGTGTGAAAAAGATCTGTCTTCCAGCAGATGTGCAAAGATTGGACAAAATTGAAACCTTTTTAGAATAATGTGGGCATTAGTCACACAATTTCAAGTCTGAAGAGGAACTGATAAAAACAGTTTTTCCTACAGCTATCATTTCAGATTTAATGGAACTTCATTACTGCTCCAATCAGATAGGTTTGGTCAAATTAGCCATTGGTGTCACTGCATGATAAACACCTGGCAACACAAGGGAAAAGAAGGAGACAGACAAACCGAGCAGAGATACAGAGTTAGATAGATCTCTATCTCACTAACATGGATGGATGGATTGTGCACAAAGAGGCAGGCAGACAGTTGCAAGATAAACACCAGACTGAGTAACAGTCTGCCAGGTAAACACAAGCTTGCAGCATAAAGAGACATTATTACAGGAGGACCAGCCGGGTGGACCAAGAGATTCAGAGAAATAGACATTACGTAAGAATGGGAAATGTTGAAGATTTAGGAGTTACAAGAATGGTAATTTAGTGAAGGAGAAAGAATAAGGAAGGGAAAAGTAGACTAGGCTGTCTCATATTATGTAATCAGACACACCCACACACACACAAATTCGTTCATAATCCCATGAGTGCATACCTAACTCATACATCTTGTAACAAACGACTACAATGTTCAACTTCATCATGAACATGCTTTTTTTTTTCATTTCTCACTTTTTTTTTTCCTCTCTTACCCTCTGCTGGATTCCTCTTTGGAAGAATGACTAAACCGTAGATAAACTCTACATTTACACATTGTGTATGTGAGTCTAGATTACACACTGCTGCTACTGCTGCAGTGTGGGGAGAACAGATCAAGAACTAAATGTCCTTAAAAATTTAACTTGAACTGACTGGCACTGGCTCTAATGCTGTTAATGAGAAACCGAGACATTAAGAGTTTTATCTTCCTCATTGCTTTCGGTGCATGGCTATACATTTACATGGATGTTAATGAGACCATTAGTTTAATCGATAGATAATCTCTCTAATCTCTGACATTTAAAAAGAAACGTACTCGTCAAGCATGTTAATACGATCTCATATTCATTGACATACTGTGTCTAATGAGAAAAGTCTGAGTCACAATGAATTAACTCATTGCAAAGTGATTTTGATGTCATTAAATTGAAATGGAAGTATTGATACCACTGAGTTTCATTTGGTGTCCCACAGTCACCAGCATGTCATCTGTAGGCGACATGGTGGGCACCTGTTAGCAATTAGCAAAAACAGTGTGTTCCAATGTTCTCTTTTCCATCCTCTTCACAGCAGGTTATGTTGTAAATTAAAAACTGTTATCCCTATATCATCTTTGAATATTTTTAATAGCCCTATTGCCAACTTTGTATTGATTCAAATAAAGACACAAAGTACCAAAAACTCTTTAAAGGGATATTCCGGCATAAATTTAAGTTATGGTCAAACACACCGTACTACCGGGTTAGACACCCCCTCGAGAGATGAATGTTGCTGACTGCTTGCTTCTCTAGTTATACCAAATTCAGCAAAGACCACATGAGAGCAATGCACAGCGGTCTACGTCTCAAGGTGCAAACCTCAACCAAAATGCCACTCGTAGCCACAAATAATGCTCAGAACAGCACCTAACTTCATCAACAGTACATATAGGGTCACAGCCATGGTACTAGCCATCAATCATCTTTTACCTTTGCCTGGTTTCATAAGCAAAGAGACCAAACACAACTCACCCACTCTCCTCCAGCAGCCGCTTGTTTGTGGGGGAGTCCTGACGAGTCGATCACCAATTTATGATTATTTCATCATGGAAATGCAATCAGATCGAGACACTAAGGCAGAAGAACTATCGCATCTGCAGTGCACATACAAGATACACAAGAACTCTGATTGCAGTTCCACGAAGGACTAATCATACATGTTCTTTCTTGAGCTGCGAAACTTCGCTGCACTCACTGATCAACTCGTCAAGGCTGCTGGAGGAGAGTTGGTGAGTTGTGTTTAGTCTCTTTGCTAAAGAAATCAGGCAAATCTAAAAAGATGTTTGATGGCTAGTACCATGGCTGTGCCCCTATACGTACTGTTGATGAAGTTAGGTGCTGTTCTGAGCATTGTTTGTGCCTATGAGTGGCTTTTTGGTTGAGGTGTGTGCATAGAGACATAGACCGCTGGGAATGGCTATCGTGGAGTTGTTGCTAAAGTTGGTATAAGTAGAGAAGCAAGCAGTCAGCAACATTCATCTCTCGAGGGGGTGTCTAACTGAATTTTACGCCGGAATATCCCTTTTAGGGAACAACACAGAGGCGAAGTAATTCCTTTCAGCATTTTATGGTAATAAACCCAGAGATTGTAATGTAAATGTAATGATTCCAATGACTTATTACATTGATGTCTTAAGATGAGGAAATCGGCCCTTCTCAACCCCACTCATGCTCCAAGCCAGTTTTGATTATTGGAAAGCAAGATGAAATTCTAATAATGTCAAGTACAGAATAAATGAACTGAGATTTGTGTGACTTGCTGGACTGTGTCTATCAGCCCATTCAAACAGTAATGATCAAGGAAAGAAGGCAGTGCAGCATTGATTGAAGGCATTGATTGGTAGAGTTATTGACTCCACAGAAAGTCTCAATCAATAATCTTACAGCTTTTTTTGTTCGCAACAATAGACACTCAGGGGTTTTTCAGAGATCAATGACACACAAGCACATAAAGAGAGCTTTGGTTTGAGGCGACAATAAAGCAATAAACGCCACTGGTCTGTTACCAAATGGTTTAAAAACGCACATCACTTCCACACATCAACATTGTTTCCTGCTCTGTGTCTCACACTCTCACTAACACACACACACACGCCCACTAACGGAGATGGTGCACACGGTGATGGTGTGGGAACCAGATCCGTCTGACACTAGAACTTTCCACAGCCTCATTATGGGCTCGGCTGGCCAGCGCTGCTACAATACCAGGCCAGCGGCCATGAAGCGACTGTCAGTTCTCCTCAGCCACAGCCTCGCTTCCTCCATGCCTGTGCATGTGTGTTTTTATGGTGTGTGTACGTGTGCCTGAGCGTGAGGAAGAGCCGGAAAGGGAAAGGGAGACCGAGGGTGCTTACTGTAAGGCAGACTGACTCCATATATGTGCTGTGCTTATGATAGCAGGAGGAGAGAGGCAGGGCATTAGTGTGAGGGAGAAAGTGTAACAGACACTATGTTGCTCTGTTTGCTTAGCTCTGGCTGTTTCTTTTTAGATAAACACACTTTGCTTGAGATTTTGAGTTTAAAATCGATGGCATATAGTAAACTAAATTTCTTTTCTGATACAAGCTCAGATTTTTAACCTTCTTTACCCTAAAAATCCTGCAAAGCAATAAAAAGAAAGAGCATAACTGTGCAGCTATTATATCAAACACTTCCTTACAGAGACAATACTATTCTCATCTGATTTAAAATTCACAGCAAGTAAAAGTCTTCCTCTTAGTCGTACAGAGGCACCAGTGAGCGTTGGGAAAGATGCCTGTAATAAATTTCTGATTGTCCAGACTTCAATTTCATGGTTTTGAAAGTAATGATCTTGTTTTGGAGTTTAAGAAGCATTAATGTGCAAAAATATCATTTACGGTCAAGAGTTGTGTTATTTGTTAGGGTTTATGAACTCTGTATTGAATATATGGAGCTGAAATTAAGTAATTTGACTGACATCAGTTGCAAAGAAAAGCGTGTTGCATCTCAACAACAAACTGATGAGTAGTTGGGTGAACATGCCTCCATTTGCTTTGGGCTTGATTGACTTACACACGGGTCCCAGGCTGGATGTCATGTGACCAAATGGGCACTGTGTCATGTGACCTACATTAATATGCGTGAACTGGTGGAACATAATGAGGCCCACTGGACATACTTATTTCACCATAACTATCTTAATACCCCTGAACCCTGAGTCCTCTCATTGACATTTAACCTTTAACCTTGGAGAACCTCCTGAGGGGATATGATGCTCTTATCTTCACACACATGCACACATGGCAGTCATAAGCGCACACACACACAAACACAGAAGCATGTACTCACCACACATTGCACCAGGGGGGCAGCCAGAAGCTCCTCTCTTTCTTCTCTTTAGTCCAGCATGTTGTCAGTTTCTTCTTGTCCTCCGTCCTGCTGGTTCCTCTCACCTCCCTCTTCCTCTTCTTCTTCTCCTTCTCCTCCTCCCCCTCCCTGTCCCCCCTCTCACTGCTGCTGTTCAGGTCCAGCTCTGTCGCTGGTGGGCTGAATCCGAGCAACACGCTCACACACACACACACACAAACAAACGCAGACACTCACACAGCTGCAGGCGACGCTTTGAAAACACACTCAGACACAGCTGGGTTCGAAACTCGGGGACGGCATAAACACACTCCCGCACCTCTACGCCCACACTAGCATATACGGACGAGCTCCTCGACAGTCCTTACACCCCCCACGCAGCCACACACACTCGCACATACACAAACATGCAGCTGGTTTCCCCGCAGCTGAATAGAGACCGTGGAGATGTTGTGAGGGATCAGATCAGACTGGAGGAAGGCAGCTTTTCTTCATCACATTAAGTTGGAGAATCACCCGTTGCGGATCAATCTATTACAGAGACAAAAATTAAAATACGCATCCTGTTTTCACTTAAAGGATCCTTCTTGTTTGTTCACATCAAAACAGATCCACAGTTGGATTTCCTGAAGCCATGACAGCTGAAAAAAATCACATTTTCTTAGTGATAGTTGGAGCATTTTCACCTTGTCGAACGGGAAGAAAAAGAGGATCCTCAGTAGTTGTCTCTTCACCTCTGGCAGTGATCGAAGGTTCAATGTGTCAACCCAAAACAGGACGCCAAAGTCATCAGCCAACCTTTTTCCTTTGTCTTGTAGAAAATCAGGTTGTTCTAGTCTTGCTGTGAGAGCAGGGATTTCTCAAATGTAGATTTTCCTCTTCCAACGCACACACACAAAAAAAAGTGCACTTCTTCTGTCTGTACTCATTCCACTTTCCCCAAGAATTAGCACAGCTGGCCAAAAGGAGAAAAACCTCCTGGAGGCAGGCAGTGTCTCGCCGAATCTGTCAGTCCTCTCTAAATTTGTTGCAACATTCCAACTTGACCACACTTGGTTGTCATCCGACGCTCGTCCGTTCCTATGCAAAATAAAAATAAAAAATAAAAACACCCGGATAAAAAGTCAGCCTCCTCTCTCCGTGTCCCCCCCTCTGTGGTGGTGAAAGGGCCAGGCTCCTTTCAGAGTGGCCTGTCAGCATCAATATTTAACAGGAATGTCTTGCTGTGTTGCTGTCACAGTTAAAGTTTCCATGTTCCTGTCGTTGTGCGTCGCATGACATGTTCTTTTGGTCCGTTGATTTTACTCTCGCTGTGTTTTTTTTTTCCCCGCTAAATGCTGCTGTGACAGTTCCTGATTTGCTCCCTATTGCTATGTTTTGCTTTTTCTTGGCTCTGCTTTGTCTGTGTTCATCCCTCCTGAAGCTTCTTGGTATGTCTGCCCTGTTGTCACTCAGAACTTTCTGCCCTTCAGCGTTTCAAATGCTTTTTCCCTCATTAACCTCATCCTTGCCCTTAACTCTTTTCCATGCACTGTCCAGCCTTCAGCAAATCTTCATTCACCCTTCCCTCAGCCGTCTCTAAACTCTACCTTCCAAACTAAATCTTTAGCAAGCTGATTCACCCAGCCTCTGTGTCTCCCTGCGTCTGCTCCTCATCCTCTCCTCCCTCGGTCAAACAGCTGCTCAATTCTGTTCAGGTCCTCTCAATTCTTCCCCTCTACATCTCTTTCTCTCTCCCTCCCTCCCTCTCTCTCTCTCTCTCTCTCTCTCATTGTTCATCCACCTCACCTCTTGCATGCAGAACGCACACGCTTCTCGCCGCTGTGTTCTGACTCATACCGCTCTCTCTCTCTCTCTCCTCCCTTTCTCCCCTCGCAGAATCTTGCTAATGTTCCTCTAATTTTTCTGTCTCCTCTTCCTCTCACTCTGTAACATCACATCAGGGTCTGTTTGTCGTTTTTTTTTGCAAGCACTGAAATCACGCCTCTGCATCCTGCTGAGACGGTCATAGAAAAGACCTGTGGATGGACGACCAAGCAAAGAGAAAAACACTTTCTCGCTTCATGTGCCCTCTATTATCTTCAAGAAGCTTTCTGTCTTTGTGGGCTGACAGTTGTTTTCTTTTCTCCTTTCTTTCTCTGTTCTGATCACTTCTTTTTAATCCTGCCTTTACCTTTTTTTGCTGCTTCTTCAAGCACTTGTTGGCTCACAATCTGGGGAAAAAGACAAAGAAATGATAAATGCTCACTGTAAACACACAACCACAGAGGAGACCTTCTAAGAGGGACTGAGAAGGATGTGTGGAGATGAATAAAATGAGGGGGGAAAAAAGGAGATGCCCTCTGGATCTGTGGAAGTGACAGCAGAGGAGATACGGAGGGAGGAGGAGAAAGATGAAGAAGAGGGGGCGGTTGTGGAGAAAAAGCCTCCTTGTATGTGTGTGTGTGTGTGTTTGTGTGTGTATGTGTGGGTGGAATGGATAGATGATTGTACGATGGATATGGAGTGAAGTGAGAGGAGGAGCTTATAGGATTAAAGGGAGGAATGATGGACAGCAGGATGGATGGATGGATATATGGACAGGTTGACTACTCTTCCATGATATTAAGTAAATTTTTGGTGTCCCCTGTCATTGAAGGCCCCTCTGAGTCTTTCACTGAAATATGAGAAATTAAAAACATTCTTTATATCATTTTATAGCCGTTTAATATTTTACCTGTCTGGGAATCCTGCTGCTCCCCTCTCTTATTTTCTACCTCTCTCATCGTTTTTCTCCATCTTTCTGTCTGCTCCTGCAGCCTCTGTCGGTGCTATCACTGAAATGCAGCATTCCTCTTCCCTTCCACCTCCCCCTCCTCTTCTCTCTGTCTCTCCCTCAGTGTTTTCCCTCATTTCCCTCCCTCCCTTCCCATCCCCTCCGCTCCTGTTCTCTCTAAATTTGTCCTTCCTTGCTTCTGTCTCCTCCACTCTCTCCCCCCTTAATCTCCATCCTCTCTTCCGTCTTCTCTTTCTACCTTGAGCCTCACCCAACCTCAACCTCTCTCACCCCCCCACCCCCATTTTTCATCACTACATTTCCACTTCTGTCTCTTCCTCTTTTTTCCTCTGTCCTTCACTGCTTTTTTCACCCTTTCCTCACTAAGAGAAGCTTCCAGAACAGACTAGCCCGACTCTTGGAAGTGTAAAAGCTCTCAGGACATGTGAACACCATTCATAACCCTGCCACATGAATAATACACACTCAGATTACATTCACGCTTTTTCGTATGCATGCACATGCACATGCACACACACAGTCTCCCCTTTTTCTCCATCTGGCTGTCAGGAACATCCAGCTTAAATAACAGAACTACAGCAAGGTTTTTGTTGCGCATTCAGCAATGTGCACAGAGCACACACACATGGGCTGCATTAAAAAACCTGTTTTTTTCTATTTCTGCAAATCAATGAAAGATTGAACAGAGAGAATAAGTAGTGCATGTTCATGTGTGACTGTAAACACACATGCATGCATTCACAGACAAACACACAAGAGGAGGAAAGAGTGTTTGTGTGAAGTAGAGGGATACAAGAGTGAACACAGGAGAAAAGACCCCATGTTTCATGTGCATTTAATGTGTCTGAGTGGTTCTATTCCCACATACTGAACGTCTGTGACAACATGTGTAAACTATGATATGGAAGTGCATTATATTGTCCAGTGTGTGTTTGTGGTTTGCACATCTATGTGAGAGAGTGTGAGTGTGTAGCTGGTAAGAGCTGTCCTTTTGGCCTCTAGCATCACCCTGTGCCACCATCTGTGCTGACAGCCAGATGGGAAGGGTGTGTGTCTGCACGAATATGTGTGTTTGCTGTGTGTGTGAGAGAGTGGCTATTTGGGAGGAGAAAGTTATATATGATATCCTAGTTTTATCTCAGTGAACTTATTTAAGATGAGCATCAGCTGGATTACATCTACGCAGTTCTCAAAGACAGACTAGCCTATGCCATCTCGTGAATTTTTCAAGTGTGTGTGTGTGTGTGTGTGTGTGTGTGTGTGTATCCACAGTAGATCCAACTGTTATGACTTTTACGAAGCCTTCTAAACCATTTTGTTGCACATATGTATTCCTCCTGTAAATCAGTATACTGGCGTAAAAATAGTGTGTGAAAATGAAAAGTGATGAGTATGCATACTTTTGCAGCTTTTTATGCTGCGTTCCAGTTGTAATCAGAAGTCGGTATTTCTGCGCTCCGAGTCGCAAATTCACCTGGAACGCCCCCGTAAAGTCGTATTTCTCAGAAAGTTGGGCAATCCTCACCAACCCCAACTTGACAACAACGTCATAATCTAAGATGGCAGCGCAGTGCATCAACAGTAAAGAGAAACAGTGAAAGCACTCGTAATGTATTATTTATCTGTTTTGTTTGCTTGAAATTAAAGAAGTGGTATATGTTGTACTGCTAAACGTCTAACTGTGAACACTGTGCTATGGTGTTTGTAAAAGTAAAAAACTGTGTGATGCATTGTTTACAACTGGTATCGCTAACAACCGCTATCAACGACTGACAACGGCTAGCGACAGCAGACAATTGTAAACAACAGCTAACAATGGTTAACTGTAGGCGTCCATCTTGGTTTTCCGACTTGTTAACTGGAACGCCGTCAACTCGGGTGTAGCGTCATTCCCAGCTCCGACATACGACTTCTGAGGTAACTGGAACGGAGCATAAGTCCAGCAAATTAAAGGATAAAATGAGGAGAGCGCAGTGAATAGAAGTAAAAGTATCAGAAATAACAATAGGCATGAATTGTGATGAAAGCCTCTCTATGTTGGGGGAAGCCCATGATATATTAACTATGCCTTGCTGACTTTAAGAAAGTCATTGCCCCCATTTTGGCCACCCCATTAAAAAAACATGTCTTTGCCACTGACAAGTCTACTCTGGATTTTTGTGAGGACCAGTGTTAGTCAAGTTGCTGAAAATAGATTAGTGATAAGTTGCATTTACTTGTTACAACTACTGTATTACTACATGATAGAATTAATGGGTTACTAGGGAAACTTGTATTTTTCTTCACTCTCTCAGTGTATCATTTGTGTTTTACTGGTTAATGGTCTGAGAGCAGCAGACCTCAACAGATACAGGAAGCATATCTTCCATAACAACCTTGCATCCAGTCTGTGTAGTTTTTTTTTGGCTCACAAATTGTGGAGCTGGTGGTGATTAAAAATTAAGCTCACCTGGGTCACCAGTGTTTGCAGTGCGAGGCTCTCTGGTAACTAGCTCAGCAGAAGTGTGTTGTGAGAGTTAATTTAATAAATAGGTATCACTGTCCTGTGCTTAAATGCCCCAACAAATTAGTCAAGTTACAGTTTGTACATTTACAGTTTGAAAAATGTATAAGGTGTCATGGAAGGTGAAACTTAATGGTTTTGTGTAATAACCATGACCAAGTCTGAAGAGACCTTTAAAACAGAGTAAAATTGGTGGTCAGAGGTCACCAGAATGGTACCAATCCATCCACTCCTCAAAAGATTGCAGTTGTTTGTTTGTCTGTAAAAATATATATATTTAATATGGCCAAAAAGTCTGTTTTGAGTTCACAGTTACCAATAAATTTGACCATCAACAATTCAAACACTTATTTTTTACTGGAAAGTGGACTTTTTTTTGCCAAATCTAAACTAATATTCTCTTGGAGCTCCTGAGTTATTGAATCTAGAAGAAAATGGCACAGATGTTTGGCGTCCGTGACCCTGGTCCTTGAGTGTTCACCACACAAATCTAATAACTGAGTCCCAGAGGACATTTGTGCCAAATTTGAACAAAAATTAAATCCCTTGAGGTGTCCTTGAGATATTACACTGACAAAAACGAGACAGTCGGACAGACAAAGAGACAGACAGATGGACAACCCAGTCACACAATACCTCCGGGCAAGGCCATCACTGGTGCAGAGAAATAAAAAAACTGTCATATCAATAAAGAGCAGACTGAGGCTCAAGGCTACGCTTGCTGATGTCAATAAAGTCCAAGATTAAACCAGTTTGGGCTGTAAATCTTATCAAGGCCAAATGAAATCTAGCAATAGTTCAGCAAAAATATCATGGTCAGTATTATATATCAATCAGTGCTTTAAATTCTGCTATATTTTCATCCAGAAGCTTCCATGATCTGATGTTTTGTACGAACTCCTTCAATAGATCTGTTCTCACCATATGCCTTAAGAAGCATCCGAGGCAGCCAAAGATAGCAGGTCTCTGATCATGGCATTTGAGGGAATTTGGCAGTCGAGACTAAGAAACTGGAAGTGAGCCATGGCTCTGAATTGCTTTGCATTTTCTTGTCTAGAAAATTCAGACAATCTTATCAGCACTTTAAATGTGTCTTTGAATGACTGACATGTTGAACCTCTACTTTTCAGACCACACTTTTGAGTTTTTAGTATTTTTTTGTGGGGACCAGAAGGATGCAACATGAGGCAAACAAGGAAATCTGCAGTAAAGTCTGGAGGAGGCTCAGATTTTCCATCACACCAAATGAAAGCATGCAGTTTAATTTGGCAAGAAGCTCCGGCAGATATGGTAGAGCTTACTGTTTGGGACATAATTAGTTCTTTGGTTGTGCATTGAAGAACTCAAAGAAAGGACCCATGTGTAGACTCAGAAGAAAATGAAAAAGGCTTACTGTGTGATTTTATTAAGCAAAGGACAAATGACTAAAATTGTCCAACAATAGAAGTGAAAAACACAAAGAAATACCATTTGAATTGAGGAGCGGGGTTGATAGGTCTGACTAGCTCAGAAAAAGAGAAGCACACAGGATAATCAGACTCAGTCAAGACTAACAAGATACAAATCCCTGTAAATTGCTATTTAGAGGAGCAATAATTACTCCACTGTGATATCTCAACTTCTACATGAATGTTTCAGACGTAGTAACAGAGGGGTTACTAGACAAGACAGGATCGCTGTTTTGCAGAAACGGCAGGACGTCACAGAGCTGCGTATGTCTGAGATTGGGTGTATATGGAGCTCTTGCACTTTTACAGCATTGTAATGCAGTGTGACATGACATATACTTGCACACTAATATAAACCGCAAAGGCTTGGTTGGCAAAGCTGTTGCAGACTTGCAATTTTAAAGGGGTCACAAGATTACTCGGGTGATATAGGCCTTGCTCATCTTGAAAGCGCTGCCATCGCATCCCTGTGTTCTGCTTTTGTACTCTATATCCTATCTGGCGAGGTGGAACAGCGGGGCAACAGTCAAGTCCTTGTGGAATTTACTCTTGTTACATGCTGGTTATTGAACCAGGCCTGACCTTTTGGCATTTTAAATTACCTGTCTGCCCATTTGACATTGATTTCCCAGTTTTAACTTCCAGCCTCAGCCTATGTCTGGGCTCATGTCTGAGTGTCTGAGAACCTTTGATCAAAACGAGTTTTACCAGTTTGTCTGGATTTGGCTCCTATCTCCTCTGCCCTGGAAACGTCTTGAAATCAAGAAGCTGAAGTTGACTCTGTCCGGCAGACACGGCTTATAGGTTGTGAAGAGTGATATCCAATTTCAGTTCTTGAAATACTAAGAAGTCAACAAGACCTTTTTTAAGGTCCTTACACACTGGGAATGACGCAAAAAACTAGGTGGAAGCGAGAAGACTGACACGACAGCAGACTGAGTGTTTTTCAGTTCTGATTAGACACTAGTGTTGAGATGACTGTCTGTCATGATAGCATGTACTGAGTCGGGGCCAGTACCAGATAAGCACATTAAACTATAATCCATAAACGTAAGGTAACAACTGAAACCTAATGGTGCTGTGACAGCAACACGATTGAGTTTGAGACAGTGAAAATACATATGGTATGTTGTATCTGAACAGGTTAGCTTACGATCTAAAGTTACTTAGCACAGATGAAAGTTAAAACAAAGATGTTTAGCAAACTGTTAAAGCACACAAACCATCGTCATATGAGAAATCCGACGCTATGACTCTCTACAAGTTGTCCTTCAGGTTGTTATCTTTGTAAAATTTGTGTCTTTTATCAAAAAGCACTCTGTTCTCCGACACGTAAACAATCAGCCGGACGGCCATGTTGGATGTATCGGTGAATCTGACGCAACAACACGAAATCTGATTGGTCAGAAGTGGACACACAGTATGTGAAACTTTAGAAAATTCGACCGTGATACGAAAAAATAAATATCGCAGGACGGGAAAACATCGCTGATGTGAACACTTGTATTGACAGGATATGGGTTCGACAAGATTGATGTCCAAAATAATCGCACAAAAAAAATGCTCCTGGTGTGTCGGGACCATTAGAGTGATATTGAAGCCTTATTATATATTCAGAAATGTCACGACCGTTTGACTGTGACAAATTGATAATTTGTCAAAATGCTTTGAGTCTCTGCTCATGAAACTGCTGCACATTCATTTTCTTTTACAAAACTAAAATATATCCACGTAAGAGAGCAGAGTGAAAAAGGCAGCTGCTTTATACCAGCGGTGACACCTTTCTAACGTCTCCTTTTGGCTCTATTACATGCTATGTCGACTGTCAAGAAAATGAGGCTAACAGGTATATGAACTGTCATGGCAATGCCCACAGAATATCTGTCTCACGTCCCCCCCAGTGAAATCTCTGTCTCTCTTGTGTCTGCTGCATCATTCATCTATTTAAGGGCTGAATGCCAAATGCATTCCGGTGCCAAATATGTCACATCAAGTCAACATAACAGCACTTTCCATTTCAAAGGCTCCTGCAAATGGGGCAGAGAAAAACATCTTACCATGCTGGATATCTGTGCCTTACTTTCTTTCTAAGGCTTTCGCAGCAGAAACTCTCTTTGACTGCTGATTAGAAATTGAGTTTTTCTAATCCTGCCTGGTCTTAATTCTACAAGCATAAGCGTGACGTAGTACCATGGAGGCTGCTTTTGTTCTCTGTCTACCTGTGTTGTGTCCAAGTCTGCCTGAATGCCTCAGAGACAACTTGGTGGGACCAAAAGGGAATCTACCGAATGCTATCTTTTATATGCATAGCTGGTCTTCAGTACTTGTTAAAATTGTAATATCAGTTTATTTTGGTTCCTCTGAGGTAGTAGAAACACACTGTGAACACCATCTCTGTGTTCATCAACAAGTAATTAATGAATTCCTCAGCTTGCAAACCGGTCACATTGGACCTTTTTTAACCTCTGATTTTAGACTTTTTTGCTTCGGTATTTGGGGATTCTTGCAAAACAGTTTACTCATCAACCAGATTTAGAGGAAAACTATTTGTCTGACGTCTCGTACCACATCACCTGGTCAACCCTAAGTAAAATGTGCACTGAATTTGCTCTGGTTTTGGTCTCTACCAGCTGTTGCAGGTAACATTTGACTCCTATTTGACTCTTTATTACTGTGATTTTAATATCCCAAGCTAGTAACATACCAACAGAATTGAATTTCCCTTCAGGGATAAATAAAGTTCTTCTTATCTTATCTTATCTTATCTTATCTTATAGGGGGTGTGATGGTGAAAGAGAAATATGACATATGTTCAAGTGAAGAAAAAAAAAAGGCCCAGTGTACAACAGCGCAGAAATGATGCAGCAGTTAATCCTTATACATTTTTCAGAGATGTTAAATGGTGCAGGAGTTTATCTTTTTATGTGATGGGATTTTATGCCTACTTTTATAAAAAATAAAAAAAAAGAGGCAGAGAGAGTTTAATAAATAAGCTAGAAAGAGCAGGCGGATAGATAATGAGGAAATACTGACTCAGCCATTTCTAGCAGCACGCAGAGGCATATACAGAGGCAGGGAAGCAGCATAAACATGTTTCTTTTTGCGTATTTCCAAAGTTTGCTGCATCAATGCGCATATTAGACATGAACTGTTCTCTTTTCTTCATCTGTTTTGGTCCTCTCTGCCTCTCTTCCCTTCCTCATTTCAAACATTCAGACACAGCACTGAAACAGAGGAAACACAGAGCATGATTAGCAGAGAAATTAAGAGACGGCGTGGAAGACAGAGCGCTAAATTAAGAACAAAAGACAAGACACCAGGGGGTGTTTGTGTGTCTGTGTCTATGTGTGTTTGTTCAAGCAGGCATACAATGATCAGGCTTTCATGTTTTTTTTTTTGAGTCAGTGTGCAGTTTTCACTAAGAGCTGCTTGATTCAGTTATTTTTGTTCAGACCTCCCTCTCTTTCATATTTTCATCCTTCTTTTTCTCTCTCTGACGGTAGTTCCAGTTAATTTTGGTGTCTAGACTTAAGGATGTTGGAATCATCCTCTTTATATGAGATAAAGGAGTTTCACTTTCGACTTTGTCCCAGTTCAGGAATGTTCATTATCTTCAATCGGACAAAGATCCATTAGATGTAACTGTCATAAGTAGCACAATCTGCTGGCATAAATTTTCATCACAAATCTACATTTACTGCGCCAGTCTCCTTTCTCTGCTCTAATTTCTACTGTATGTCAATGTCAACGCAGCAGTTCTGACAGAAATGCTCTTTTCAAGCTTGAGTCAAAGCTGTGGAGAAGGAATCAGCATACACACAACCATCGAAATCATTCAGCCTACTTGCACATTTGAATTTGACAGAAGCAAAAATGCAGTTTCCATATGTGGCCAAAAGCATTTAACTGCATTCGCTCATTTGTATCACTGTTAATATATACATAGTACACAGACAAGCATGTTTTGTCGTCTATAAATCGGGGTCAGCAGCAGCTATGAAAACTGGAAAGGCTTATGGCTCTCTCTTGTGATGATAGTTGGTACTGCATGATGTTCTTTTGCAGTGGTTTATTCACAGATCTGCTCTCAGCTGGTGCATACTGGATTAAACCCCTTAATTTCAGCAAGAATGAGGCAAAATGTTGCTGAACATGGGTTATATCTAAACACTGGCACCTCTCAGCGAGTGAATATTTTGTCCTCGTAGATGATGTTTTGGAAGCAGGAAAATGTTTTAAGTAAGGTGTGAGAACAAAAATGATGAGGCCCAAATTGTAATGGATACAGTCAGGGTCGCAGGGTCAGTGCACCCCCAGAACTGCAGCTATTGTTAGGTGCTCCTGATGTGCAATGGTCAGTACTTACCAGAAGTGATCCAAGATAGGAAAACTGATGAACCAGTGAGAAGACTGTGAGTGTGGGAAGCAAAGGCTGGCGTGTAACAGACTCATTAGAAACACTGCTGGAGCTCAAATTCTTAAAAAAAAAACAAACAGATTTTCATATAGCAAGCTGTCAGAGCACACAAGGCATTGCACTGTGTATGCACTATGCAGCTGGGTTGTTAGAGACTGGTCAAGGGTGGCCAAACTGACCACTGTCCACTTGATCCTAAAGCAATGGAAGATGGTGGTAAACAGTGTCAACTTAGCTACGAAATTCTACAGATGTCAATATCAATCAGGTATCTGTGGGGTGTGGTGGTCAACCAAGAGTATTTCCTGAGGATAGTGACGTCCATGTCTGCGCAACTTATTACAGCTGTTTAGTGAAAAGTTAAATCCTGAATAGCATAAACCCTGGAATTCTACTGATCACACAGACCTCTGTTAGAAATATTGGAGGGAAAAAAAAAATTTGATATCAGCATTGCAGCATTGATTGAAAAGTTTCGGTCAATGCATCTTCAGTCTGCCTCTGCAAACAACAACATGCCCACCAGCAAACTCATCCTCTGCTCCAGTGAAGCTAGATGTTGTTCCAATCAGCCACCATACGTGATTCACTGTGATGTCACTTCCATTACTTTCTTCAACAAACATGTGCAATGTCTGGCTTACTGTTTCTGACTGTGTTGCAAACAATGCAGTAGGTGGCAGCATCCACCTTTAACGCTGGTCTGTAGCCCAATAAATCTTGAAGAGGAGGAATGAGAGAATGGTTAAATTTGTTAAAATCATATCATCTTCTTGTCACCATGTAAAGCTATTTAATCTTAACTGAGATATTAACGACACTTAAGTTGTCTGACAAATTACAAAAGTTGATGTAATGTGTTTATGAGGTAATGACCCTAAAGACTTTAAATGTGTAGCTATGAAAAAAGACCCCGTTTATGAACAAAATAGTTTCAATTCAGGCAGTTCAAGTCAGAGACTTGGAGCTTTACTCTGACATGCATATCAAAACTGTCACAAGTCGCATAAATAGTGAACTGCCATGTTGGTTGAACCCTTGTATACAGACCAAAAAGGCTTGCTGGAGTTAGTGGTGAGATAAAGTTAGAAGAAATGGTCCGAGCACTGAGCCTTGTGGGACTCCTCTATGAATGACCACAGGACTTTTTTATTATCATGCACAAACTGAGATCAGTCATTAAAATACTACAAACCCCTGACAAGGTTTTCAAGGGTAAGACTTCAGATATTTGTCAAAATCAATAATTTCATCATTTGAAAGTTTAAGTATTTGTGCTTGAAAAAAGTTTAAGCATGCTTAAGGATGTTTAAAAAAAAACCTGTAAGAATAACAGAGAAAGACAACAAGGTCATTTTGCAGTCAGTCTTTATACAGATACCAAACACTGTGCCCTTTTAACGCTCAATATAACACTGGAAACATCATTACATTCACCATTCAGAATGCCCAGCATTTTTTTAAACAAATAATAAACTTTAGATCCTTTTTCTCTCAAACTACATTCATAAAGGTATTTAAAAGCAAAGTATGAAAGCTTCTTCAGAAATAAACCTGCTAAAATGATGCATTATGAAAATACACATATTTTCCTAGAACATAGACTCCTCAACAGGATATGTGTTGTTCTGTGTGGCTCCAAAAATTTCCATAAAGAATAAAAAAGAAAATGTACAACCAGAGTATGAAAATAAAGTATAAAAAGTTCCTCTTATATTCACTCAGTCCATGCTGATAGTTCTGGATCCATCCTAATGTTCCAAACCTCATCTCAAACGCTTAATGATACAACATTACAAACATCAAATGAGAAACTTACACTTGAATTTCTTCACTACCAGAAACAGAACGAAAAGAGAATGCAGGAATCGTTCAAACAAGAGTGAGACCCAACAAGATGTATTTGTGTTTAAATAACACCTCCGGGATTTTTGCCATTTTTTCTGTGATTGTTGGAACCGAGGGTGTCTAATTTCACTGCAACCTCACTGTGTTGTGATGTATCTAAATCAATTTTGTATAAAAATGAAGTGAAAAGTTTTAAATTCCCTTGAGAGACTCCTCCAAAAGGATCAATAATAATCTATTCTGATCTAATCTAATGACCTTATGTGTTGCTTGACTCTTGTCTTGCCTGTCCTTAATCTAACAGATAGTGTTGTTTTGTTAGGGTTGTCTGTTAATACAATATGGTTATTACTTAAGTTTTAGTTTAAGTTTAAGCCATGATAATTATGATTTTTAAAAAATCTGATAGTCGTACAGCCCTGATTGAAGGCTGTTGAATATGTGCAAGGAGAATCTGGGGATTTGTTGCTGTCATTGGCCTACACTGCCAGATCACGAGAAAGGCCCAGGAACTAGTTGGTCTTATGGGAACATGGCACTGGGCTTCCTGGAGGTACTGGTTTACAATTCAGTTACGGAAGAAAAGTAACAAGTAAAAATGTCTGTGTTTTTGTTCACAAGTCCAAGCTGTTAGTTTCCACAAACACAATCACTACAATCATCTCATAACTCATGATTCATGGGTCGATAATCTCTAAAATAATTCCTGTCAGAGTGTTACACATGGTTGAGTAGATTCAAGAGACAAATACACTCACCGGCCACTTTATTAGGTACACCTGTCCAACTGCTCGTTAACACTTAATTTCTAATCAGCCAATCACATGGCGGCAACTTAGTGCATTTAGGCATGTAGACATGGTCAAGACAATCTCCTGCAGTTCAAACCGAGCATCAGTATGGGGAAGAAAGGTGATTTGAGTGACTTTGAACGTGGCATGGTTGTTGGTGCCAGAAGGGCTGGTCTGAGTATTTCAGAAACTGCTGATCTACTGGGATTTTCACGCACAACCATCTCTAGGGTTTACAGAGAATGGTCCGAAAAAGAAAAAATATCCAGTGAGCGGCAGTTCTGTGGGCGGAAATGCTTTGTTGATGCCAGAGGTCAGAGGAGAATGGCCAGACTGGTTCGAGCTGATAGAAAGGCAACAGTGACTCAAATAACCACCCGTTACAACCAAGGTAGGCAGAAGAGCATCTCTGAATGCACAGTACGTCAAACTTTGAGGCAGATGGGCTACAGCAGCAGAAGACCACGCCGGGTGCCACTCCTTTCAGCTAAGAACAGGAAACTGAGGCTACAATTTGCACAAGCTCATCGAAATTGGACAATAGAAGATTGGAAAAACGTTGCCTGGTCTGATGAGTCTCGATTTCTGCTGCGACATTCGGCTGGTAGGGTCAGAATTTGGCGTCAACAACATGAAAGCATGGATCCATCCTGCCTTGTATCAACGGTTCAGGCTGGTGGTGGTGGTGTCATGGTGTGGGGAATATTTTCTTGGCACTCTTTGGGCCCCTTGGTACCAATTGAGCATTGTTGCAATGCCACAGCCTACCTGAGTATTGTTGCTGACCATGTCCATCCCTTTATGACCACAATGTACCCAACTTCTGATGGCTACTTTCAGCAGGATAATGCACCATGTCATAAAGCTGGAATCATCTCAGACTGGTTTCTTGAACATGACAATGAGTTCACTGTACTCAAATGGCCTCCACAGTCACCAGATCTCAATCCAATAGAGCATCTTTGGGATGTGGTGGAACGGGAGATTCACATCATGGATGTGCAGCCGACAAATCTGCAGCAACTGTGTGATGCCATCATGTCAATATGGACCAAGCTCTCTGAGGAATGCTTCCAGCACCTTGTTGAATCTATGCCACGAAGAATTGAGGCAGTTCTGAAGGCAAAAGGGGGTCCAACCCGTTACTATCATGGTGTACCTAATAAAGTGGCCAGTGAGTGTAGAGGCATAGAGGATTAAAAATGAAGAAAATTTCTTTTCTTTTTTCCTTATTCCTCACCTTAAGCAGTACAAGGAGGAAAACTGCAATAAGTGAAACTTACAAATGTGGAGAAAAAAGCAATTTTTGGTAAAGTATGCATTCTTGGAGATCCTTCAAACTGCCCTCGTACACCTTCCTCCTCTTACATTTAGTCCTGTCACTTCCTCTTTGTGATATCGTCATCTTCTCCTCCTCTTCCTATATTTTTCTTTTTCCTTATCCCCTCTGTGCTAACCACAGATCACCCCTACATCTTCCCCATGTGTGCAGTTGTGTTTCCCAACTCTGGATCTCTTGCACTCCAGCAGTGATCCCTCATCCCCCTCACACTCCACGTCATCCAACAGGATCCTGACGCTCCTGTCTGCCTCCCCCAGAGCTGCTCTCTTCATCACTGCCAACACAGTCTTGTAGCCAAGCTGTCTGCACACCACGGCCCCTGCTTTGTTGTTGAAGAGGTCGTCACATACTGTTCCCCACACTCCACGGATGAAGATCTCAACCCTTCCTCGATCTGTTAAACCATCAAGACTCACCAGTCGCACTGAGCCGGCTCGGAGTCTTCTTCCTCTCTTGTAACCGCGGCCTCTTTCTCTACCTTGTGGTCTTTTAAATATTTGATTACCTTCTCCGACGCTTTGCAGCTTCTCACCCAGCCACAGCCTCTCCTCCTGAGATTTAGGCAGCGTCGTGTTTAATGGTGGTCTCTGGGGTTTGAAGCTTGATGTTGTAGGTTTCTGGATCCAATATGGCGGCCGTGGAGTAGCGGTCAAAGTGGGTTGCTGTGTGGGTAGAGGCTGGGAGGTGGTACTTTTGGGGTATTGGAGGGGTTTCCCGTAACTCCTGGTTGGAGATGCGGTGGCAATATGAGCGATCTTTGGGAAGGCTGCAGTCATGATGGTAGTTCGATAACCTGAGGGAGAGACAGAATCACCCTCTTTATTTGGATAAATGTGAATTTGTGTTTAGTTTTAGTTGTTCTAATACGTTTTAGTTTTTCCCCCTTCAAGATCACTTTGGAGAATATGTTAATTTAATTTTTAAGCAAGTGTTAGATGCAAAGCAAAACTCTCATGTACATATGAAACTATTTCTGCAAGTTAGCTTAGTATCACACAAAGACTAGAAAAGTGCAAAAAGCTATTCTGAGATAACAAAAATCCTCCTAATGGTTTTCTATTGATGCAGTTCCCCTCATGGTAATTGGGTTTTACAAGATCAGTATGAAACTGCATGGAGAGTCACTCAGTACATTTACATGCACAGTCAAGTCAAGCTCGATAAGGTGGTTTAACTGGACTACTGTTAATGTCCCAGTTTGCATGCACTGGGCGAGAACAGGATTATTGACAGAAGCAAGTCCACCTCTGCTACGGTAGGTGGCCACATGTCTCCCTTCAGGTTCAGTTGTCTCCATAGACTGTACGGTCTTCTTCTCACTGTACTATTACATATAAAAACATGTTGGTAAGAGGGTAACGGGATATGTGTCTAATGATGAAAACACTATTTGTTTGTACTATAGGAAAGTTTACATCTTTTGTGTGCATGTCAAGGTTTTGTTTACTGCCTGCCTTCCTAGCAACACGTTTGTGTGATTCAACTTTCAGCTCCAAGCCTGGCATGTGAATACTGGAGTATGCTCATAGTGTGTAGGCTGGTTTTGGTTCAACTGAGCCAAAAAACGTAGAAGAGGGAAATCAATCCCCAACCACATTATCCAGGTACATTAGTTTAACTACGATAAGTTCAATTTAGTACGATTTTAATTTGGTACGATTTCAATCAAACTAATGCGTTTAGATGATTTAAAATTCCAGTTGTAGACTATTATTAATCCATTACTTGGAAAGCATGTAAACATAAGGATGTCTGAAACTTGTTGGATAAATGGTTAAAAAAAAAAAGAGTAAACTTGTGTAACTATTCTGTTGTTTAAAAGACGTTGTTTAAAAGAAGTTTTTTAAAATCAAAGTAAAACAAGTAATGTTATCCTTAAAGACGGGCAAAGAAAAGACATAAACACAGACACAAAAAAGACAAATGTCCAAACTGGAGCTGCTGCAGAACCATTTATTAAAAATAAATAAAGCCAAAGTACCCGAACTAAATCAAAGTAGTGCAAATACTCAACACATGAAGAATTACCGTTTACCCTGCTCTCGACTGCGGTACCTGCCAGAGGATAACACGCAGGCAGAAATTCAGCTTCAGCTAACTCGCCTGGACCTGAGTTTGACACAAGCATGTGCAAAGAGCTCACCCTCCCCGTCTACGTGATTTATGTAGGCAATAATCAAACAATAAGCAAAAGCTGTAACAAAAAAAAATGCTACAATAAAAACTTAGCTACCAAGATGATTGAACATAATGCTAATTTGATTTCCTTGAGAAAATTTACTTTATTTAATGTGTTTTTTTACTTGATTAAAATTTTCCATTACAGTGCAGAGATGTTACAAATAAAGTGCAAAGACTAATTGGAAATGTCAAGGTCAAGTACTAAATTGCATTAACTGCCTTGTTACATTGAAGACCTAATTTTGATTTAAGTTGGAGAAAACTTCTACAGGTTTAGTTGTTCTTATAGATTAAGCATCTCATAAAACGTGCAAAGATTTGATTTCAAGTTCTTGTTCACAGGTTTATGTTGTTTGTTTTTAAGGTAGGCCTATCTCTGAGGCTGTTTCTATTTACTGCACTTTGTGCTTCATACTCAAAATATGCACTCAATACAACATGAAATGATTAAAATTACAATTAAATAGCTTTGATAGTTTTCATCTTTTAAGCTTTTGATATAAACCAAATTGCAACTTTTACAGTACGTTAACTCAATTTTAGCTGCCAACTTAGATTGTGATATTTCATAAATTATTCAGAGCTTGTGGCAAAGAGCAGTTATGACGATCCATGAAACAACTTTTAAGTAATATTGAATTTCTGTTTTTGATCGAAAAGCTCAGTGATTTTACCCAAGTGGCTAAGTAAAAGAAAAGAAAATCGCACTGAACTGCTTTAAAAAGCTACTCAGCGATGAGTATGTGCAACAGAAAATAAGCACAAAAGGTGAAACCACCCAGTTTAAGACTGGTGGCTTCTCCCCGTACTGAGGTGTGCACTGGTCTGCTGCTGGGTTCATTTAGAGAGCTCAATGTTGACTGAACAGTTGTGTGGGGAGTTGATTTAGTATGTAGGTAATGAACAGAGCTGGCTGAGTTAACGGGTGCGCTAGTAGGCCTACCAGTGGGTGTGGTTCTGGCCGGGATTGTTGCCGTGGACCTCTGGACGGTTGTTGGTATGGTGGTTGGACTTATTGTTGTCGCTGGAGGTGTTTTTATTGTTGTTGTTGCTTTAATTGTTGGTATTGTTGTTGGTGGTGGTGTTTTTCTTGTTGTTGGTTTTCTCGTGGTCTGTATGGTTGTTTTTCTTGTTGTTTCTGCGGCTGGTGTTGGTGTTAGTGGAGATTTTCTTGTTGTTGTTGTTGTTGTTGTTGCTGTTGTTGGCAGCAGAACTGATGTTTTTCTTATTGATTTTCTCGTTGGCATTGGTGGTTTTATAATTTTTATGGATGTTGTCTTTCTTTTTGGTGGTGTTTTTGTTGTGGTGGTTTTCCTGGGTACAGGTGTAGTGGTTGGTTTCTTGTTAATTACAAACTCTGAAAAAGAAAGAGTAAAGAAAGACATCAGATAAGTTGATGAGACTGATTAATGTTATAATTTGGCTTACACTGAGTGATCAGAGCTGTGATAAGTGGATTGTTCTGTAATGAAACACACAAAATGTATCACCATACAGTTTCCATTACCTTCTTTTGGGTGGAAGTGAATCAGTTTTCCTTTTATTTTGATAGGTGCAGGCTTGATGCCACATTTTCCAGGTGGTGCTCGTCTGCATGAATAAGAGATACAATCAACACAGGATTAAAGATGTCACATTTTTTGAGATATTCAAGCTCCGGTGAGGAGTTTTTAGTTGGTTATAAAAGGGATTGACATGAACAGAGACGCATCTTTGTGCCACACAAAATCAATATGACCGTCCTTAACAAGACCAACAATTTCGTAACATCAATTTATAACAACTGTTGCTGCTGTGAAGGGAAGGCAAGCTGAGCCTTGGCTACTTTCTCCATAGCAAATTTACATAATAAATGATCATTTTTTTTACCTTAGAAATACAACAAAAGTTGATTTTTTTAGTTAACACCACTTTCACACGGATGAGACATGATCAGCAATAATAAAAGGCTTACCACTTTGTCCAGAGAGGGCGCCAAAATCAACAAACACAAAAAGTTCCTCACAGAAACTTCAAGTAACTGAGATTTAAAATAATCTTTTCGATTGGAACAACCGCTCGACAGTTAATTTGAAGATGGAAAGCTCATATTAATTCATTTTGACCCAGCATGTTGTAACATGTACCGCTCAATTAACACAACAACTGTTTTTTATTCCTGTAATAACTGATATAAGTCTGTCAATAATAAAAAAAACATTATAGTTCAGATCTTTGGCTTTCTTTTGCAGTTTTAAGAAACAGTTTCAAAGATTTGTGTCACAGTTGTAGCATTTAATATTTTAATACTGATGTAGCTGTTGGTCAAAAAGTTGTATTCTGTTACTGTCTGATTTTACTACTGGGTATTTAAGATAACATACTGAAGTTGATGGAGAAGTCTAAATGCTAGTAAAGTTCAAGTAGATTGGCTTTTGCCTTTTTCAGAAATACTAAAAAATGGGATAAGACAGTCATTGGCAATCTTTTGGCACAATTAACTCAAATTTTACTTGAGTAACTGTATTATTTTGCTCATCCTAGGACAAGCTGATAAATACTGATGTGTAATGTCTGATCACTAAGATCAAAAAATATATGCATGGTAACACTGTGAATGAGATATTTTACAACAAAGAAATGTGCAGTGTCTACCTTGATGGATCCACTATCTTATAGATGACTCCCCCTCTGGCTGTGGCACTTGGGGTACCGGTGGCTAAGAAATACAGTTCACCTTTAAAACAGACAGAGGAAAAAAAGACAGAGAGACTGAGGTAGATGGCCAAAAAAGACACACTGCTATTTATAAAACAGAGAAAAAAACTTTGGCAAGAAACAAAAAGAAGATGAACTGCAGGGAGGAGGAAGAAGGAGGGAGCAGATATTTACCAGTATGGATTGAGAAAAGAGCAAAAGGTTGAGAAGGAGAGGTAGAAATGGAGCAAAACAGGAAAGAAGAGAGAGACACATAACGTGTTACAAAAGGTGTTTATACAGAGACAGGATTTGGACTCTGTTTGAACTTTTCGACTTAAATCTCCTCCACGTCACTCTCAGAGGGAAGAAAGAGATTATTTAAGGCCAGCACAGCATGTGTGCAACACTCTCGCTGGTAAATCAGCAGTCGCTTTAATTCAAACCAGATTAAACATCTAGCATAAATCTCTCCTCGGTCTTTTTAACTCCTCAGAAATGTGCGAATTTTCACACTTATTTAGTATTATGCAGAACTCTGATACACAAAAAATACAGGAACAAACCCCTTACCTAAATCATTCCATTTCACCGTACATAACCCTAATTAAAACCGGAATTATACAGCCTCACGTATACAGCCTCATCACTTCATGATGTTGTACTTTTAATTACAGAATTTAAGTGTAGGAACAGAAGTGGTAATTCCAGGTGTTGTGGTTATTGTTGTTCTTTCCCTGTAACAAAAGTTAAACCTATTACCTGCTTCGTCCTCAGCAAAAGAGATGATGTATTTGTAGTAACTGTTGATGAGTTTGGGGAACTTGCAGGTCTGGTCTCTTCCCATGCAGATCTCATTGTAGTGCCATTCACCTGTGCTGACGTTCTCCTTCAAAGACATCAGACGCCTGAACAGAAAGAAGCAGCTCATGAGCACAAATGACACATTAAATACCTTGCATAACTTATGTTACTTACATATATTTATATATATTAATCGGTAAAACGGGTCTGTGATATACACATAAAATATGGTACATTTTTAAACATATCAGGGTCACTTTTCAGTGTTACACCAGTTTTGGAGGTTGGTCCTGCCAGAAAAAAAAGTTGTGCAACTGGCAACTAATTCACCAAATGACTGTTCAGGAAACAACTTTGAAACAAAAGCAATATAAAAATGAGTAGTCTCGCCGCAGAAAAAAACACATTGGGCTTTTACTTTGAAATGCACTCCAGGAGTGCTGCCATGGTGTATTTTTATGCCTGCAACACAAATATGGCTGATTCAGAGCCAGTACAGTCCTCACATTTTCATTTTTCTGGGTATTTTGGCCTTGATCAGCATGCAGCTTGCAGAGAGAAAAAAAAAAAAAAACGCCCAGATTTTTGGGACATGAGATCATATTAACAATGAGGCGGATTTATTCCAACTATCACTGCACAGACACATTGGATCCTGTGTCTGAAGGGATGGGAAAAAATGTGTCAAAACAGAATTAAAGGTTTAGAAAAAGACCAAAACACATACCCGCTCATGAAATCTCCAAAGATATAGAGTCCGTTTAAGTTGGGCATCTGACAGCCTCTGTAGATGTATCCTCCTGTCACTGATTTACCCAACTTGTGCGGATAGGCAAAGATAGGCAAGATGTCATCTAGACACAAATGATGAGTCAGATTGTCACCATAACTAAAATTCTCAATGCAACAAAACATATCTGTAATCCACCAGGTTAATCTCCTTTGTGTTTTTTTATTGAATGGTCTCAAAGCGTGTGAAAGCGGTGCAGAGAGTGGCCTTACCTAGAGAAGAGTTCTGACAGAGTTTGCGGTCGTAGCAGCTGAAGCCTTCTTTGGCCCGCCAACCATAGTTGCCTCCTGTAACCATGATTTGACAAATTTAGTGCAACTCACAGACAGTTGTTAAAGTCTTTCTATTTAGAACAACTTCAAAATGTAGTAAACAAGCCGTGGATCTTCAGATGTATTGTTTGGCGAGGAACAAACACATGGGATACGCTTCACCAGATTTAATTGGATGTTTATTTGTGTCTTTTTGGGGATTTCTATAACCAGATCTCTTAAAACCTAATTGTTAGGGACAAAACCCAGATTAAACTATGGTGTGTGTGACTTGGTGCTTGTGTGGTCCTTGAGTTTTTCCATATATGACATGTGGATGACTGGACAATTACAGCTTTTATCAGGGAGAATAAACACCTTAGCAGCAGTGAAAAATCTCTTAAATATCGTCAGTATGATAATTCATGTGTAACTCATGCTAAATATCACACTGCAGACAACAAAATCTGCCTTTACCTTTGTAAATGATGTCCACTTCTTCATATTTGTTTTGGCCTACGTCACCACAGAACATTCTGCCTCTGCCTCGGTCTGTAACGGGGTCACCGCGGTCAATAGAGCAGCGCCACATGTTGCGAACTCCATAGGCATAAATCTCTGCAGAGAAAGGAAGAAGGACAATGAAAGCCATAAACGCTGAGACAGCAGAATGTTTTACAGTATACAGAAACCAAAGCCACATTTCTGCATGTGATCACATGATTTACTGCGCCAAGAAAACATCCCACTGCGTTTGGTTGTGAGCACTCATTTGTGAAGGTGCTGCAGTCCAGATTTTTTTTATTTTCAATTGTGTTGAGCATTTGAAATGTTCAGTTAATCTTAAAAACAACCAGATTAAATCACAATTTACTCTATTTAAAAGGAGTTACCTGGTCTACTTTCCTTTTCCTCCACGAACGGGTTGTCTGGGGGAATGCTGTACGGGGCGCTAAGATCATTGTCTTCAACGTCAATGCGAAGCGCCTTACCAAGAAGTGTAGATCTATCCCACATAGTAAAAAAATAGAGAGAATGAGTAAGATACAAAGAAGACAGCAAAGTTTGATGGGACTGACTGATAGATGATGGACTGGTCTTGGTATCTTTTTCGAGCTCATGTTTCAGTCTGCAGTTTGACAAATGTGACATACTGGAGTTACCTCATTGGCCATTACTCTCCTAAATGGGTTTGTATAAATAATCCGTCATTAATTCCATGTGACTTATTTTTGCATTTTTAGTATTAGTTTCTAAAACCCAGTTCTCCAACCCTTCAGCTGATTCTCCTCTACCTTCACTCTCTGTCAACCCTTAAATGTTTTTCTGCAAATCATACCCCCTATCCACCTGCCAACTCCTTACGAACTCCCTACCAACACCTTTCTCCTTCCCTGTTCACTCTCTCCTTATTGTTACTCTTTTCCACTCTGTCTAGTCCCACCTCTCGCTCTCCCTCCCTCCACGTGTCTCTCTCTTCCACATACCAGTGTGTGGCAGTCCACAGTGTGTACTGTCAATATTAGACTTGGCGGGGTGTTTCCTCCCTCATTCCCAGAACGGCTAATACAGCATGTCAACAAAAGTCCTCAGAGGAAGGTAAAGAGCTACACTCAGACTGTCTGAAGAAAAGGTGACAACAACTTTTTTCTTTTTTTTTTCACACAGTAGTACCATGAGTGATCATCGTCAACCCTGTGAACTAGGAGTTATTGCAAACCAAAGTATGTTAAAAAATATAAAGAAAAGGTTGGACACTGGGTAAATGTGTTTAAAAATCATCAATTTCAGGTCTTGTAATATGTGCAGAATGTAGTTTTCCATTCTCTTGCTGAGGTCCCTGTGCTATTATGGATTCTGGCATTTGAATCCAGCTCTGATAAGTCAAGTGAACTCTTTTCTCTCTTAAGCAAAGTAGAGTTTGGTTTGCCAGACCACACTTCTTCTCATGGCCTCAATCTTATGATACAGGCTCGGGCTCAGGGAAGTCGGCATTGTTTCTAATTCCTTCTCTGTGGTAAACATCTACTTTTGACAAATACTTCTTATAATCTCACATAAAAATAAAATAAATTACAATAGACTTTCACTCCCATGTTCTAAAGGGTTCTCCATATACAGGCTGACATTGTGGCCCAGATACTTTGAATGATAATTCTATTATTAGAAACTCTGTGACAGTGACAGTAACTTTTTTCTACTGCTGTACTATTCCTCTATAGTTTCTATTAATACAGTGTGACAGCGCCTTCGAATAGTGTTTGATGATACACATTTCAAAGCATCCCTTCGCCGAGGTCTGTTCTTTAAATCTGATCACTTCATTTTTCAAAGAGCGCTCAACAGGGTCTGACATGTCTCAGAGATACATCTTTATGATCATTTGTGTTGTCAGATAACTAATTTGTTCCTTTTGAAGATAATTTGCTTAATTGGAGCACACTCCTTGGTCGATGTGATCCTCAGTTTATTTGAATTTATTTAAAGTGGTAAATAACTATCCTCAAGAGGGCTGTAATTTATCAGATATGATTGAGCAATCAAAGAGTTTGCACTCAGTTGAAGTACATCATTACCTTTATTTTCCCAATTTTATTCCATTTCATTAACAGGAATTCATCTTTTGGCAGTGCAAGGCTTGGTCTAGCTAGATTTAGTGATCCTTGTTGTTTCAATTTAACAACCTCCAAGTGCCAACAGCTACTTTAAACGACATATCAAGCTAAAGTTCTGCAAAGCAGGGGTTTATTTCTAATGATTGTGCATCAATTTTCCTTGACTCACGTCCTAATGTTTGTTTTCAGATTATCTTTTGCCGCATAGAAACATTGGATTTGTAGGTTAAGCTTTAGAAAAGTGCTGCAGTCATCCTTATCATCAACATCATGGACTAAAATTTGTCTAAACTTACTTGTTCTGCGAGTTGCCAAACTTTCCAAACGGGTCTCCAGCTCGGCCACCGTCACCGATGAAAATATACAGATACCCGTCATGGCCGAATAGAAGCTGCCCTCCATTGTGATTGGAGGCTGGCTCGACCACCTCCAGAATGGTTCTATGATGAGTCAAGACACACAACAAGAGGGCTGAATAAACATCATACATGTAGGAACACTTCTGCTACAAACACAAGATCATTTGTTTTCATATCTATCTACTGATTCCAGTATATGAACTGGTATCAAATTTAGTATTTGATATCTCAGTCAATGCACCAGTACAATGTCACATTACACTAGTCTGCCAAACTATCAGCTGGTTCTAAGCACATTGCCATGTAACCTAGCAACAATAGTTAACATTGGTCAAAGCTTGCAAAATGTCCATGATCACTGTATCTTGAGTGGTGATGAGGACACTTTTTAACTACAATGACAATGTAGTAACTTGTGCAGCTGCAACAAGCTGATAAAAAATGGAGTTACTGTTTGTTTTCTCAGTTTCAGAGGAGGATAATAAGATTGTAACTTGCAAAACATATGCTGCAAGTATTAAAAAAAGAGGAAAAATCAAAGTTATAAAACAGCTCAAAAAATCCATATAGTGCATCTCTCATCTATGAGCTTCCATGTAACTCAAGGTGAATGTCATTAGCTTTTTTTCAGGCAAACAGTATTTGCCTTTTTAGTCTCCACTTGCCTTCCTCTGATTCTTAATGTCTCACCTCTCAGAGGAGTGGTCCAATTGGTTGTCATCATGTGGCAACAGCGTGAACTCACTAATCCGAATCATCTCCTTCTTCTTGACGGACACAGAGTAGTACACATAGGCCTTCCTGACCACTGTGAACCTAAAAACAGGACAGACGTAAATTTCACATACAGCCCACTTACAGTGACGTAAATTATGGTTAAATTTCAATTTTTTTACTAATTTAAGTTGTTACCTTGGGTGTAGGGCTATACATAGGAAACCTCTTTCATCTCCGGCCCAAGGTGACGTGAGGACAGCTTCAGTGAGGTTGAGAAAGGGACGATCAATCCTGGAGCCATTAGCCAGATACACCCAAACGTAGCCAAGCTGCTCCGCCACGAAGAAACGGTGAGTCCCATCATCAGCATGGATCATGGCCACGGGGTTACGAAGTCCATTTGCTACCTCCTGCAAACACAACTCTAGACATCCCTCTGGATCCTCACGCACATGGCCGAGGTTAGCATTGAGCTCTAGGAAGACAGAAGAGATTTTAAGAATTTCTTCTCAGTAGGCAAAAGTCAAATTCCTGCATTGGTGTGTTTGTGACAGCGATGTACAAACTTTGTCATTTATAGAGCTGGATCTGTAAACCCAAATGTCTCTTTTTAACACACAGCCAACCTACATTATGTGCAGACTGGCATGTAGTAACTCATAAACTTTAATTAGCCTGTCTTTTTGGTGCGATTGAAGATTGACCCATTTTCTACAGCCCGTGTGTTCATGTTGTAAAAAAGAGAAGCAATAAAACATGTTTATACTGTGAAAATTCCCTCAACTCAAGCTCACCTTTCAACAAACGTGTACTGGTATTTGTTTGGGTGTGATTGTGTTTCTGAGCATCCATACATACCTGCATTACTCAGCACGTTGGGATAGCAGTACTGTTTGTCCTTCAGCTCCAAAAAGTCACAGAACCTTTTGCTGTCTTCTTCTAGGGTTGCGGTCAGGTTTGCGAATTGCTGCGGGTTCCCCAAGTCCTCCATTAGGAGACTGAGCGTGTACCGACACTGGTTCCAGTAATCCAGGCAGTAATCAGGACAAAGTCCAGGAAGTACCCGCATTGGTGTGTTAGCATCTTCAGCATCGTACAGGTGGGCAGAGTACGGGGAACACTCCTGCAAAAACAAAATGATGTGTTTTTGTTTTGTGTATGGGTAGTTCTAGTTTTACTCTAACCTTTGTTGATGTCCGTGATAAGTCAAGGACATTAAGGGATCACACAAGTGCAGGACTTGTGCACTAGTTTCACCTCACTATGACTGGTCAGGCCTGGGTTATATACGGGCTGTCTGAGCACGGCCTGGTATAAATGGATCCCAGGAAGGTCCAGTCAGTTATTAAGTCACAACCACACTGTCCACACCCAGAGCGACAAGCTGCAGGCACAGAAAAGCACAACACCCAAACCATCATGCGGTCAACTGGTGCTCTTTTACTTAGTGCCAGATCAGCTTAACCGATCATCACCAGGAAACACAAACCAAAGCAAGAAAAGCTCGCTCATTTACTCGTAAAAATCTCAGACAGGCACAATAACAGTCAGTTTCAGATTATAGCAACCTACATTTCATTTGAAGCAGACGATTTGTAGAGTTGAGTAAAGCACAAACAATGTTGTTGTTTTTTTTTAATGACAGAAAAAGACATTTTTTTAGAAAGAATTTAGCACACACATTCGCCAACTTCCAATGACTGTTTTTTGATCATTTACACAGGGGTCATAGGTCTTGAATCCATTTGTACCTTTGTATCTTGATCATTATTGTGGTCAAAGTGGAGGGCAGTGCAAGTAGAAGAAGAAGCGGCACCAGCAGCAGATAAAGACGACTTGATGACTGGCCAGCTAGCCTTTATTTTAAGGTTTCCCCAGTTTTGGAGTGTTTTGAATTTTAATGCAGAACAAAGGGGGAAAATTTGAGGAAAATGACGTGCAGTCATCCGCAGGAAAGGATGATGCATTATTTTTTAAATTAAAAATCTTAGTCACAGTCTAGTGACACAAATAACGTTACAAATAGAAGATGACATGTAAGGAAACAACTTGTAGTGTCTCCTTGTCTTGCGTTTCCTTTACTGGCTGATATTATTTTTTTCTAAATTTCATTTAAATGCTTGTATCATGGATATTTTTGGCAACAATAATAAGAGGGTGAAAATCTGATATCATGAGTTTACAGGCCCTAAAAACATGTTTACCTGTCAGACAAAAAAGCACTATCACTGCCAACAAAAGCTGTGTTTGCATGATGTTCCTTGTAGGTTTATAATAATTATTATAAAATGGTATCTAAAACCAGTCGATTAATGCATTTCTTTTTACACGACATTAACCATTTTTGCATGCATTATTGCATTCCAAAAACACAGTTTTACTATAGGTCACATTAAGAATACAACAATAAAGTAGAAAGAAAGGGTTCACTGAGGGTTCACATGCCTTTTCTCATTGCAGCTTACATCTTAGTTCCGTGTAGTTTTAATATATATATAATATATATGGACAATTCTTGTCCAAGGTTAAGGTTAGATATTCCCATTAAAAGAGAAGCCTGAAGAAGCCACAGGACTTCCTATTCTCCTGCTGTTTTCAGTGCAACATAGAAAATCCATTTAATACGATCCGATCCCATTCTCAAGCATTTTTAATTCAGAGTTTGCTTGTTTTTTGTCCTCTCTCTACTTCAGAAGTTTTACTCTAATAAAACCCCGCAGCTTGAAGAGGAAACAAAAAGTAAACTGTTCGAGAGAGTCTTTGTTAAGTGACATGAAAGAGGAAGCTTGTTGTTGGGCAGAGATCAGAGCCTTCCTGGGAATCCTGCTTACAGTGAAAAACAAAACCTGTGTTCAGAGTAAGCTGCTGCTGATTAAGCACTTTCTGGAGCAAGCTGGGAAGTTGAGAAGCTTTATGTGATAAACTTAAAACACATGTAACAGCCAGATGTATCTTCTTTAAAGTCAGATCCTGTATTTACAGAGAGGGTTATGCTGATTCTTCACATTAAGAGCCCATTCAAGCAAATAAAATAAAAGGCTGCATCACCGTTTAGTCATCATCTTCTCCAGCTTCATATAATGACATTTAAAAACCCTTGTTTATTCCAAGACGCCTTTTATTTGGGTCGTCTATGATAGGTTAGGTTAAACGCATATAACTACCAACAGCTGTGCTCTGACAATGCAGCCACTTCAAACTGCTATAATTTGGTGTTTACACCCTAAAGTTCAGAATAGAATTAAACTCAAGCAGGATATGACAGCCTTCTCCCAATTTGTGTCTTCCTGGCTCCCCGCTCAGGTCAACATTTTTTTTTTATTATTATGTAACAGAGGAAAGAGTCATGGCAGACAGATGGGTGGTAAACATGTGGACCTGAAACTGGACAGGACAGAGCAGTAAAAACGGTGAATGAAAAAAAGAGATGAAAGGAAAATGTGCACAACTTCATATGCTAGTGCTAACTCAGCCAGACGACTTCTTTGATGTAAGGATCTGAAACACATAGAAACACCACAAGAGTGATGCTTAAAGTTGCTTATTAAAATGCAAGCGGGAAATTATTAGTTAGATTTACTTTTGTTTATAAAACTACTTCTGAAAGAGGTTCTTTTAAATAAGAAATGGCGAAGACAGTTATCTTGTTATCGTTGTGTATCCATTATCGCATATTTTAAACAGATGTGAAAAAAACAAATTAAAGAGATCAATCAGACTAGTCAGGATTGGCCCACGTATTATCGGTCCATTCAATTATTCCATTCAATCTAGTAAAAGAAAAATGAAAAAACAAGTCAATATTTTGTTTATTTGTTTTTCTGTATAACCAAAAAATAAAAGATTAGTGTTTACTTTTATATTTTCAGTTCAAAACAGAATATATAATAGAGATGGAAATGAATAAATCTACTTTTCGTTTTCGGGTTATTGATGTCCCCATTTCCCACGGTGCCTTTCTACTGTTCGCACATGCACAATATGCAACAAAGTAGCCAACAACGTGGACCAAAAACTCCAGGCCAGAGCGGTAGAGAAAGGCTAACCTGCTGTCATGGAGATGGACGCATCCTACGTATTATTCAAAGCCGCCAGGAGGGTCATGCTGAAGGAGAAAGATGTGACTGTAGAAAAAATTACAACCAGAGCTCTGTTACAACGTAATACTTTGGTGCTCGAACCGCTCTGTTGCATATTTCGCCATGGTAACTGTCACTGAGGATCATGGGAAGGCCAGTGTAACCTCCATGCACGTATACTCAAAACAGGCGTACTCAAAATCAATAGTTGTTAATAAGATTTATTATTTTGTTTTTGTTTCCTTCTCTATTATATATTCTGTTTTGAGCTGAAAATACAAAACAACACAATTTTTTTATTTTTGGTTATACAGAAAGAGACCTATAACGGTGTAGGTGGAACAGACCAGAGAGGGAATCGTGATCAGTGAGAAAAGTCGGAGAACTTGTTAAATGGATGAACATGAACCAGCCAATTATTATCTGATGACAATGACCACCTTTTTTGTTTATTTGTTTGTTTGTTTTTTGGATGGTAGTATGTCATTACTATGCAGTTTGGAACCTGAGAAATGACCATGTGAAGTTATTAACATCTCCATATGTCTTCAGAGTCCCTAAAGGAGCACTTGTTTTCTCAACTACAGAAAAATGGCTTCTGGTGGGCACACCTTTGTACTGTATGTACCTGAGATTATTCTACACGTCTTTACCTTGTTTTATAGATTATTTCTGGTTTTTTTTTTTCATATTCTTGTCTGTTTTCCCTTTACTTCTTTTCCCCTTTCACCTCTCTTTTCCCTCCGTCCCTCTCTCACAGAAACTTGATATATCCTGTACCCCCAGCCAGAGGAGGAAATGGTTGTTTATTTGGTCAGTTAAGTTAGGGGATGATGACAATCTCCCCCCTGTCTCCCTGACACCCATCTATTCACACTTCATTTCCCCTCTGTCTGTCTCTCTTTCCATCAGCCTGTCTGTCTGTTTCTCTTTTCACTATCTCATTAATAGCAGTGCCAGGAAGCTCCTGCAGTGCTGCTGGAACAGAGGCCCTCAGTTTGAGGGGTTTATCCAGGATAAGAACCCTGCCACTGGGGTAACATGAGTATCTACAGGGCATCTTTTGCCTCATACTATTGACCGGGTAGCTGAAAACCTTAGTCCTCTGAAGTGGCCCCATAGAAGATTAAAAAACCTGAACAAAAAGTTTCTGAAAACAAATTTTCAAAGAAGACAGCCGCACAGCTTACGCAGTCTTCACCAATGTTTCTCCAAGCCTGTCATTTTAATGTAAATCTTTGTGTTATGTTATGAAGAGACCCTTTTCTGAGCTTTTTATATTTACATTGTTTTGAACTCTGGCTCAAACTATCTTACTCACTTGTAAATCGTACGTGCTCCGCTGCACTGTCATTACTCTCAAGATGCAGCCTGCTCTGCTTGGAAAGAACCACGGCAGGCTGTAATTACCATAATGATAGAAACCTATATTTTACAAGTCAAAGGATTTGTCAGTGTCTTAAGATAGTTTGTGATGTATTAAAATGCCATCAGGACTTGCAGTAAGTTCTTTCAATTGTTTTCAGTTCAAAGCCTAAACTGCCCAAAGCCAGTTTGTTTTGGCGTCGTCAGACCAAAGATTTAATCTGGAGTATATGAGCCGGGACAAAACTGCTGCTACACCTATCATTCACTTTAGGCTCTAATTCTGGACGTAGTTGGTGTCTTTGCTGCAAAGTCAGCAGCTAATTATGCAATCACTATGTGGGCCAGTCCCCAAAGCTCCCTCTGCCAATGGAGGGAAGTTTGGTCATGCCTGGAATCTGTCTGAGATTAGCAAACTCTGAAAATAAACTAAAGAGCAGTGATTCTGAAATAGAAAAGCCCCTTTATTGAAATAACCATTAACCAATTTTCCCACCTAGACTGGCTTCAGACATCTTTTTTCCAGACTTGTATAAATTGTTGCTTTTTTAGGAAACGGACTCTGGAAATGTGTCAGGTTTAAATGAGATCAGTTCATTAGGCTTCTTAGCTTTACCTTTAAAAAAGACTTAAAAGGTAAAATTCCTTTTACATGTTTATTTTTGCTCTAAAAATTGGCTTTATCTGACTTGGTGGGTTCAGTTTCCAGTGCTTCTGCAGCCGGCCTCAATCGGGCACCTGGGAAACTGCACTTTTTAGCATTTCCACATTTTTTCTCAGGACCAGAGGTTGATGCTTGGTTGTGCAGGAAAAAGTGATGGAACTGATGCTTTTTGATTGAAAAGTGATATTCTAAATAAAGTTTAGGTTTCCTCCAGACTTACTTAGAATAACCTAAAATACACGGTACAGCAGACCCACTCTCAGTGCTTGATAGCCTAGTTAGCTAGAGTGTTAGTATTCTGCCTGGTTTCCTTTCAAAGAGGCCGAGTTGGGCATATCCTGTGGGTATAACACTTACTAATGACAACTCTGCTTCAAATAAACCAAACTATCTCCATAACCCTTTTTAGATGTTTTTTTAAAGGAAAAGAAGAAAAAATCCCTGTGGCTCAGTGGTAGACTCTGTTGCCTCTCAACTGGAAGGCCAGGGGTTCAATCCAAGGTCCCACTGTCTACATGCTGAAATATGCTTTGGCAGGACACTAAACCCCCAAACTGACCCCTCTGGCTGCACCCAGCCGTGCATGAAAAGGGTTAGTTAAAGGGATATTCCTGTGTAAAATTAATTTAGGGTCAAACACACCACAACACCGGGTTAGACATCCCCTTGAGAGATGAATGTTGCCAACTGCTTGCTTCTCTAGTTATAACAACTTTAGTAACGACCACACAACAGCAATAAAACAGCGGTCCGAGGAGCCATAAACAAACCTCAACCAAAACGTCACTCTATAGCCACAAATTATGCTCAGAACAGCACCTAACTTCATCAACAGTACATATAGGGTCCCAGCCATAGTACTAGCCACCGAACATCTTTTTAACTTTGCCTAATTTCTTTAGCAAAGAGACTAAACACAACTGACCGACTCTCTTCCAGCGGCCGCTTTTTTTGTAGCGAGACCCCAGGCCAGTCCATTACAGACTACAGTGGGGTGACGCAGCTCAAGGAAGAACATTTATGATCATTACTTTATCATTTCCTTGAAGTAATAATCATCATATTAATCATTTTGCACTGCAGACGCGGTGGTTCTTCTGCCTTAAATGTTCTTCCTTGAGCTGCGTCACCCCGCTGTATTCTGTAATGGACTGGCCCAAGGTCTCGCTACAATCAAGCGGCGGCTGGAAGAGAGGGTGTCTAACTCAGTGTTATGGTGTGTTTGACCCTAAACTAATTTTACGCCGGAATATCCCTTTAACACTGATGGGTGCTTTACATGGTTCCCTGTCTACCACTCTGTTGTGAATGGTTGAATGTAGCAGAGGTTATTTTCCTATTGTTATATTTTTAATCAGATTGTATCACCAACAACATGTTTCTATCAACATGGCACAACAATATCATCATCATCATCTGAACATCAAACAACCAAGTGCTGAGTCTCTCTACAGTCTCTTAATGATGCAGTCAAACCTACAGAGGTTTTCAGAGGGAATTTCAAAAAATGAAGAGCAAGTATGACTGTGTCTTCAGTGTTTGAGAATACAAAGTCAAGTTTTCTGGGAATCTGGAAAAGATTGAACAAGTTTGACTAGTCTTGGATTACTTGAAAATGAGAATTATTTAACCAATTCAATCCAAGTTTGGTGAACATTGGACATTTCATGACCAAACATCAGTTCATTTCCCCAAAAAAGGATCTGAGGTAGTCACTTCATGTGCCTTCTTCCAAATTACAGCCATCGCACCTCATCATAGTGCATGTTATGCTGAACAAAGTCCAATTACAAGCCAACCCACTGAATCACACTGGTCTTCACAGTCAGCCTGTGGTTTAGCTCTCAAAGCATGAGTAATCCCTGTCTACCAGATGTCAACATCCCCAGGTAGGCATTAAACCACATGTTTTGTTGGTTACTGTACTTTGTAGGGATCAGCTTTCACTCACAAACCACACCATGGCTTTCTCCGGAGTGAAGAAGAAAGTTTTAACCCTCAGCTTGACTCAGAGGTTTATTTTTTAAATATTAATCACTATTACCTAACAGTATAAACCAAGAGGAATAAAATGCAGAAAATCTTCACCTTGTACCAGTTTTACAGACTTGTCAAGCATTAGACACCTATCTAAGTTGGAAGTGAAAACAATGCTGTTATCTAAACATGAACCTTGCATAACTGACATCTCTACATTGACCACATTTTTTTTTTGCAAAGGCAAAAAATTCATACATAATCTACAGTGAATCTGACTGCATGTATCTCAGGTGACAGGCATACACTGTCAGCCTGACAATTGCAGCTGACACCAGATAACCAACGGTTTCATATCAAGATGTTGAGGGAAAAATAGATTCTGCTCACATGATCATATGCAGCAATAATAAACACAGTAGTTAGATATTCATCTCACCTGACAGAGGATGCTGCGTATGTACTTGCCGCAGGTGAAGTAGCCTGAATTGTCGAAGTTTGCCATGATGTTGTAAAATCTTCTCGATATCTCTTCATCTTTCTCCAAGTCACAGCATCCAAACTTGCTATAGTCTTTACAGAACATCAGCGGTTGTCGGGGCCCAAATGGAGGCTTGTAGTCTAAACATTGAGGGTGACAGCACCCCTGCCAGGCCTGGAGGAACATCAGCAGGACAAAGGGAAGGAGGCGAGGGAAGTTATGTTGTAATTTGCAGGTCGCTGGGGTCATGATGTGAAGATGCTATCTTACAGTTCTGGATATGTTGCTCCTTATCCAATAGAGTAGAAACTCAAAGCAGCTTTAGAATCAAATCTGACTTTCGCTGAAAAGTTTTGGAGTGTTCGATGTCTTCATTTGTCTTCGTTTCCCGGACAACCATGTGTGTCAGACACAGTAACTCAGCATCACACCTGCATGCAAGTTGGCCGGAGACCTGAAGCGCTCACAGTTGCATCGGTTTATTTAGTCTGTACTTGCAACGCAAGTTAGGTGTTTTAGTGAAGTGAGAAAAGGCAAAATGATCCAGAACCAGCGAAATCTTCAAATGGTGGAGGGATCTGGAGTGCAGCCGTCAGTGTGGTGCATAATAGTCAGAACCAATGTCCCAAAGTCCTGTTGATGTGGAGAGGTTCAGGTGTTGTCACTCAGCATCAGTTTTACTCTCCAAGATCAAAAAAAAAATCCTGAAACAGGGAAGGTTTCCAATTCCTCCAGTTGCCAAAACTTAAGGTCCATCACTTTTATGAAGAGCTAATCCCTAGATGCTAATCCTCAAAAGAAAACCAGTTGTAGTGAAGTAGTAATCCAGTTTTCTTAGAAAGGCATGTTCAAAAAGCAACCGAGAAACTTAAGTTTCACCATGAGGCAAAGTTTCAGCAAAATATTTACTCTCAGCCCAGAGTCAGTCGCAGAGCCTTACCGTGTGTGCTCTGGACATGTGCTCACTTGCTGCAGCAGACACCAGCCATACATGCAGACCGCAGCAGTGAGTGGGAGAGAGAGGTTCTTTCATTCAGACATAGAGCCACGCTGCAGCCTCTGCTCAGATCCCTCCCTCCTCACTTCTTTCCTCCTACTCCTCTCCTCCTCCTTTTTTTTTCATTTGCTCTTTAGCTCTCCTACAAAGACACATGCATTCTTTCCCAAAGCATGCGGTCCATATTGCCCTGAAGTTGCAACTTTCCACCCCCCTCCCCTCGTCAGCATTCCCAGACCTCCTCTCCGTCTCTACTGCTTCCAGACAGACTCACTCTCTCTCTCTGTTGTGTGTGTGTGCCTGATGTTATGTATAAGTGTGGGTGTGAGGGTGTGTGTGTGGTCAGATGAATCAGGACGTGTGCTGGAAGTAGAGACCAATGGATTCCCCAGGCACAAATCCAAAACTTAGACTACAGAGCCGAACCTGCCAATATTTCTATAATTAAACTGCATCAAGGGTTGGACCCTGGATGTTTTTTATTTATGGTCTTATGATTACAATACTAATATTTTTGCCAATTTTTTCATTAAAAGTTAATTTCATTTTTTCAACACCAGATTAAATGACTTCTCCTTATTTTGAAGGAGAGACCCATTGTCACAAAACCCCAGGCACTTTTGAACTGAACTCTTTAGAGCATTTTCAGGGTCTTTAAATGCGTTCTTTTAATTTGATTATTGGGTTATTTTGAGAATGAATCTCTAAAATCCCCTGAGAAACAATGCAAACAGCAGACAAAAAAAAAGCCAAAGTCCCCTTGGGAGAAAAAAAATCAGAGCCAAAAAGAGTGAATGTAAAATTTATATTTTTTACAGGCAAATTGGCCACAAACTGAGAGCTGGTATCAATTTGATCACACGTCATTTCAAACTGATCTGATGCATTTCACTTCTGCCTGTTGTCACTTTGTCAAAAACCTTAGTTTCTGTCTCAGGCTTGTCATTAGAATTGTGAAATAATAACAATCAACAGGCACAAGTGTGTGTGTGTGTGTGTGTGTGTGTGTGTGTGTGTGTGTGTGTGTGTGTGTGTGTGTGTGTGTGTGTTAATGCAGTTTGTGCATGTGTGCTTACAGAGACCATCTGTGTCTCATTATTGCCCTGTAACTCCTCAAACCAGAGTGATTCCCATTTGGCTGCCTGTCTGTCAGACACTTTATCACTTTCCACACTCTGAGATAACAACAATCCAACCAGTCTGTCCTTGGATTAATTACATAGTAGACACTAAATCATGCTACTGAGCTTCAGGACAGTAAAAAAAAAACATTCGTATTGATGATGTTTACGATTCTAAGTTAACTTAGGGACCTCCTACCTCTCCTTCAGGTCACCTGTCTATTTAAGTTGATTTCCCTCACTAAATATAGTATGGTAGTGAGGTAATTACAGTAGTCACTGTTTTGATTAAGTCAGAAAATGTTGTTTTGTTGTCTGTTTTCATTGTACAAAATCTTTCTCTGGCTGTTTGCATGGATCAAAACAAAAGACAAAGAGTTACACGGCCATAAAAGATCCGATCTTCTGAGACATGAACAGACCTGCCATGCAACATCTAAAAACCTGACTCTGCAGACAGGGTTCAAACTCAGCTTGTAAAATGTGCAAATCATTTAAATGACTAAGTCAATGAGTCATTCTTGACTGGAAAAAACAAAGATACACACAGACATAAGTATGACAGTGCTATCTTGCTAACACCCCCACTGAGTCTCAGACTGTGTTTTATTATTCTTCACACAGTCAGTGAAAAACTGTAGCTTGAAATCTTTGGTCATTTTAGTTACAGTCAGATCAAACACACTTAGCTAAAGCTCCTTCTCAGTCAAAGCCTGAAATGTGTCATCAAGGTCAGCTATCTGATAGGCTCCCAGTCTTTGAATGGAAACATAAAGAAAGAAAAGAGCCAGCAGAGCAGAGCTTTAGAGTGTGTGAGTCAGCACAAAGCTGCAGATGACAGTAAATCTAAGGAGTTAGCTAAAGTACTTACTTAATGGTTTGAGCTTGACTCCAGGCTTGTAAACATCATGAAACCTCCCAGTTTAATGGGTTAGTATGTTGTGGCCAGTCATATGCCTTATCTCCTTAGGTAACAGCAGCACCAGTTTGGTAAATAATTTCATGCATTCACTGGATTCCTAAATCAGAACGTGAGTAAGAATTGCTAACAAATTTTAATTAACATCCTCCAAATGTGTTTAAATGCAGAATAAAGAAAGCTGTGTTGGGTTTGCTTCTAGCCTGTGGCTCCTTTCAGACATGTCACTCCCTGCTCTCTCTCCTCCTGTTTCCTTCTCTGTCCAATGTCCTGTCTTCTCCAAACTAAGGGAAAAAGCCAAAATAATAAGCCTTAAAAAGTGATTAATCGCAAATATCGAAAGTTGATCAATAAATCACGGTTTCGAAAATTGTTTCTCTCTCTGTTGTATGCTACAGCACTGGTAAATTTGGATGTGAGTTTAAAGGGATATTTTAGTTGTTTTTTTGTTTTTTTTTTTGGTGCATTTTGCAACAAGGTTCAAGACTTAATTTATCCTTTTGACTTGATTCCTCTCATACTTAAACCACTAATTTTTAATGATTAACTAGTAAGGTATTCAAATTTAAACATTCAACTTCAGCTTGACTGTTCAAACTGTGTATGACAACCATGTCTTGTCTAATTCAGCAGATCTGACACTTTTTGGCTACACTTTGAGGATTTAGATGCAACAAAATCAGTTTTTACCTCCAAAACTGACTAAAAAAAATACACAGTGTTCCTCAGAAGTGACAGAGTGACTATTACAAGAACAGTAACCTGCTGAGGTGAAAATAAAGTACAATTTTGCCAAGAACAACTTTGATTACGAGGGCCAAGATCACGTCATCATCCCTCTGCCCTTTTCACACCATATATAGATATCGTTGAGCCTGACTGGTGCAGCTACCTCAGAAAATAAAGTGTGTTTCTGAGTGTGTGTGTGTGTGTGAAAGAAAAGAATGATTTCTTATTTGGCACTGGTCAAAACAGGATGTCTATCTTCAAAATATCCCTCTGTTTCCCAATTTAATGTTTAATAGTGCATTAAAAATGTCTTCATGTGAACATCCTATCATAAATAAATACACTTTAAAAAAAGGGTTTCCGTGTGCAGAACACAACAAAATAACAAAATAGATGGGGAATAGGCAAGGAGAAATGAACTGCTCCTGAGAAGGAGTAAAGCCATAACCTTTGTCTCCCTTCAAAAAGCTTTAATTCCACTTTCTATCTAACTGCTTTTCTTTTGGCTCCAGAGTATACATTCAGCTGGAAGATTGCTCACTGCTGTTGTCCAAAAATGTGTCAGACAGAGCTTGAAATTTTATCTCTGTCCTGGCTCTGACGATTGGCTTCTGGGTAACATCTTCTTTATCTTGCAGATTAGTCTGTTGGGTCAGACAGTCCTCGGTCAGAAAGTGGATATGCATGTTTTTAATCAATTCCTGTTTTTGAACCTTGAATGTTGCCCAACATGATTATTTACTGTATCATAAAGAACTGTCTTCAGTCAGAGTTGTTGTTTGTAGTCATTGTGGAGACTGGAATAATGTCCTCAGAGATAGGATATCTATTTCATGATGAGTTTGGTTAAAGTGACCATTTGACCACCTCGCTTCAATATTTCAAATGTTATCAATTATAATCTAATAGTTTAATGACCAATGTGACAAAAATACTGGAGAGTTTTCTTAACATGAATTCAATTATGTCATGTTCTGATTCAAAAGCATACTTTCATGTTCAGTCATATTTAGGCCAATAAGCAAAAACTCTGTCTTTTAATAAAATGTTCCTACTCTCTTGTTGTTTTCCTGCAGTGTTTACCCGACCAACTGATCATGACGGAAAAACACTGAATATGAAAGTGAAGAGGATGTGTGAGCCGACTGGTTTCTGGCAAATATTAAAGGTTGCACCAGTTTTGAACTCTTTCTTAAGGAGTCAGGGGTTCCCGAAGTTTTTCTGCAGAGCCAATAAATGAAATTATTTTTTAGCCCTACTTTCCCACACTATAAACATCACACATAAACCCACATTTTTGTCCATACACACTCAAAAAAGACTGTTATTTGCTATCATAATCCTGTGTCTGAAGATTGACTGCAAAAATGAAGAATTTGTAGTTTTGGTTTGTGACCAAAAAACTAAACAATCAATGTGCCACTTTCACAGGTAGCTGTTCAAGGAGAGAAATAAAAATGACATAACAACATTAAAATGAAATTTTGTGGAGGTTAAGGAACTGGCGAGGTATGCCTAGTCCTTTATTTTAGTAGTTGTGACATTTGGTGTAGGCTCACTGTTGACCCTACATTTACCAGGCAGTCCTTTGACAAAATTAACCGTGCTTTGTTCAGCCAATGGCTTGCTAGTTCACATTCAAAAGTCCTCCCTGTGCAATAACCTTGCTTATGTCATCTATGGTGGCTTACCCAGGCAGCTTGAGGGTAGGAATAAAAGTTTAAAATAAAAAAAGGCACCTGCTCAATGTTATGGGAACCATTTCACGGAATATTGTGATTTATGAAGATCTGCATGCAGTATTTTGAGATCTTTTCAGAGGCTTTTCAGTTTACTGTCTGTTCTGTCTGCAAGGAGTTGGGAGAAATATGTGGTCTAAGGTTTCATGATAAAATTGAGTTGTTTTGTTCGAGGGAGATTCACACCACTAACAATGAGCTTAAATTAACAAAAGGTAAAGTTTTGTTCATATAAAGGGCAAAATAAAGGCCGCTTCATTTACTTCTTTTCATCTACTTCTTTTTACAGTAGAGTGATTGAAAGGGCACCAACGATGGCTGGTCGAGCTGCAGGAGCATCAGTGAAGGTACTGCAGCTTTAGAAATGAAGACTTCAGGAGGGGCTGTTGTTCCTTTGCCCCTAACTCCCCTTAATACATCACTATCTCTGCCTTTCCAATGTTCTCTATAGTCTTTAATCCTTAGCCACTGATTTTAAATCAAAATAAATCTGACTGGAGTGAACTTTTTTGTGTTATGATACAGTTCATCAGTCAGTAAAAGTGATTAAAACCATCAGTCCATCTCTTAAAGATAATAGTTTAAGTGTGAAGGCTCCATCCAAAGTTCTGTGTTGCTTTCAGGAGAGCCAGATAAAAGGCATTTTTATGATGCACATGTGGAGCTCACACCATACTTACTTGGAAATCATGCACTTAGTGATGGTAGGAACATCTTAATGTTCTCTGAAAGTTCTCAGAAACTGTTCTTACAACTCCATGGTCCTGTTATCCATTTAATCTTTTTCTGTGAAATACTATCCTGCTGTTAAAATCTATATTCGGGATCTAAACTGTATGGAGTTGGAGTAACCCACAGAAATAAATGTTATTTATTAGGAGAACAGCAAAGTAAAGTTTGTGAAGAATAGAGTCACATCTTGACCTGACTTGATGGTGGATAAGTATATAAGTCTCTAAATTTCTGTCTGCTCCTCATTTTGAAGTTGCTGACCTCTGCCCTGTCAGGGATCGTAAAAGACTAAACTGACTGAAACAAATGAACTGTCTCGATCATGATGATATATCAGAGTGATAATGATTAATACCATAAGTCTTTCTCCTGGAGTTATTGGAACAGGGGAAACAGTTGATGGCTTCATTAAAATCCTCTTAAAGAGAGCCAACAGTCCATTAAGATGATCCACATGTTAAGGTCACATTATTCCCCCTGTGGAATTGTCTTCTTAATGTCATTTTTTACCCTCTGTGCTGTCTGTCTGTTCCTTTGGTAATATGAATATTTTCCTGTTAATAGTTTAATATATTGAAATCGTTTCAGAGACTATGGCAAGACCGGAGCTGCAGTGATTTTTTTTTTTTGTATTAAGTAGGAAAACCTTCAGTATTTATCATCTTAAACACTGATTCTTTAACCTTTCGCCCCTCACTGCCAGTCCAGTTTCCTATCTAAAATAATAAATGGCTGAACTTGACTGAACTTCCTCCATGTCAGGGGTCAGTCTATCAGAGAAAATAATAATGAATCCCATCAGTCATTTCATAAAGTTATGAGACTGGAGAGACATGTTATGGCTCCATTAAATTATATCTTTAAGACTTTTTAGAAGAGCCACCAGTTCATTGGGATTTAAAAAAAAGAGCTTTTATGATCCATATGTGAAGCTTACATTATTCAAACTGCAGAAATCTTCAGGTAAATTTTCATGTGACTCACCTGAAAATATGCATCTGGTTTCATAGCTAAAAATATCACATGTTGTGTTTAGAGGCAAAGCCACAGTTCTCAATCATTTGAAGTCATACAACCATTAACCATGAGTTTAAACATAAGCATGACAAACATCTATATCACATTCTCAAACACTTTAATACATTACAGAGGAGCCTTTAATTCTTAGTACAAAGATTTGTGGCAATTCTGGAAAATTACAATGGGTGAAAATCTTGCAATAAAACTCTGAGAGATAGAGGAGAAACATATCATGGGACTGTGGACTGAAACCTGACATCAAAACCTCTCTCATATATTACAAAAAAGCGTTATTTGTAACTTTTGTTCATTATTACATGTAAAAATTGAATGAATTATAAGGAAGAAAGTCAAAAAAGGAAAAAATTAGTTCGACTTTATGCGTGCCAAGTGATGGTTCATGCTTTATACATTTTCCACCTGCTAACCACAGTGCTGAGAATGTTTACACCAATGCTGTCTCTGTATAGTCCTCGCAAAGCGCTCTGTTTAAACCATCTGTATAATAAAACACAGACACAATGTGACATCTTTTACTCTTTTGAAGATTTTGGCCAAAACCAAGTCTAACTTACACCAACTGTAAAAATATTGACCTATCTGTTGAGTATCTCAACATTTGGAGTTAATTTAGAGCTAATTCACGGCCATACTGTTATGTTTTCTTGTTGGAACCATGTCATGTTTAAATGACTCATTATTAAAACAAAATCCTCTTTCTGGTCCTGCAAGAAATTTTCAATTAGATAAAGATGTTGAATCAGACTGCTTATAATCTTCTTCAGACAGTGAGACACGTTTGCAGATGTGCCAAAAATTCAATTTCAAAACAGATTTGACTCTAAATATTCAAATCTTTCATGGCTTTGATTACATGTTTGACTTGAAAGCAGTATATTACTCTGGAGCCTAATGTACAGAGCAAAAAAGGAATCTTCAGCGTGGTGATGTCCTGCCACATGATGCAAGGTTGACTGTTGTCTCATTCATTAAAGATACTCAAAATGTCCCACAGAGTCACTCCTCCTGGTTTAGATCCACCTGTGCAGGCAACACTGTCATGTGTCCACTTGTATCTTTATGCACAATTGTTTCCTGAAAATTGGTGAGACTGCAGAGTGTCCCAAAATGTAGTCTTTCTTCTTTTTGTGTAGCAGATGAGCAAAGTTTGTCAGTTTCTGGAAACTGTTGTCTCCTTTTTGTCTTCTGAAAAGCAAAGATGGGAGTCACTGCAAAGTAGACAACATGCCCTAAAAGTGTTAGACTACAGGAGCATTTCATTTGCATTAAAAGTTCAAAAAATGTAAAAGCACAGGAGTTATAGGATCAAATTTTTACCATTCATTTTTCTGGTGCAAAAAAAATGCAATTTTTTAGCTGTTTTTATTGTTAGGTAAGAACTGTCAGGGAACTTTGACATTATTTCATATTACAGGGGAGAAAATGAATAATAAAAATCTTTTCTAGGCTTTTCTTATCTTCTGCAACCATGTCTGAACTCAAGCAACCCCATCTTGTGTTTTGACCCAAACTTGACTTTAGACCATTACAGTAGCACCCAATAAAGCAGGGGATAAAAAAGATGAAAAAAGGTAGATAAGCGAAGATGACAGATTGCTTGAGTCAGAGCTCTGTTGAAGACAGTGTGTCTGTGTGTGTGTTTGTGCGTGCATGTGCAGAAAGTGGGGGTTTCACAATGTGGACTTCACGGTCTGGTGCCTCACATGCATGAAAGGAGGATTGCAGTTGATGAGGAAGGGATGAAGGAAAGGGAACAATATGACATAACAAGAAAGCCACAGAAAACGTTATGTTTTTAAATAATACACTAACTTCAGTATTAGATAACAGGTTCAACCTCACAGTGGGATCCAGGTTGAAGCTGTGGGATGCTTTCAGGGTTAGACCGCTGCTGAGTTTGTACAATTATGTTTGTTATACTGCCATCTTGGGTTCAAGTCCTGCAAGATGTCTTATCGAATTTATGCCTGGAAACCTTCATTTGCTCTTTGTTTGATATGACACCACAATGTTGACTTAAAAAGGTGTTAGAAGAAGATTGTTTGACTGTATATAAAAGAATATCTAATACCTAATATAAAAGAATACCTCAGTTATTACCAATTTATACATACTGCTTTTGTACAATCCTTTGCGACAACTTCATATGCATGAATCAGGGCCTGAAAAAGCTGCACCCTACTCACACACAAAGTTTTCTGTGACCCCATTTTCCCAAACTTAAAGGGGCAGCGAAAAAACAGTCCGGTGGCATGGTAAATAACAGATGGTGGGTAGTTGTTGATGTATAAGATGAAAATTGAACAGATGTGTCGCTACCTGATCCGTCCCAGAAACCCGATTTGTACTGCGCATGTGCGAAATGTATGTCACTCCCTCTACTAGCCATACTAGCCATCTTTGTGACAGCTCAGCGATTCTTTGCCCCTCGCGGTTTGCGACAGCTTCAGCATCAGCGAGCTCGCTTCAGTCAGAATGGATGCTTCAGTTTACAATAGCCACATGCTTTTCTTTCTCCTGAATGGAGTGCTTCCCCCGACTGAAGCAGAGCGCATGAAAGTCAAGAGAATGGCGCCCGGTTTCATAATTAAAGGTTCCTTCTCCAGCTAAATTGTAAAATTGCAACATTTCATTGTTGAAATTTTACGCTGTAAAAAAAAGCTGCAATTCATTGTCCATAATGTGTAGGCCTCCGGTTAATACATTTAATTGATAAAATATTTGAAATAAACCCCCCTTTGATACTGTGAAAAGTCAGAGAACCATGAATTTGACCGGGAGGCGGCGCTCTCTGTGGCCCAAGAGGTCTCACTGTGCTGGGCAGGAGCTCTGGCGAATGCCTCGGCATTAGCTTTGGAGCATCCTTCTAGCCAGCCTGTCACATCACTAGCTTGTTTCTGAATCGATCAGTAGTTTAAATAAACTTTTTAAGGTGAAGTAAATTTGCACTAGCGCAGTACGGATCAGGTAGGTAGCGACTCACTGCCATAAAACACATTGAAATGCCAAGAGAGGAAGTGATGTATGTTTCACACATTCGCAGTACAAATCAGGTTTCCGGGACGGATCAGGTAGCGACAGCATGTGTCGTCCATTGTTTTATAAATGCAAATTTTTGCTCTTGGCATGAGTGATTGCAGGATATTGTGCAGACACTGACAGTGTAGTTTCTTGACTAATAGCTAAAATCAAACTGCTACTCCTCACCTTATGCTTCTGTGTATAAGTTGCTGGTGTTTCTGGATCGGTATCAGGCATGTGATCTCAACAGCATAGTAGTGATGCAGTCCTTTGCTCCCATGTGACCTATATCAGGCAGTATCATACCGGGAGACTAGCTGCCTGGTCAGAGCATGCTGTAGATTGAGTTATCAAAGATGACAGAAGCTCATGTTGTGACATGTCCTCTCTTTTGCAGAGTCCAGTGAGTAAACTCAAAGTATTGGGTCATCCTCTTCTAACACAGTGATTTTAAGGTGGGTCCATACTTCCACAGAGCTGGCTGCTGTTTCAGGACAGTGAGAGGACGGTTGAGGTTAACTTAGGTTGAGGGTAAACATCAGACTACTGAACCTCATCTGACCAAACAAAGACCACAAACAAACAAAAAAAAGCCTAGAGCAGTACTTTGGTTGCACTTTTTCTAAGAATGTAGGACTACTTGTTTGTACTCAGAGTCCAATATGTCCTGCTTTTTTTTCCTCTTGATGGGATTTTTTTTTTTTTTTTAGGACACCCTCAAGCTGAATCACTTAACTGCCTCAATGAATTTGATCAGAGAAATCTGAAATTGTTTATGTAAGAAACACACTGCAGCTTTTCAAGTAAGTGTTTAGTCTCTGCGGCTATTTTGTCCATTTTGTGTTTCAAACTCCAAATAGAGCCATGCAGCGAGTTTGTTGGTTTTTTGGAATCTTACTGTGGCAGATAAGAACCTGCAAATTTGTTTTATCACATAGTTTCATCCTCCAAACTTAATCTTGATCATTTATTCTGACAGGGTGCCTCTTTCCTCTCAATTTCCTTTCTTCCCTTGTACCTATCCCCTTTCATTTCCTCAATCAATTATTGACAGAGATTAAATTGAGCATATCCGTCCTTAACATACTCCCCTCCTTTGCACATCTTCCTTTTGCCCGCAATATTACAAATTGTCTCTCTTATCCCTGCTGAGTTTTTCTCTATCCAGTCTACATCTTTGTCTCTGGCAGCTGAAGTTTGCTCAATTCTGTCTGTAAAATCGGTTTCTAATAAAGTCACCCACAGAGATATGATCGTCTCTGACTGCTCTAAAAGCCGCCCGGGGCACATTCCCCTCTGGGATGTCGAGCACGAGAAGGAAAAAAAAAAAAGAAAAAAAAAAAGGGAAGTAAGCTCGGGAGGCACATTACAGCTCATTACTTCGCTTGGCAATGACAGGGCGAGGGGCGGCTCATACGGGCTGGAGCTCAGCTGGGTGAAAGTGAGATTCATGTGCGAATGCGAACACATGCATATAAACACATACGTATGCAGAGGAAAACCCTGGCTGCAGGATCCGGTCTGACTAGACTGGATGAATGCAAGTAATCTGAGACAATATCTCCTGATCATATTAGAACAAATAAAAGTGTCTCTCTGGTTTGACCCAACTAGATGACCAGCTGGAGGCATAAAGAAACCTTACCTTATTCTACCTGAAAAAGCACGGGCTTACTCTGATCCTTGTTCTAGTTTTATTTTCTTTCTTCTACTTCTTGACCTCTCTGGCCCGGCTGACCCTCATCTTTCTAATTTTGTGTCTCCATGTCTCTGTGCTATTCCTATACCAACCCTTGCTTTACAAGGTTTCGTCTCCTCGCTAACAACCCTACAGTGATCTGAAGCGAGCTGGAAGCGAATGAAACTAACCTTTTTAATGATGTGTTTATCTTTATAATCGGGGGAAAGTAACCCTGACAGAAAGAGAAGCCCCTGCCTGACCTTCCTTTCTTGTCAAATTTTCACAAATCACCGCTCAGTCACAGCTGAGCCCTGCTCGGTTATGGATGAGTTTGTTTCCTCTGGGCTTTTTTAGGGTGATACAGTTTCCTCAAATGTAAAACCATTCATGTCAGATGAAGGGAGTTTATAATTCAACTTTTAGTGTTGATGTTTGGAAAACCTGGGAAGAAATAAGTTGGAATATAAAGGGGACTCAATTATTAAAAGCACTGACTGACCATTTTCTGTCCTCACAAAGCAGATCTCAACTTGTTTCTCTACAGGGGGGGATTTCATCTTAAAGGTGGGGTAGGCAGGAATCTGTTAAAGAAGCATCTTTTTCGTGGTGTTTATACAAAATAGCTTTTAATATCAGTCAATAGCTATTAGTCATTGTTGACATTTGGTAATATAACAATATCGCTGTGTTTTGTTATGTCTGTGTAGTCAACATTTTACATTTTTTGAGCACCACGCTCTTTCTGACTGTAAACAAAGCCATTCTCCGCCTCCCCCAACCTGATTGGTTGTGAGGCAGATGCTGCTCCCCCGTGTCATTCAGGAGCCCAAACAAAGTTAGCGTGCTACAATATTGGACAGTAGAAACCAACCAGAAAGTATGGAAAATTGTCTGAATCCTCCTTTAGCCACGACTGCCAACACAAGCAAGAAAATGAAATAAATACTGGAGACTCTGGCGCCTAAAAAGGAGGCAGACTGGATAAGAGTTAAGAAGCCGGGTCAACATCAGCATAAAGGATGGGTTTGCTTCGGGATCTTACAGACCCTGTAACCTTTCTGCTGGACAGGTAAACCGCTTTAACCAAGTAAGCCAAGAGTCTGTCACAGAAGTGTTTCTTGTCAAACGGGACCTGCTGCGTGTTGTAACGCCACTAAACTGTTTACCTCAGGTCCTGGACTATGTCACTTTATCCTGGTTGTAGAAGTCCCGCAAACAATGTGTTTGTTCGTAGTCTGTTGGCATCTACAGTAGCACCAATGCTTTTTACTTTCACGTTGACTGGGCCCCGTTTGTAATTATCTGAAGTATTTATCTGCATTATATCTGAATTTAATTAGAACGATACGAGCGAGCAGGAGCGTCTGTTTGTGGGCGGGGCTTGCTGGAGCAGAGACGGAGGGGAGAGGAGGGGAAGTATTTACATTCAAGATTTCTCCCCAAAAACTGGTACTTCCTCAGATCCTGCCTACCCCACCTTTATCAATACTACAAAAGATTAGTGTTGTTTCTCTTTGGCTTCCATGTCTTGCAGCTGTATCCTTTTCTGGAAAGAGGTGCTTACCTCTTGCTATAGCTGTAGTCGTACTGTATCAACCAAGTTTGGTATTGTTAGCTTTAGATAAGTCCAACTCATGAAGCTAGCTCTTAGCTGAAATAAAAAGGGGCTTTTTGTTCCAGTCTGTTTGAGATCAGGGACACATTTGTGGGCATTTTCACTCCATTTGAGTCCTTTTTAAATCTGCATCAGCAATTTAGGACCCAGTTTGCACTTTGCAAGCTAACAACCATCATCTAATGTAAGAGGAACGGGATAGATGTCAATTTGTAACAATGGCTTAAAATGTTAAATAGAATTAAAGCAATTATTTTATTGTTGAAAAGATGGGTACAGACAGAGCAGGTTAAAATTCAGCACTTTGATCAAACATCATCAGGATGTCACAAGATGATGTTGAACCTTTGACCTCTGTTCCCACATGAGTACACTCTGTTAATCCTTCACAGTGCTGGATCACTTTCTGTCTCCTGATCCCACTAAGAGATCTAGCTATGATCATGTCTAATCCTTGTAGTTCTGAAGCCGACCTCCACTGAGATAATAGTGTAACCATGACTGAAAGGGTTTACGTAACACCAGCCTGCCTTGCATAACCAGCTGACCATTGGCAAGCATGCTAGGCCATTATTTTAAGGCCAGTGCTTTCTGATTTTCTTTTTTTACCTGGATGCAGGATGAATAATTTTACCCCCCACCCCCGAGGTCAGTGCTCATTAAGATAATGTTAATGTGGCATTCACATGTGGGGGCTGGAATAAAAGTCACCTGGTTCATGCAGCAGCTCTTTAAAACAGTCATCTGAATGTAGTTTTTTCTTGTCTTTTAAAATCCAAAACATCAAATAGTAAAAGTATTTGAAGAATTAGACATTTTTACGGTTTTGCATGTGGCTTGTTGCAGGAACTATATTTCAAATGTTCTTTTCATGCCACAGAAGCTATCAATAAACAATAGCGGGCCCATGATTTTCCTGACAGTTATGTTGATATAAATGATGTGGTTTGAGATTGCTGTTGGCTGAATTGAAGAGAAGAAAATATATGTATGGTATCGTACGTTTGTGGACCTGTTTGGTCAGTATGAGGTTTTCCATTCTAGTTCCTTTTATGCCTCTATTTTGTGCTTGGACATAGTGTTGTGGATTTGTTGCTTGATAGGATTGAACAGAAAAGTAAAACATTATTCTATTTGTATGAAGACATCTTTTCAATAGGATCAAATCTTTCAATAAATAAATAGATAAATAAACTGAGTTTTCCCCCCTAAATTTCCCCAATTTGATTTCTTATGCTGGTAGAAAAAGTTAAGTTTTTCAATAATTAAACCACATAAATTTCCTTTTAAAACTTAACATACTGATCATGCTTCAAAGTCCATGGTAACAAATCTTAAAGTCAGGCTATTTCCCATAGTCTCTGAAGAAAAATATATTCTTGTTATGTACATGATCTTCCATTATCCTCCAGCAGCAGCAGCAGCATCTTCGCTCCTCTTCTCCATCTCATCAGAAGGCGCAGGCACAAACCACAGCCACCACCACTATGTTTCCAATGGTTGCCAGCACTGCGATCCACAGCCAAATGGTGTCGCTGGAAACTTTCCCATCATCCTCTGCTTCTGAGGGTCGAGAGTAGCCAGCGTTGAGGTTCGAGGTGGACGTCTGCAGGGACGTGTTGCCATTGTACGGAGAATCCATGAAGGCCCCACTCACAGCTGGGAAATGCTGCCGGAAGGGGTAAGACAAGGTTTAGACTGCAGCAAGTAAAAAAACACAAATAGAAAATACACCAGTGTTAAAAACAGTGACATGAAGGTCCGTGTATTATCTGTCCGTTCAATTATTCCATTCAATCAAGTAAACAAAAAACAAAAAAACTAGTCAATATTTTGTTTATTTGTTTTTCTATATAACCAAAACATAAGAGATTAGTGTTTGTTTTTGTATTTTCAGTTCAAAACAGAGTATATAATAGAGATGGAAACGAAAACAAAATACTAAATCTACTTTTCGTTTTCGGCTTATTGATGTCCCCATTTCCCACGGTGTCTTTCTACTGTTCGCACATGAGCATCACACGACAAAGTAGCCAACAAGGTGACCAGAAACTCGCAGCCAGAGCGGTAGAGAAAGGCTAACCTGCTGTCATGGAGATGGACGCCTCCTACGTATTATTCAAAGTCGCCAAGAGGGTCACACTGAAGGAGGAAGATATGACTGTAGAAAACCAGAGCTCTGTTACAACGTAAGATTTTGGCGCTCGAACCGCTCCGTCGCATCTATCGCCATGGTAACTATTGCTAAGGATCAGGGGAAGGTCAATGTAGCCTCCATGCACGTATGCTCGAATGAGCGCACTCAAAATCAATAATTGTAAATTAGATTTATTATTTTGTTTTTGTTTCCTTCTCTATATGTTCTGTTTGAGCTGAAAATACGAAAACAAACACACATTTTTGATTTTTTGGTTATACAGAAAAACTAAAAAAAGAATATTGACTCATTTTTCATTTTTCGTTTACTAGATTGAATGGAATAATTGAATGGATGGATAGTGCATGGACCCATGAAGTACTCAGCAGTGTATTATTACTGTGGTATATTTACTATTTTAGTGGGTGTTAATTCTACCATTTTCACATGAATTGAACACTGACAGCAATGTAGCAGAGCTAAAAAAGACAAACTTAATAAATGCATAAACAAATCAGTATTTTTGAATAATGGTCAGCATCAATTTTTTACTGTCATTTTAATTTCAGTGACTCAGTTTGGAACGAGCCATTTTGTGCAGAGAATGACACGAAAAAACATTCGATAAAGATTATTAATCAGATTTGTATCAGCAGTGCTCATCGAGCTCTGATTTCTCCCCCTTGCTGAGGGCACTTGCTCTTTAATTTTTGCTATTTTAGTCACAAATGGCTAAAAATGTGATTCACTCAGCCCTAAGTGAACCTCATGATGACTAGGACAGCATGGCTGAACAATAAAACGTTCTGTTCAGGAGGTTAACCTCACAGCTGTGCCTGGTCTCAGGACAGTCGTATAGTACAGTGAAGAGGGGTCGGCGTCTCAGAGGTGTTAACTCTCAGAGGGATTCATGCCTTTGAGATTCACCGGTTCACATATACTGAAAAGAAGCATACATACGTACACCAACACACACATAAGGAACCCCATTGGTTGTGTCAGCTGGACGTGTTTTGTCCCTGGAGGGCTTCCATAACACTCAGTCAACAGAAGAAAACATACACCATCAATATTTACAGAGCTGTCTTTGATATCTAACAACTTTAAATGTCAATCCAGAAAGGAACAGGCCTCCTCACACGTACATGCACTCACACTGTCTGGCCTCTTCGCATTCTTACCATTAACACAGGCACAGACACACAACCTATACATTATTTAGTTTTTGTGTTTCTTCCAGCCCTTTATTCTGGATGTGACACCTGTGTTACAGACACACAGACGGGTTCAGATGGTAACTCAGGTGTGAGTACTTAACTGTGATTTTTCACACAGGCTCACATCACTACACGGTCATGTTGATGACAGAGGAAGCACAAAGGCCTGTTCGTTCTTTGACGTGCTGAGTACAGAGCGAACGGTTTGATGGAAACAGACAGCTCAGTGGCCATTAATAATTCCAGCTGTGACTCTGACAGCAGAAAGGTTCAAGTGAGTTTGACCCTTTAACTTGCGGGTGTTTAAGCATGGAAACGCACTGATCTGTGGTCTCTGAACGGCATGACCTCCACACTGACTGCTGAAATAAAAGAGGTTTGATCCGAAATTTCACAGAACAGAAGTGCAGAAACAGACAGAGCCATCATGTGATATTAAAAGCGGATTTTATTGACTTGTAGAGGCAGAGAGGGCCCCAACCATCACTGATAGGAACAAATGAGGCAAGATCCTGTCCTGCAATCCAGGCGATGGCAGCAGAGCTTGTTAATGAATGTCTTTGGTTGCTCTTAAAAAAACAACAAGAACTCAAAGTGTAAGCAGCGCTGATAACAGATAGGGTTAGATATTGGCATTTGTCTAATTTTTGTTTTAAAGGTATGTAAAATCCAAAGCCCTGAGAGGAACAGAAGCTGAATGAGAACAGTATTCCTGCAAAGGTCTGGTTCACCTACTCTACTATTCATTTTGCTGTTAAGATGATTTTGAATTATAACAAACTATAGACTCTAATATAGAATGGACGCTGTCTGCCTCCTCACTGGGTGAAGCCACTCCGAAAACAGCACCCTCTGTTGACGGGCTGCAGTATAGGTCATAAATCCCACCTCTGCCAGCAAAGCTTATGGAGCTGTGGACAAACTTTAGAAATTTATTACACAGAATATACATTTTTTTCTCCCCCCTGTTTGCGATGTTGACATGTAGTTACTGTAAGACTGGTTTGTGCTCAAGTCCTCTTTTTTCTGTGAAGCTCCGTTATTAAAAGTTATTAGGGGGTTCATGTTTTCTTTGATTGACACTTGATACAGCCTATGGCCGTACGAAGATTGCATAGCTCGGCCGGGGGATACGCTATTTGAGCCAAGCGTCGTCACGGCGGCTCTCGGCGACTCTCCCGCGGAATGTGTGCAATGCTACTGCGCAATATTGGTTTCAGGAAGTGGAGAAAAAACGAAATACAGAGAGCTTTTCGGCTTCAAATCCTTATACTGGCGGAAGGCGGAACCAAGATGTCCATAGTTTATACAGTCTATGTAACAAACATGTCAGATAACTCTCAACATGGCTGTGAACTGAAATGTAAAAGTAAGTTTTAACTACCAACAAAAGCAGACTATAAAAAGATCTATTGTCATCGAGGCACTGACTTGATCCTGAAATAGCGCTTTGTGTCGACTTGTTTATGTTTACGACGCCCATCAGATGAAACCCCCAGTTTATATCCTTTTCTCCTGGCAGGAGAAGGTGTCGACTTATGTGATTGCAGCAGTGGTTCAGCCATCTGGGATTTTACAAGGATGTTTTTTTTACACCAATGTGTTTCAGGGCTGAGGTTAAGTCAGACCCAAAGTGCTCCTTCTCTTGAGTCCTCATCCAACAAGTCTGTGTCCCGAATTACAGATGTGACTTCAGGGTAAATTGTTGCAGAGGAAACACTTTATACGGAGGGGAGTAAAAAGAAGAGCATTTTCACTTTTGTTGTCAGTGGATGTTACAAGAGAAAGCCATTATGACACATCTAGTGCTAAAGCTTAGTTAGCTTAAAAGGGTGGTGGAGTTATTTAACCTAAAAAAAACAAATTAAAAAAACTTTCCAACGGATCACAGAGGAGAAGCTTTGCCTCAGTTCGTAGTTAAGTTTGAGAAGACATTTTGATGACGGGTGAGCAGGGACATGACATGAAGGTATCTGACACCACTGGTCTGAGTGGGGGTCATAGGTCGCTGGCACATGGTTTAAATATACTCATAGATTGGCAGTTTTCTTTTCTTGTTTTATTATTCAATCAATGAGGCTTTTGTTTAGGTTTTCTGCATTTAGAGATCGCAGTCTTGAGGTATGGATTTAAAGGAATATGAGGCCAGTACAAAACCAAATGTCCATGCCTGTGTAGATCAAAAAGCAAACATTATATAAATCCCACAAATCCCCTTAAGGTAGTTGTACATATGCAAAGTGATATCTTTTTTTCCTACAACATATACTGCCATTATTTGAGTTTGTGTGTGGTTGTCTTACTGTGCATTCATTTCTGTTGAAAGTTGAAAAAAAGTCTAAAATGTTCCAACAGTTAATATATGGCAGCATAATTTATGAGAAAACAGTAAGAGCTTAAGAGCTTTGGGATCAGCTACTCATTATGTATATTTAATTAAAACTGCCTCCCAGGATTTCTCATGAGCAAAGAACAGGCACAGGAATAAATTTGGATGTTTCCATGGGGATTTAAAAAATAATGTAATACAAAGTACTTCAATATGCAACTGGCTAAAATAATTCCCACACAAAGCCAAAATTTTTTTAAAATAGACTGCAGTTTACTCACCTTCTCATTATAAAAAAAAGTCTGTGTCTCAGAGCTGTGTCTGGTTTTAAGAGTACAATAGCGCAAAGGTCAAGAACAAAAACAGCTCCAAGCACAAGCATGTGCAGGTGTTATTACACCTGCTGCTTGCTGTTTGGAGTCAGACTGCTAGTGTTTGTTGTGTTTCTGCATATTCAGAAAGATGTGATAATTAATTTACACTCTCCAACTTAACTTTTAGAGAAATCTTAACGCTGAAGTGAAAACTGGACTGCTGCATATGTATAGATGACACACGGGTTGCACTACACTCTACATAAAAACAGATATGTGGTTATTTAGTAGATTTTATCATCAAATAAAAAGGACATCAAACTTATTCTCTTATTTTAAGTATGACATCTGTCTTTAATTTGAATATGCATTAGTTATGAAATTGCATTGCTTAGGCCTTGACACTTTGGTGTGCGTACAGCCTGCTGTCTGCTTGGATTTAAATGGAGCAGAGAAACAGAGACAGAGAGAGAGAGAACAGCCCTTGTTTGTTTAAGCATTTAGGATTCACCCATTAAATAAGAATCACTACGAGACAAGAGGTCAATCATCATGACCTCCGCTGTTAACTGTAATCTGTGTGAGAAGACATCACCGTGTAATCCTGCAAGTTCATCTGTGGTTCTCGTAGTTCTCTCAAAGTGAAAACACCAACGGTCCTGCATGGCGTTAATGTTTCGTAAGGGTTCATCTGTACTCATTGTATCAAACCAGCTGCTAGAAATTAATGAGAGCAGATCCTTTGAGAGATTCAATGTTAGAGATACTACTGCATATATAATGAGTGATGGGATCAGGGATGCTCCCTCACACACACACACACACTCTTACGGTATCAAGCAGCAATCTGTTCATTCAGACCAAAGTTACAGTTATGTAAGGTACAGATGTCTATACAGCAACTTCAAGTATCTGATTGCTATGATTTAGATGTTTTTATTACTTTTTGTGCACGATGGATCATTTTAAATTTGTAAAATAGTCTTCAAATCGTCAAGTGCAAACGTTTAATAATTAAATAATTAGTATATGAACATGTGAATTGAGAAATAATCCTCTAAAATAGATATTTAGAGACATAGATATATAGATTTAGTTTCAGACCGATATAAGACAATATATTAGACAAATATAAAACACAAGACTAACAAAACCCATGCACAAAGTAATCTGACTCCTCACATAATGGACAAGTGCTATTTTGACAACATACCAAGCAGAGTTACGAAAAACTGACACCCTCTTCAAGGGGATACCAGCCCACACACATCCAAGACCATCATAGTGAAACTGTGATTTTTAAAATGTTAATCACAGAGGAAAACATGAAACCAAAAAAACAGCAAAATAAAGAAGCCTCATTATACATTTTGTGAAAAATTCGAAAAGGGTTACAAAATGTTCAGACCCTAAAAATACCATAAAAGACTGTTTATTTAATGACACGCCTGCTGCGGATTCCCATAACAATAAAATTCTCCTAAAAATACTCTTGAACTGTCTGTACTCTTCTTTTCTTGCACCTGGAGCAGCTTTGTCAGCAAAACAAAGGCAGTATTAAGAGGATGAGAACTTTACTAGCGAAGCTATTCTTCCATTTAAAGCTGAGTTTGTTACTTCTCAGGAATAGAAATACAATAAATCTGGCTAGGAGAGCTTCTCTCCCCCTGCTACTTTTTTTGTGTCAGATTATAAGCTTGAAAAAAAACAAGTTTAAAAAAGTAAGAAAGTGAGAGTCTTTTAGGAGTTAAATTGTGTCATAAATGATTAAAAGATCCTTGTAGGGAATAGACAATCTACAAAAAATACAGTGATAAATGAGAAATGGAGTAAAAGACAGAGATGTACCTTCTGCTGTATGAGAAGAAAGAGATCGGTTGTGGTGTTCCAGTCTATCCTGTCCTAAGCTCTGACGGAGAGCATCCACAGGGGAGAAAGGAGCAGCGCTACATGAGAGTGAGAGTCCATGTGGGAGAGAGATGGAGAGCGATAGTAGGAGTGTTCACTCAGACTAAGAGAGAGAGAGAGATTCCCTCAGCGGGAGAGAGAGAGAGAGAGAGAGAGAGAGAGAGCGAGATGAGTGCACACCGAAGAGCGTGTGTGTTTGTGTGTGCATCAGAGTGCGTGTGTGTATGAGGCAGATTCAGACTCCCTGCTGTAAGTGCAAGTGAGTTCGTGTTTTTAAAAAAATGAACGTGTGTGATACAGACAAAGAGAGACAGAACACCACATGAGCATGTGTAGGTCCAAAAAAGTTTGTTTGTCCGTGTGTACATCATGTGTGTGTTTGTCTGTGTGCATGTGTGTGGGTGTGTGCAAAAGAGGATTTCCAGGAGAGGCTTTCATCTATGAAACAGCTGAGCTAGATGTTTTCAGCGTCACACAGATGGACTACACAACCCAAGCTGGGTTTCCATTAAGATCATAATGGACAAGCTTTGTTAGAGATATGCGAAACAAGAACTGCACTGTTGGTGTAAAAGTGAATACATGAAATAAAACACATGACGGTTTTTGTAGAGGCTGATTTCTGTGGATAGTTTTACAAGTACAAGAACAAGTTTCATGGTATGGAAGCATGGGTTTTCCTAATTTACTACAACAACAACAAAAAAAAATAACATCTAAACCTCTCAAAATAAACTTAAAGTGAACATTTAAAGATGCTTTTTTTTACTAAGATTCCTGTACGAAACCAATTCAGTTCAGAGTCCTTTTGGAGCTTTACAGTTTTTTAGAGATAGGATCTGGACAGATCTAAAATACACCGATCTTCTCTGTGAGACAGAAAAAAAACAGAGTTTAACTCCTTCCTCCAGATTGGTATAGTTTTTGTTAGTCCCCAAGATTCTCTGGTCTGCTATAGAGAAATAACAGACTGTTGCCATAAGATATCGTCCAATCAGATTCAAGCATTTGCCACAGCTGTGTTTCTAATCACAGGATTAATAGTAGACATAGGAGGAATCTGATCTCCTAACTTTGGACCAGACATCATCATAGTCAGTTGTGTTGTTTCAGAAACAGTGTGGACATGCAGGTCATTCAGATAAAACTGAGGCTTCATGTGTGTCTTTGTGCTTTTTTTATACATACATGTACATATGGCTTGCACCTGAGTATCTGCGTGTATGCCCGGACTTGATGTGTTCATATCGGTGTGTATCTGAGTGTGCACTTGTACAACAATTATTAATAGCATGAATCTGCATGCATGGATGGCTGCACAAGCACAGGTTGGAGGACTCTGCTTGTGTGCTGATTTGTGTGAATAGTAATGTGGTGAACATCTGTCTTAACATATCAACATTATTGAATCTACTTTCTTGAAAACCCGAAGGATCATCATCTTCATCTGGTCTATCTTCTTTGTCATCCTGTCTTTTCCATCAGTTTTTCTTTTTCACCTCAATTTTTCCCTCTTTTAGCTTTTTTTCCTTCTCTCTGTTTTTTTCTCACCTTCCCATTTGCCAGCTTGTCACTTTCTTTTAATCAGAGTAACTCAACACTTTTTTGTCCCATCTCAATTACATAACATCTACATTTTTACCTAGTCTCTGTTCATCACTATCTCCCCTTTTCCTGAAAACCTCCCACTATAATCCTCTATTTTCCCTCTCCCTCTCTCCATAGATTTTCCAAGTCCCTTTATCCTGGTGCTGCACTGACTGCCCACAGACTGTATGTATATCCTGCTATAGCCTGCAGAGCTGCAGAGAGACAGACTTAGTCCACCAAATCTCTTAAATCTTTGCTGCATGACACATCGAGTGCAACAACATCATTTTGTGTATCAGTGTGTTTCCTGTGTCCACCTGTGTTTCTGCCCTGTGGTGACTCATGTATGTAGTCTACCTCTGTATATCTGTGTAAGTGTGTGTTTACGGATGAGTTTGTGTTCATTTGCCCCTCTGGTACCTTACATACTTAGGTGCATAACACCTTGATATTCATTTAGCGTGTTTGTGTGCTTACATGTGCATGTAACCGTGTGATAAATACATGCCCAGAAGTGAATACAGAGTTTTTATCGTTATCAACTGCATACAAATGCTGGCATGGGACCAAAAGGACTGGGTACAAATACCCCGCAGAAGCACAAATTCATCAATCACTGGGAGTGCAAGCACAAACACACACGCACACGCACACACAAACACACACACACACACGCAAACACTGTCACAGACACACACACATACTGGAGGCTAGAGGTTATTTAAACGGAGGGGAATTCTAGCGGAATAAGGACATTTTGGGGGGAAAAAGTTACAACTCTTCCATAATTAGCAAAGGAAGTAGAGAGGAGAGGGGCAAAAAGAGGCAAAACTCACTAATCATTAATGAGGCATTTGTTCACAAGCTATTTATTTCACTACCCATTAGTGTATTCATGACGTGGAGTTTTGCCTCTAGGCATGGGAAACATTTTTAGTGTTGCGCGCGTTGTCTAAAATACCCAACTTTACCAAGAAGGGAGGGGTAAAATTTACATTTTGAACACAAAAGTTCACGGCACATAATTTCAAGGCTATAGAGATATGAGATTTCACAAAAACACATGGATGAATTGAAACGGGGGAGGACGGAAGTAAAAGAAATTAAAGGGTGAATAAACAGCCCCCCAGCAGCCAGCTGTTCTTCTGTTTCTGAAACATCTGTCCGAGTGAGAGAAAGAGAGAGAGAGAGAGAGAGAGAGAGAGAGAGAGAGAAAGAGAGGAACAAAGAGAGAGAGAGCTAAGAGTTAAAGCAAACTGAGAGGAAAAGAAGACAAACAAAGAAGAGGGCAAAGAAAGGTTGACAACACAAAGATGCAACTTCTTTAAATGTGTCAACATATTCGACAACAAGCTTATCCTGGTACTCATAAATAAAAAATATGTATTGCAGTTTAAGCAATATTTTTCTCTGTAGGTGTCATCCACCCCTGTGAACTCAAAAAGGTAGTTGGTTCACACAGTTTCATGTCTGAGTTTTAATAATGTCCAAAGTGTGTTTCAGCATGTACGTGAAGTAGTAAAAGCGGCATCTGCAAAGACGCCTGTAAAGGTCCAGACGCAAATATACGACGTGAAATTACAAAGTATTTGGAGGCGAATTTTGAAGCGCCTGACTACACATGTCAAGCGATGCGATTTTGCGACTTTCCGGGGGGAAAAAAAGATGCATCCCGGGTGGAAGCGAGAAGACTGACACAACAGCAGACTGACTGTTTTTCAGTTCTGATTAGACACTAGTGTTGAGATGTCTGTCTGTCATGATAGCATGTACTGAGTCGGGGCCAGTACCAGATAAGAACATGAAACTATAATCCATAAACGTAAGGTAACAACCGAGACCTAATGGTGCTGTGACAGCAACACGATTGAGTTTGAGACAGTGAAAATACATATGGTTTGTTGTATCTGAACAGGTTAGCTTACGAGCTAAAGTTACTTAGCACAGATGAAAGATAAAACAAAGACGTTTAGCAAACTGTTAAAGCACACAAACCATCGTCATATAAGAGATCCGACGCTATGACTCTCCACAAGTTGTCCTTCAGATCGTTATCTTTGTAATGTTTGTGTCTTTTATCGAAAAGCACTCTGTTCAAAATGATGCAAACCTGTCTTTCAGGTTGAAGTCTTGCTATCTCTAATAGTTCGACTAATTTACCTCGGTCAAGTTGACTTAGATGATTAAATTCTCCCTTAGTCTCAGGGAGAGAATTAAGTAAGATAAGTGGGAACAGGAAAAAAAAACCATCAGAAAAGAATAAGCAAAAGGATGAAAATGAAAATGTGTTAGTGTCCTGTCTAAAGATTATTGAGAATAGTTCAATTAAAAAAAAAAAAAGGAGAGTGACGGACCCAGAGAAAAAGAGCGAGAAAGAGAGAAGATTGCTCTCACAGCTGGTTGAATCTATGTGTAGTTTCGCTTGAGGCTTTAGAGACTGACAGATGAGAAAAGAACAGCACTCACTGACATCATTAAGTGACCTTATCCAGCTTTCATAACACCATTTATGCTTCAAGCACAATCACACGCACATAAATGCATACAAATGCACATATTAAATGATGAAAATGTACTATAATCACAAAGTTATTTAGTAGCAATCACACACTAATACTCAATGAACTCATTTTTATTTTTCAAAATCATAGATAAGGGCCCATAACTTTTATTAATTTCAATATTTAGAGCTTATTATAATTGTTCAACAATCAGCTTAGACTTCCTCCATCTCTTTCTCCCCATTAAGCGATAAAGAAAAAACTGCTTAGTATCTGGTCTTTAAAAGCATACTGTGATGTGGTTACGTTGTTCCTCAGAGAATCAGATGCACAGTCATACAAACACGTGCTCCAGAGTCACTTTAAAAACCTGAATTATTAAAACAAGACGTCATGAAGGTCCATGATGTAATGTAAGCTTAGCATGATTTATCTGAGTCATCATAACTATGTTTACAATGCATTAAATATTTCTCTGTAGCGTGTCATAGTTATAAAATAACATCAATAATGTATTCTTGGAAAGAAGATGTATGAACAGTCCCCCAATAGGCAGTTTTAATCTTTAACCAAGCGTTGTTAGATAAGGGAGACACTGCTTTCACTCTGCTGGGCTGGAGTTATTTTTATGCCTGTCTGCATTGTACATGCTTCACATGATTGACAACTTTTTCACTGTTATGGACTGCAAAGCTCGATTTTAGCTTCTCATTGTGTCTTAGCCTCAAGGCTGTCCCTACCAGTCTATGTGAATAATATGCAGCCCTTCTGATATTACTCATTAGATTGTTCACTGCCTCAAGCCCTCAAGCCCTGCATTTTTGCTGTTGCTGTAATACAGGCCTCAGATAACTTCAGTCCATGAGTTTTATATAGAAGATTGGACTAGCAACATATTCATTTTTGCTGTAACTTTGGATATTTTATCAATAAAGTCATGGAGGTTAACCAGAGACTACATAATCTGTTGGTCTCTGAGGTGCAACAAAGCCCAAAAATGTCCATTAACATATTTAAAACTGACCAATATTATCAGAAGAGATAAAATATAATGTGAATTCTCACCCGTAAAAAGTAGAAATGAGCTAAGAGACCAAAACCAGCCTTTTAATATGGGCTCTTTAACTATGGGATAATGCATAGTGA